TGCTAGAGCGTTCTATTCCGTATAGGAATTGTATCTTTGATGCTAGTCTCTCCGATACTTGGTTGATATCGATAGGCACAAGCTTACGAGCTAGCCTAGGAGGGTTAAACACTCTAAGACGTAGAAGCTTTCTGAGCTTGACTTCCTCTGCACATAGTGCATTCGTAGCCTTTACTACAGTAGTTTGACTACTTCTTCTGCACATAGTGCATCTTCACATAGTGCATCTTCACATAGTGCATCTTCACATATGTATCGGCACATAGTGCATCGGCACATAGTGCATAAGTAGCTTGGCCACGATAGCTCGGCTTCAAGTTTTGCTCTCATGGAGCTTTTCCTAAGTCTCGAGCTCGGTCCACTTCTTCAAATCAGGTTCCTAAAATAAATCTTTCTCTTAATGCAACATGTTCCAGCTTCATGAAATCCTCATCTAAAATAATGTCGTCCGGTAAGGATTTAATTTTATGGGTCACACGTACCGGAATGCCCGCCTGGAGCCGAGAGCTCATGCCTATCTCTTTGACCAATTCGAGCGCAGCAGGAGGAAACATCCTCGCCGTCGTTGGCGTGCTTGGATCCTCTTAACTGCCTCTTGGCGGACGCTGCATATCGGCCAGATGGGAGCGAGCCAGGCCACCTAGCGACGTCTGATGGCCTGGCACGAGAACTAGTACCCAATAGGCAAATAGCAAGAGACCCATACATAATGGCGCGCTGAAGGCGCATGATTATGCTTGGACTGCTGCAAATATGGCAATGACAATAAAGGGATACATTTCTAAAACCGCTGGGTATGATACAATACACTATCGTACGTTTAAATCAGTCAGTCAGTTGTGGGAGGGGCAAAAAGCTAATTCTCATATAACTGTTGTGCTTTTGCATGTATGTATCATCAAAAAGCTAAAAAGAAAGGGGTAAGAGACGAGACTAGGAAGCGACAATCATCAAGCCGATCAGTTGATTTGATGAAAAACTAAGGCCGACATTCTTACAACTGAAGCTTTTTGCATCAGCAATCACCATCGCGTTGAAACTGATATTATGTTTAGTGCATGGACAGTGCAATGTGTAGGACAAGTTGCATGAAATGTACTGAAGGGACACAGAGCTTGAAGTCACAGAGGAAACAGCTTGAAGTCACGGAGGAAACAGCTTTAACGGGACATAGAACCAGAGTTGTACCGCCTTTAAAATGATTTGAACATTCGTGCGTCACTTGAAAATTCACCATAAAACGATGTACCAAAAATGTACAGCCAGCATTATGCGAGAAAACGCACAGGCCTTAGTAACTCGTTAGGTTACACCGAATCAAAATGCGGCGCAACTTGATGCGGTGGTGACCGAAATGCGTCGGATTGGACTGTCGAAAGTGGCAAGCGGGAAGTCGGCACTTTGTAGGTCAAGATTTGTATGTAGCAACGGCCCCCTTTCCTCGTATTATGAGCTTTATAAGCATATATATAAATACGTCAGCTTTCTTGCATGTGCCGTCGCAACAACAACATGTTGGAGTCTTGAGAAAGACTACATGAACGTCTTATGGAGCAAAGAAACAGCAAGTTTAAGGCTGAAGGTTTTATGTGTTGACGATTTAATGTGTCAAATACCAATGTGTTAAGGTCTTTAGCCCAAGTTGTTATGTAACCGGTCTGAGTATCAAGCCAGTCTAACTAAATGCGTTTTTGATAGTTGTCTCCATAACCGAATTCCTATTTACAAGCAAGCTGACTCCTAAGTACATTATAGACTTACAGATTTATTTATTAATCGAGCTATTGGCAAAAACAAGTTTAAGTGCGAGAAGCTACGGGTGAGCGATGAAAGAATGAGTCCGTTTCCCGTCGCAGTATTGCGAGCTTATTATCTGTACTTTCGATGGCTCAACTACTGGCGTGCTTGACGGACGGACAGACGCTAAGAAACGAGGAGGTAAAGATGGACAAGCAAGCGCTTTGTGTAGAGCTGTGAGAAGAAGCAATCTGTTGCGTGCTAAGCTAATTAAGTGCGGCTGGCACAATGAGGTGAGGCAGTACTGCAAAGGTTGACCAGTTGATTTTGTGTCATTAATTATATACCTTGGTGGGATGGTTTTGTTTTTGTGTAAATGTGATCCGAAAGAGGGCATTGATCATGTGGGTGACATGTCAAACACTCACTCCTCTACAGATAGCCAAAGTTTCCGATCTGTTGTTTACCGGACTAGACGCATGAAGAGTTCCTTTGGGGTGCCGTAATTTTTTCAATGGCTCAAGTGCTGTCAACACACAGTCAATCAGCACATAAGTAGAATTAAGTCCATCAAGCTACAACCTTTTAACTTCTACCTTTTCATTCAGTGTGCAACCTCAACCAGATGATCTTCCATAGTGCACCGTAGTCAAAAAAAACTATAACGCCACCTTGAATACTGAAATTAGCAGTGATTACTCGACTTATAGGATTTTTCAGTCCACAACAAAGGACTCGTAGAACGAGTTAACAAGAAGAAACCAAGAAATAGTTTGTCACTTTCAACCTCCAGGAGCTGAGACATAACTTAATTGTGGCATGAAACTCTCGCAAAAATGTGGAATTGAAAAAAGCTTCTAGTTATAATTGCATTTGCTCCCAAATATCACATCTCCACTTGTTGGTGACATTCGAAGGTCAGGTGTCAAATCGTATGTTGCAAATTAATAGAAAGGTATAGCAAAGACAATAGTTTGGTGTGTCGTTATCCCAGACGTGCGCGACATAGACTTAGCCATTCATCAGTGCTTAGTTAGTCAGATATCTCAATCTAGACAATAATGCGATGACGAAATACGCCTTTGCCTCTCTTTATAGAGATTCTATTGAAAGGGTCGAGGCAGAACACTACACAAACCCGTTTCGAAAAGATGACAAGACTTTGTCACACATTACGTTGAAGTCGATCATCTCTAGATTCTAATGGAATGATTGCAGCATACCAAAATCAAGTATAATATTCAGAGGCTATTTAACAATCTGATACATTTTCATTTCGCATTTAAGAAAAGTATTACAAGATATCGTAAGCAAAATAAAAGTAATGACGTCAGAGGCTCTTTCAAATACATCATTTGGATTCATACTTACATTAGCCACAGCCCTGTCTCCTAAAGCTCTCAACCGCTTTCTTAACTAAAAAATGGGTCTCCTTGATATTGTACAACCCGGCGTTCTCAATGGCGAGGACGTCATGAAGGTGTACAAATACGCTCAAGAACATAAGTTTGCCATCCCAGCTGTGAACGTGACGTCGTCGTCGACGGCGAACGCTGCTCTTGAGGCCGCCCGCAACATTAAGTCGCCCATTATTATCCAGACGTCAAACGGCGGTGCCGCTTTCTACGCTGGTAAAGGTATCGACAATAAAAACCAGAATGCGTCGGTGCTAGGCGCCATTGCTGCTGCATATCACGTGCGTGCCATGGCCAAACATTACGGTATCCCCGTGATCCTGCACTCAGACCACTGCGCCAAGAAACTCCTGCCGTGGTTTGACGGCATGCTGGAAGCTGATGAAAAGTATTTTGCAGAGCACGGTGTGCCATTGTGGAGCTCACACATGTTGGACTTGTCGGAAGAGCCAATGGAGGAAAATGTGGCTATCAGCAAGAAGTACTTTGAACGCATGGCTAAGATGGGTCTGATCCTTGAGGTTGAGCTGGGTCTGACCGGCGGTGAGGAGGACGGTGTGGACAACAGCGAGGTGGACAACGCGTCACTGTACTCACAGCCAGAGGACATTCTACTGGCATACAATGAGCTGGGGTCCGTGTCGCCATACTTCACGATTGCTGCAGCGTTTGGCAACGTACACGGCGTGTACAAACCGGGCAATGTGAAGCTTCACCCCGAGATCCTGGGTGATTTCCAAAAGCATGTCGCCAAGGAAAAGTCGCTTGCGACAGACAAGCCTGTGTTTTTTGTGTTCCACGGCGGCTCGGGTTCGTCGGCTCAGGAGATCGAGACGGCAGTGGGCAATGGCGTAGTGAAGATGAACATTGACACGGACACGCAATGGGCGTACTGGGACGGTCTGCGCAAGTTTTACGAGGAGAAGAAGGACTATTTGCAAGGTCAGATCGGCAACCCGGACGGCGCAGACGTCCCAAACAAGAAGTACTACGACCCGCGTGTGTGGGTGCGCAAGTCGGAGGAGTCCATGATCATTCGTCTGCAGCAGGCGTTCCGCGATCTGAACTGCGTGAATGTGTTGTAAGCAGTGCGGTCTTTGGCAGAGTAGTGATTGTCATTCTGACGGTAGTATAAGTCGTGGCGGTTAGTCCAGTCAGCTTGACCGACCGAGTTAGTGTCAGATCAATCCAGCAGCTTTCTTTCCAAACATCTAATAGCACACAAATCTTTGCTTCCGTTGTTGTGGCGTTACATATTGAGCTTGATTTGTTTGGATTCGTCATTTTCGGAGTGTACATCAATATGATATTGAAATTTGTGCAGCGGTTTCTTTGTTCCTCTCTGTAAAAGCACATTAATAAGCTGCTCGTTAGACAAGGCGCTGCTTGCTAGACAAGATGCGGCTTGCTAGACAAGATGCGGCTTTATCAATACACTCTTAATCTTTTATCCCATCGTCTGAACGGTCAGGTATTGTGTATGCAGAAGGTAGAGGTAGCGATGTCGTGAGATTGGTGTGCGGCGGTCGCATTACTCAAGTAATCGGATGATTGGCTCATGTTGGCTTCTGACGCTTGTACAGACGTTTCGTGGTGTGATGTGAAGGCAGTTTAAAAGACAACGATAATAACGGATGCTGCCTGATGAGAGAAGGATAACAAGATGGTTTTGTTGCGCTTTGGACAGATGATAATGATTGAAGGTTGATGCAAACGATGGACAAATGAAGAACAAAAGCGGAAGAATATACTGCAGAGGATAGTGAAAAGCATCCAAAGTTGAGCTCATCCGGTTCTTGGCATAACCGTGCCTAAGTATGTACTCTTGCACCCCATTTAGTCATACCTCTATTCAAGTGCGCAGTGCTTGTGGAAATCAAACTCGTAAATCCACCTGCGAAAAATATTCTCCACTACATTGAACGGACAGAGCACTTGGTCTTTGCACTCGTTGAAAATGACCTCCTGCTCATTAAGTAATGTCTTCACCTTAAACGTTGGAGTATCGCCATCAGTCGCTGCGGCGCACTCGTAGAGTATAAAACCAATGTTGGCGGAAAAGGGAGCCAATTCAGAGCTCTTGAACTTTCGCTGACGTGCTAACTCTAGCGGCGTATCAGCGCGAAAGTGCCCCTCACGGTCGCTGGCGTGACGATCAAAGTAGCTAACGTTCAAAAGCGAGGCTAGAGGTAAGATAGTCTCAGCATGCGCAAAGCGAAAATATCCTTCCACGTTGTTCTTGCCATCCACACGCTGCTTCATGGTTTGAAAAATTTCTTGCAATAATGGCGTCGCAATTTCGTAGGATAGCGCGTACCCGTGACTTTTCCTGTAAAAGTGCTTGAGGTCTTGAAAGTAGTCCATAGATAGCAGCATTTCGTCATCGAAAAATAAACACCAATTGTCAAACACATTGAGCACAGCTACATCAAAAGCACAACCAGCATACGCCGCCTCCATATCATCTTGAGTTGCATCCGAAAACTCCGACAACTCTTGAAATTTTGCCAGATTCTTGTGCATTTGCTCACTATCGCGATATTTCGCATGTTCAACAGTAGCGCTCTTATTCTTATCAACTTGAATCTCAAACATTGGGCAATTGTCGTAAAACCGCAGTACGTGATCATTTCCAATCGGATAACTATGATAGTACACTGGCTGAATTCCGTCAAAGAACCCAAATGCAAAGGCCTCGGCACTTTGCCGTGTGCGGATCTTCCACGTGTGTTCAAACACAAATTTTTGAGTATCATAAGACAATGGAAACGAAGACAGTCGTGCTCTTAGCCTCTTTCCAATCTCAATAAGCTCATAAAGTCCACGATCTGCTAGCCACGCCTCTGTTTCTTTGGGGTACGGGTTCGTCCAACCTTCTACCCATGTCAACGATCCTTCTTTGCGATGTGACAATATTCTAGAGTGAGTATTATTAATTCGTCTAATGTCCTTCATTGTGGGGTTCCTAGTTCCGTGACGAATGGCAAAATTGAGCTGAACGGGGGGTGCACGTATCTTGCTGACTCTCGGATTCGGTCGACAGAGGAGGAGGCGTATACAACGTCTTGGTCGACATGTGCTTACGTGCAACGTTATATTCATCACCACTAACATCAATGACCACGTAAACTACTACCACTAACACGAGAAGCTTCATATAGATAACGCATCGAGTCATACTCTGCGCTTTTTCTTTAAAATCCACAATCATTGAAATTTATCGGCATTATCTTTCATAAATATTTTGCCTGGTAAATAAATTACAGCATCAGTTCTCGAGCCATCGGACATTGTTAAGGTTTAGCGTAAGTTCTGAAGACTTTGCATCGAAGACCGACCGAATCTTGCTTGGCTCAAAACATATGATTGAAGGCAAAAATGTGGTGCTGGTAGTCGAGTTTGTTAGATTGCATGAAAGCAGGGGCATTTGCTATAAGGGTAAGCACTACTGAGCAATTGCTCGCAGCATTAATCATTATCATCGGTCACAGCGTGTAGCCAATTGTTCAGCACGACTTGGATGCGATTGAGTTTGTGGATGTCAAGTGATTTCTTGCAGCAGTGAATTCGTGAAGCTGACAAGGCAGAAGCTGCAGTGTGCAGATATCACGGACCATACGAGATCGCGCAGGACGTTAAGCTGATGAATCGTGACTATCGCTGAGCGGAAGGATGATAAATTGCAATGCGTCCTCAGATTTGCTCTTCTGAAAGTGCAGTAAACAATGACATGAGCTCAAAATTATGAGCTCTCACAAGGTGGTTCATAAGCACTGGCGAATGACCAGTGAGGATTAACAAATGTGATGTAGCAAAACCATTCGCCATCTGAGATTGGTGCATCATTTGTTTGCACATTTTAAAACTACCACTACGATAGCTTACAGATGGTCGATAAATAGCGCTGTCAATTCTCGTGAATTGATTACGCTTTGGAAAGTGTCATGTATCATGATCGTCAATGGTATCTAACTTTGCAAACCTTTGAATGCAAATGAGTTTTTGTCACAAGTCACAGACGCAAAACTCCACTCTTTGGATTCGATCAACTTCTACAATTGATTATCAAGTACGATTGCTAATCCTGCTAATCCTGCTAATCAAGCGCAAAAATGTATCGTGTGGTCAATGGTGAGCGTCAAATGGTACTTTCAGACACAATGGAGCGTCCTAGTCCCAATGCACATTCCTATACTACCACACATCATCACTCAGTAAGTATTCCTTCGTTGCAGTCTCGTCATAAAGCTCAGAAATCGTGTAACAAGACAAAAAAGTCATCGTCCATTCCGTCCACAGAGAATGACCCACCAGACGTAATTCTCCACTCCGATGGATGTGCAATTGCTCTTCATCTATCAGTTCTACAGAGTCGCTGTCCATGGTTCTACAAGCAGCTGCGCAAGCTGCGAGCGTCATCACATTCGCCAATTGGTTTTAAGTTGCTGGACGACGAAGAGCTCCAGCAACTCAAGGACAAAAACAAGAACCCATCCAAGTGTCCACTACATGATCCACATAAACTACGATTAGATTATGTACGTTGTGTGGCTCATAGGTGTCATGGTGGACAGACAATTGATGACAGTACAAGAGGACAGTCTCTACAGGACAGTCCTGTTATTCTTCCAAGAAAAAAAAGACTGCGACAAGACTTTGTACTAGACGGGAACCAGACACAAAACGAACAAAGGATAGCTCTTAAATCGCGACGTGCACGAAGTTTGTTTAATGAGCTCAAATCTACAACATTCGCCAAACTAGGTGAAGAACTCGAAAACCAACGATCCGTGATGCATGTCGAGATTGCAGGAACAAATATTGGCGCCATCGTGACGGTCGTCGAGTATATTTACAGGTGTAAAGTCAGGATGATTGACGAGCGCAAGGCAATAGAGGCGGTCAAATTAGGACAGAACTTGGGCATGCGGTGCACGATGCTCTACTATTGCTTAGTGATTGCAATTCGACATAGTACGACAGCTACGTGGATGGAATTGTTGTTGATGGCTTCCATGCTAGAGAATAAAATGGAGCGCCACCTTTTGTGTGATCAATTGATAGCTTTTGTGAAATCACTAAAGTCTGAACAATACGATCAAGTTCTCAAGGACATCCGATGTGTGCATCTCAAGAGACTGAAGGATCATGATGTTTTGGTCCGTGTTGTGATAGGTTTAATTAATAGTGTCAGACTTGTGGAGTTTTGGCAAAACTTACTGGATGCGCTGAGTCACTGGTTGAGTAATCGATTTCAGACCGAGCAGGTGCCGTCGCTGTGTGATATACATCAGCACTTTGCACCAGAATGGATACCGTATCTGGAGCGAGACCCTGTTGAACTTTTTGCAAAACATGGTGAGGAAAGTCTTGTAACCCTGCTTCAATTTGGAAAGTTTCAACTCCAATTACGGATTGATTTCATGGGTGAAGTGCCTATTTTATGGCGAATCATTAGGTCTTCGTCACCACAGTTATTAAGCTCTGACCCAGACGAGTTGGACGAGCTCACATCTTTTGATGACGACCCTCAGTTCTGGATACGTGGGCAAATGAAAGTTAAGTACTGGCGTACCCAGCTAGACCACACAGCGGTTTCACAGGGAGTGGTAATCCAGTATCAACACTGCTTGCAGCAGTACAGTCGGTGGTGTGGTCTTGTGCCGCCGACTTCTTCAATCTCAGCCCCTGTTGTTACAGCTGCCGCCGTTCAGCCTGAGTATTGGGGGAAAGCACAAGTTTGTGGCAAATTTTTCATCTGGGGCGACCCCGTTTGCAGTATGTACCATTTTTTGCTACAGACAACACTCTTCTACTCAGCTCCGCACGACATACCGAGTGAAGTCTCAGACCTGGTTATTGTTTCCGAGATGCAGCGATTGCCATTAGAGACCTTGGAGCTTGTGTTGCGCAGCGACAGCTTGCGCATTCCCGACGGTGAGCGAACATTGCTAAGATGTCTTAACAAACTGTTTTTCGGTAACAACTTTAGTTATCTCGGCAGTGCACATCAACCACCGCAAGAATTCAATGGCCGTGCGAAAGATATGATCCGTTTGTACAAGTGTGTTCGTTGGTGCTTCGTACCTCTGGATGATATCATTGCTACGCTGAGACGGTCACCTCGGGAGCTGAAATTCTACGAGTTAATAGAGTATGGCCTGCAGAATACGTTTCAGCGCTTCCTTCGAAGACGTCCGTGGGGATGGCGTAAGTATCGTCATGCTTACATGAAAAATGAGACAAATGTGGTCGAGTTCAGGATCGAAGCGGGTGAGAACCAGCTGTCACCAGACTATTTTCCTGTGGTTCCGAATACCGAATGTAGTTCTCAAGATTCGTTAGTATTGAGTCCTGAAGCCATTTCTTGTGATTTATCATCACATGTACAAAGTGTCTCGTAAAATGAAATAGGACTATCTCTTTGGCATTTCAAACAGCGTAGTTGTCCATCTTCATTAGGTTGGGTTGGTCAATGTCCAGTTCTATTCTGTATCATTCCACAGTCTTGAATAGACACAGCCATGAGCGTTTCTGGACTTAACTTATTTTACACTTATATCATTGTTTACATTCTAGGAAGACGTGTCCAAGTCATCATCGGCCAAACTTTTTTTGAATGGAATGGAATTGATCCTTTTGACAAAGATGTATGTATCCATATGTGTAAATTGATGTACTCATTTGATCAAATAAATGTATTCATATGAGCAAATAGCTGTACCCATGTACCCTATTTTACACCTACCACCTAAGTTACCAATTAATTGGCTGGACAAGAGGATGGCGGCGCTACGGGACTTGGTATTAGCGGTGGAGCGCGACCAGCAGCCACTGGATACCGCCATGTTGTCTTTCTCTCAATCTTTATTGCTCTCTCCATCTTTTGATACCGTTTCAATACCATCCGAACTTGGTATAAACAATGCGTCGTCTCTGCGTCTCCAATTCTTAGCCGTCCACCCTCAAGGAGAGCTGCTATTGCGCGTGTGGCCGGAACAACATGGTGGTAGTAGTCGTTGGGAGAAGCGTGAGAGTTTTGCAACGTTTTTACACGTAGTGACGCACCTGTTGCAAGCACAAGATCAATTAAATTCCGTCCAAGCTGAAGCTTTTGCGCTACGCGTCGTTCGTGAAAAGACGTCACATTTAGAAAAGATGCTGAGCTGGAGTGACAAGCCGTTGGTTGAGTTTCGAGCGCTAGAATTATTGACGACAGTGGTGAAGGTCAGTGCTGTGGCAGCGCGAGAGTTCGTACGACTCTTTAACTTTCAATGCCCGGCATTTGTCAAGCTAGCCACGAGAAGGTGGAAGAAGCTAGAGCCAGTAAACGGCAAGGTGAAGCATGCATCGTTTCAGCTAAGAGCAGCGTACGTGGACTTGGTGCTAGCGCTGACGGCGTGTCCGGATAAGAGTGTACATCGCTTTGCAATGAAGGAAGGAGGTGTGACAGCTTCACTGTTTAAAAGCATGGATGGAGATTCAGCTGAGTTGTTGACAACAATTTTTACAAGACTTGGAGACTTGGTGTTGTATAGTCAGGAGGTTGACCACAAGAACAAACTAGTTGTGTTTAATGGTACTTGTGTGCATCAATTGTTGGCACTGCTGCAAGTAAAGGACGAAGAAAAGGTGCGAGAAACAGCACTGCAAATGTTGAAGGCACTTTTCTTTAAAGATAGTGCGCTGTATGTGGTACCCCAAAAGCAGGCACTGCGACTTTTTTTGGCAAAGTCGGCGAGCTCACAAAGTAATGAGGACGCGGTCTCGTCGGAAGAGGCGTACGCGCTCAAGGTGATTCGTAATGCCGTTGCAACGATTGGTGTAAAAGAACTTTTGCACAGTACACAAGCTGAGACGCTCGTGATGCAGTTTCTTACCAAGTATCCAGGCTTCGTTTCGGAGTATCTTGCGGCGCTGTCGGTGCAGCTTGAGCCGAGATTAGTCTACCGTTGGTTTTGCGTGACTTCGTTGGTGCAGAAATTGCTGTCCTGTTCTTTAGATGCGGCAATTATGGGAATGCCAGCAGAGATTGAAGATACGCTTACGTCGTGGTGCTCTGCACAGACCATAGCGTCAAAGCTTATTGCTCCAGGCAACTTCCGCAAGGAGCTCTCGCGTAGCATCCAGCACAGCAACAAACTAGTGATCTATTCGTCTCTTGGTGTAATTGAGGCAATGCTCAATCGTTATGTGCGCTTGGTTCCTTCGTTGAAATCATTGGGTCTCGCATTAGACGTACAATCGGAGCTACGCTACCTTTTTCCAAGTCCAGAAGCACTAGTCTCGTTGCTGCTTAAGTTATGCGCCTCGCAAGAGCGAAGCATTGCGCTTGTTTACGTGCGCGCTCTTACAGTATTCCGCCTCTATTTAGAGTGCCTTCCTCAAGCTATGCGTGAAGTGAAGGTTGATTTTACAAAGACTTTGACGTGGCGTTATTTGGACTGTCCCGTTGATGGTAGTGCTGAAAGTGCCATGCCGGCACCTACGCAACTTTTGATCGTTGGCGAAATGTTGCGTTTTTTACTTGCTGTGGACACTTCACGTTTGCGCTTTCTTTTTACTAGTGGCAGCTCTGGTCAGCGCTCGAAGCTCCGGCAGATGTTGTTGTTGTACGTTTCAACGCCTTGTCGTGCCGTGCAAGAACTTGCAGGACAGGTGCTTCAGCGGACTTTGCTTACCTCAGACATCTTTGGGCTAGAAACACATGGAGAACAGCATAGTCCTGGTGGACGTGCAAGCAAAGAAGTTACATTTTGGCTTGAAAGTTTGTGTCAGGGTGGCGGCAAAATTTGTGCTGAATTTACTGAACAGCTTGTGCGTGCTGTGCTGGTTGACCCGCTCATGTTTGTTTCCATTGGTAGCCGCGTGGTAACAAACGCGTCGTCTTCTTTAAGCCCAATCACTGTGGCCTTGGTGGGATTTCTCGACACACGAACAGATGTCGATATGAAACTGGACTTGTCGACATACCATGCCGACCCGTGTGTTATAGCCTTTGCTGTGCGCATTTTGCTAGCAGTGATGCAAACCAGCGAGCATCCGCAGCAACTAGTCGCATTGATTGCAAGCAACTGCGATTTTCCTGACAGGGATGTGTCTGCGACCAGACTGCGCGTTGACGTGAAAGATGAAACCTCCAGCGCTGACTCTAACAACAAAAAGCGAAAGCGGTCGATTGGGTCCGACGATTGTCGTTGCGAAGATGATGCTTATGCGTGGCTTAAGACGACTTGTAAAAGTTTTGTTTCAGGGAAGTGCATAGGCAAGAGTGCACCAAAGAAAATGGTGCGAGCAGCTAGCAGCAGTACGTGGGACCGCCTTAACGACCCCAACGCTTTAACTGCGGCGTTGGTAGCGATAACGCCATCGAGCTTTTGTTCTTGCTGGGAACAAATTGTCAGCAACTGCGCTGACATAGCACAATCCTTTGACCCTATTCTTCATTATCTGTCTGGGCGAGGAGACGTGGATATTCTCTCTTTATTGACTCTTTCTGAGACGTCGTCAGCGACGAAAAAAAAAAACTGGACGGCGCAAGCAGCAGACGTGCATTTCTACTGCTGCAGAAACATTTGCGGCGACGATACCTGTATATATTGTCCTTCAGCATGTTCTTTTCAGCATTGCGAGCAGAAACTGTGAGGAGCAGGAATCGGCGATTGTTGTGGTGATAAGCATGGTGAAGAGTAGAGTCAAAGATCATCAGCTGGTAGTGACAGATGCAGTGCGCATGTGCGATCAACTTGTGTTCTTTTTCTCGTCAAACAACCTGGGTTTTTCGGACACTGGACACGCACATCTTTGCGAACTTCTATTGAACCTGCTGACGATCGTTATCGTTTCTAGCGAGAAGTGTCGTGCTTCTAGCGTAGTGACACGACTATTCTATAAACTTCGAGCAGCGATAACCAGTACTTTGAGCTCGGGGTTGAGACGTCAGCTTTCTGCTGTGGAGATTGTTGCTCTGCATGTTTGTTCCAGTATGAAGCCAGACACGGATTTGACAAAGCTGTGCGACTTCGGTAATCTCGTTCAACGCACAGGCGTTCCGCTCGTCGCAGTGTTAGCTTCGCGCGTCCCTTCTAGAGCACTTGTCGCTGTGCTTGATAACCTTCTGCACCAATCTAGTGTTGTGACTGTTGCCTCTCCAAACATTGTGCTCGTTGAGCGTGTACTTGAATTTCTGGGACATAATGACGTGATCGAGCAATACGCCTCTTTTGCGGACTACAAGCGCACGAAGTTGCTCACACAGAAGCTTTGGCAGCTGCTGAGCAGCCAAAGCGGCAAGTGGTGTCTGCTCCTTTTGACAAATGGATTCAGAATAGTGGGGAATCTTGGTGGCGTTGATGCCTCAACAGCAGTGGCATCGGTTGAAACTTTTCTCCTGCCACTTGTTGTCCGAAGTGCGCACGTCATATCAAATGACAAACAATGTACTGAAACACTTCGAGCTATTGTCACAGCAATTCGAAGCGGAATCGAGGCTGCAGTGTTTCCAGTTGTCTTTGAGGAGCAGCTATTGAATTGGCTGCAACGTGAAAAGGATGAGCGAGTAAAGTGTGTCTTGGTGGGAGCTATTTACGATGTCTTTGCGCGTGTTAGGAATCACGCGCTGCATCACGTTTCCAAGGAGTTGATCCCAATTTGTCTTCATCGTATGCTGTTAGATTTGCAGGAAAGCTATGCGGCAGAACTTGCCATGATGAGACATTTATTAATTGATAGTTCTTTGAGTGTGTACGCGAACAGATTGGATGCATCTGTCCAAGCATTTGTGGAAAAGTTTGAGAGTTGTGTACATGATGAGACTTTGTCGTCTGGTCAGCTGCTTGCTCTTTTACTACTATCGCGCAACAGTGGGTTTCACGAAAGCATGGATGCCAGCTTGCTGGTAATCCTTATGAAGAGTGGCATGTGCGCTTTGAAGGCAGCACAAAACAACATGGACAAGCATTTCCTAAGCGAACGTACAAAATGGCTTCACAAATCTGAAGCGACTATACTTTTGGTGGAGAGTACTGTTGAATGTTTCAAACATCAAGGACAAGAGAAGCAGACATCAGTTTTGAAAATGCTGCTTCCACTTGTTGCTGTGATGCGTGAAGGTGCTCGAGTGAGTACTGACGAGGTTACATTCAAGGAATTTGTACTCTTGACAGCAGCCCTGCTACGTCTAGTGGGGCACGATGTGTATGCAATCGACTACGACTTTGTAGCTCACTTCGTTGCGGTCGTGCAACACCCCTGCTTTGTGCGGAGCCTGCAAAATGCGGACAATGTAGGGCTACAGCTTTTGCTTGCTCGGGTAGTTGCGCGACTTGCACGCATCACAGGAAACTATACGCGTTCTCTATTGCAGACATTGCTGAGTTCCTACTCAATGTCGCTTTCTCCTTTCGATCGCAGCTTGCGGGTGTTGTTTGAAGAATTCGAAGCTCGAGAGGAAGATGGTCTTACGTTAGTAAGTATGGGCTTCCGCTTTGGTGCATCCTCTACGATTCCACCATCAGCAGCTATGTTGGCGTCATCGAAAAGCTCTCACAACGACTTAGTTGACGATTCAGCATGGGTCCTCGGAGGAGGCCTTGAACAGGATCGGGTTCGTGCCACTATTGACCGCTTCCCTCTTTGGCGTGAGGTTTCCACTCTTTGCGACGCATATCTTTTGGATCTCGATGAAGAGCTCCATATTGACGATTCTAGTATCAAAGCCGAGCATTTCCCGCTCATTGACGGTAAGGAGCCCGTTGAAGGCTATGACCCAGCATTCATCTTGCCGATGCTGTCACATTTTATTTCCTCATCAGACTTTCACGATGGCGCCATTGTGCAGCAAGGTTTGTTGGGCGTAGCTATTCGGGCTACGTCTTCTGATGTCAAAATTATTCGCGAACATGCCTTTGGTATCCTTGCACACGTGCACGAATCTTTGCAAGCTACAACGGAGACTACAAGCGGTTTCAAGGCAGGGCGTCAAGTGCATCTTTTGTTAGATGTATTCCGCCGTGGTGTCGAAAAGTCCCTCCAGCAAGTCCCATCCGTGGTCACTGTCTTCCTCAACGACGCGCTTGCTGTCTTAACACGTCCAACGCACGTGTTGTACCCGCAAGTCAACCACTTCCTGCTGGCGCGCCCCGCGATGGATCTAGCTGATGTTCCAATGTTCTATTCGTTATTTAACAGCCGAGCACCTTTAACGTTCCGCCAAGAGCGATCATGGCTCCTTCACGCGCTTCGTCGCGGAATCTGCAACGATGATGACGTGGTGCTGCTTGTGCGCCGCCACGTACTTCCGATGCTGTTAAGTTTCTTCACTTCTGAACTAGCCGATACTCACACACAGCCATTGATCGTGAAGATTCTTCTTGCAGCACTACGTACGCCGTCAGGTGGCGTTTATCTGGTGACAAAGGCAGGACTAGTGGAATGGTTGGCAGTACAGTTCTTGAAACATGGAGCTGCGTCTTTATCTACAAAATCGCACAATGTCAAGTTGTTGGGATCCATACGGACGGCTTCATCGGCAATATTACTTCCGCTTATGAATGTTCTGGAGCAAGCATTACATGATCGAATATGGGGTATCTTGGATGCTACTCAGCAACACGCAGCGGCTCTGCAAGCAGTAAATGCTTTCGCATCCCTGCACGCAGCTCTTGCAGCGTGTCGTGCGGAATCAAAAAACGACCACCCGCTTACAAGTAAAGTTGCTGTCATTGCGGAATGGGTTGTTCGTCGCGCTGGGTCCGTGTGCTCCTTGAAGTTGTTGCACAAGGCTATTGAAGTGGTCCAGCAATCTGCCATGTTTGAAAATGTGAGTATTAATTTGGCCGAGATGGTAGCCAGCAATCTTGCTCAATGGCTGCTGCAGCGACGTCACTACCAAGCACAAAAGCAATACTTTCACGACTGGGCTGTTCTACTGCGTCAGGTAGCATCACTACTTGTTTCCTACGACAATCACACAGGTTTGGCGAAACAGCAGCGAATGAGGCATGCTCTTGAGCAAATGAAGTCTAGTTTGGACCAACTCCCAACACTAAAACTACTTGTAATATCTTCTACTGCGAACAACCCAAATGCTGCTGCTCACGCATTGCTCTAGTTGTCTAATACAAGTAATTTGCTTTTACAAACCTTCATTTGGAAAAGACGCTTATGACCGTTAACACAAAATTTGGTTTGTCTCGTTCATTCCTATCATCGCTTGATTCAATCGTCTTTATAGGTTTAAATCTATAGTGTCACTTGGAGCAATATTTTAGTCTGCTTGGACACCTTATTAGACACACGAACATCGTGGATGTGTTCAATACAAATGCACACATGTACGACTGCTCATCAATCATCCGTGCTGAGTTTTGCTTTGGCCACAAAAAGTTTTGAGAATGGCAGAGACAACAGTGACCAGAAAGCTGCTGCCAAAGCTCTTTTTACGTAGCTGTTCTCACCAGAATTTGCTGTTGTGCTGAAGATGCGATAACGAGCCCAGCTTGTAGCTGGTCACATTCAAGATGCAATAGCATTTACACAGTAGTCGTTTCATGTGTTACAGTCAGCGTGAAAGTCGTACGTTTTCAAGTAGTAGTGCCATATTTGTTCCAGCTTCGATAGCTTACAGAATACACGTCCACACCCTGGAATTGGAATTTCCTTCTCATTGACCAGAATCTGTACAAAAAAATCGTGCGTCGTTTTTGTCTCGAATAAGCGGAACTGAAGGTTTGCTGCAAACGGGGAAAGAATTGATGTGCGAAAGCCCCGAGATGTAATAGCAGTGTCGGTAGCATTCGACAGTAAAGGTGAGCGATCCCCATATCCCAGTAAAGTCATTAGAGGAAGCGTGGTCTCTGCGTGTGCGAAGAAAAAAATTCCACGAAGAGCACTATCTCCTCTAGCTTTTGCTTCCATCGTGGCAAAGATCTCACGCAAAAGCACGGCAGACATCTCGTAGTTTATCTTGTATCCACCACCAATCCAATAAAACTGCTTGATATCATCCAAATACTCTAGTGAATGGACGAATGCGTCCGACAGTAATGTGCACCAATGATGCTTGTTGTGGTACAGTGCAATGTCAAACCTACGATCATAGTGCGTTAGCGATTGACTCAACGCTATAAGCTCTGTACTAAGTAGAACCTACAACTTACGCGCAGGCAGTTTGCACTGATATGGCGTCTTCCGTCGTTAAAGCAATTTTTTCATTCGTTAGGCCGAGCGACTGCTTCAACCATTGAACGTTTTTGGCCATGACACTAGTTGTATGAAACATGTAAAATTGTTCTTGCGCTGTCTGATTGTGTTTTATTTCGTGCTGGTAACGGGCACATTGGTCAAAGAACCGCAGCAATAGATCCTAAATAGAAAACAAGTTAGCATGATTCTCTAGTCGATAAATCATAGCAAAAGACTTCTTGCCCGAACAACCTTGTTTCGAGGATACTTGATGTATCTCACAGCTTTAGCATTTGCAAAATACGCGGATGCAAATCTAATCATATGGAATAGAAAGTCAGCTACACGCAATGCAAAATAGCTTAGTCATTGTATCCCAAACGAGTTCTTCAACCGTACGCAATTGCCGAATCTCGCGTCCTCGTGACACAAGTGTGTACAAGACGGTACTTCTCTTTCGAGTACGTTTGAGCTTGATCATGTCCACTTCGAAAAAGACTACGAGCACCAAACTCACGTATCTCACGCTGTCCTGCATCTGCAAGCTCATTCTCTACACTCAAATTGTATGGCAGTGTAAAGTTTTGCATCCACTTTGGCAATGCTTTTTCAAATGGTTTCAATCTACTAAGCAGGTCTTCAATTTCGTTGATATTTTCACTCGTCGGATACCTACCACCCATCAAACGCACACTATAAATTAGTACAAAACTCACTTTCTATATAGCTTCAAACGTGGAATACCGAGTGCCATGACGCGCTACAATCTGAGTCTGAATCAGTTTCAATTCCTGTCGTAATGGATCCCAATTGGATGTATCATCGAATCGAGATAGGTCTAACCCATTGTTCATCCTGTCAACACCTTCGCGTTGATCCCAATACTTGGTTTTGGTACCAAACACGTGCTCAAATTGAAATAATTGGGAAGCTCGAGAATCTCGAGATATATTCATAGTACCTAATATAAATGAATTCGATATTTGAGTGTATAGTACAATCAATACAATCGAAGCAAATACAATTGCTTGCAGGTAACGAGTCGCTACATATCGAGTAAATGAAGTGACAGAGCTTATCATGACGTCAAACGTAACTGTTATCAGAACTTTTACTCTAAATGTGGCTACACTTTGTCCAAACTCATTTTTAGCCACTAATAATTGCCATGTACATACAGATGGCTACACACAGTTGAAGTGTGGTTGGTATCGACTTTCAATCATGGACATAGAAGGTATATTAGAATGAACTATGCTAATGACAGCATAAGACTCAGTAAAAATGCATCAAGCAACCTTTGTTTACTCCAATGTCGCCATGTTGAGTGGTGTTGCTTTTCATACGAATTAAATCTGTCAAAGTGTTTTGATAAAGGTCACCACTCAATTATTCTCCACTAGTTTTTTAGTCATCATCATCATACTCCAGAGTAAATTCAGGTTCAGCTGTATCGGCATCGTCATCATCCACCAATACTTTGGCGGTGGGAGTTGGCGTAGTGGCTAGGAATGTTTGACTACCAGAAGCAGGGTATAGTGAAACGGGAGCACTCTCTGGGACGTGGCTTCGACCTTGGTCTCCACCGCTTGAATAGGAAGGGCCTTGTGTCATAAACGTCGAACTAGCCGCCGCGTACGCCCCTGGATAACCTTGTGTAGAAGGCATTAAATCAGATTGGTGGTCAGGTGGCAACCGGCGCCCACCTGGCGAGGGCGCAGCGGCGTTAGCAAAAGATACAGAAGAATCGTCTCTTCGAATGCCTCGGTCACCATTTGGTTCATTATATACAGCTTGTGGGGCTCCGTATAATCTAGTCTGGGGAATAGAAATTGCTGCACCAGCAGAAAGTGTAAGGTGTACTTGTGGTGACGGTTCCATTCCGGCTCGCGGATTCAGTGGCGCTTGCCAGCGGCTTCCAGCTTGATCAGCCTGCATGGGGAGTCTTTGCAGCCTCGTAGCCTGGCCACGTTCATCTTCCCCGTGAGCAAAGCTAAGAAGAGAATGATTCACGTAAACAGCAAAAAATACAAGGCCCACAATGGGAGTCCATCATCAGAAAACGATCCATTAATGAAAAAAAGATATATAGACCTAGTGTCATCTCCCAAATACGACAGATGCCAATGCTACTGATCAAATTGTACCTGCAGTTATCTCCAAACCGACAGTTACCAAGTGGGTAGTTATTACACAGCACAGTTTTACGCTTAGTATCAGCCATTTCTGTCCGGATTCCCAACTGAGACTGTGGATCATGAATATGCCTTGGTAAATCAAATCACAACCGACACCAAAAATCAGTAAACATTCACAGTTTTCACTCAAAGCACGATATCAAGACACCACCGTACCAACAACGGTCACCAAATGTGCATCTGCCGGCTAAAAAGTTGCGACAAATCTCCCCAGAGGTCCCAGGAATACGATTGCCTGGACTCCGCCTATCGTCCGGTACAGGAAATGGTGGTCGATGCATTGGACTCTGATCGAAATGAGGTGCATTGAGTCTACCTACACTTCCAGACTGTGGTGATCGGATACCTTCACTACGTGGCCATTGAGGGCCTAAACCATGAGAAGAAGGTACATTTCTGTTCCACTCTTCATGTCTTGGAAGGGCACCATGCAAAGATTGCATTAACGGAGCTGGGCAAGGCGGTGAACCACCACCATATCTGCCACTACCAGGATGATAATCTCCTTCTCTGTCCAGTCCTGTAATTAATGGGGTAGGCCTATCATTTGTGGAAGAGTTGTCCATCTTAGGAGGTCCCCATCGGGAATTGCGAGCTTTCTTGGGATCACGGTCATCCAGATCACTCAGTAGGTCGTCAGGCCCTCTACGTATACGACCACTTCCGACTGGCACACCAGGTGCATCCCCCATGATGCCACCAGCGTCTCTGCGGTCATACTGGAGGCTATCCGGTTGTTGCTCGTCATAACTTCGATGGTTATAAGCCCCAGCATCGTCTCTCACGCCTTTATCTCCGTTGTACAGCTCTTCATAAGGTAGTCGTCCCTGCTGTCCCGGATGTTCGCCGGAATATCCTTGCTCCTCCTTCTTCTGCTTGATTATTGACAACAGCGACGCCAGTTTTCCCGACGATGCACGAGGCGTAACGTTTTCATCCTGCAGTTTTATTGAAGGTCAGACTTGATACAAACTCATACATTTCAGCCATCAGCTACACAACACAACAACGCTTACTTGTCCCTGAGACAAGTATTCACGTCCTCCAACATCTTCAATCTGCTTGGATGTATAAATACCGCGCTTTTGCCACTCGTCAATCACATGTCGCACCTTGGGCTTGAGTACCACAACAACAACAAATTCGTCAGCTTCTCGATCTTCTCAATCTTCACTATTAACAAAGTTTCTCTCAATCAAACCTGAAATTGATTTGGAACTTTCTTTACAGCTGCAATGGTATCCGACATCCGAATAAAGAATCGCTTGACGTACGCATCTTTCGGGTCATTCTTGGCATGGGACTGTAGCAAAAAAATATACCAGCAAACATACCTAAGTTTCCAGAATATAATACACATAATAATATATATACATACCTGTCTGATGATAGCATCAATAGCATATAGTCCTAGTAATAAATAACAGAAATACATTAGAAAGAAGGAGAAGTTATTACAGCATGGCTATACATATTATTACCCATTACCAGCCAATCGGTGCTCAATCTCGGCCTTCCATACAAATACTTCAATATCATGCACCACATGCTTATAAAACTGCAACAAAACAAAACATATCACGTTAAATGATCTCTCCAAGAATATTTCCATCTATCCTACGTTATTACCTTGGAATAATGCGCTGCGAGCTTCGCCACTGCTCCAATGCGGCTCTGCGATACACCTTTGGCCGTCGCTAAACCTTCTAGTGCCTTCTTAAGCTTATCGAATCCTTCCCACGCACCGGAGCGGGAGCTTTTGTGGCCCTCGCGGTGGTGCTCGTGGCCCCCCATACTTTACGTTGGCTTTCTGACTGGCTAGGATTTTGGATTTACAATGTAGTGTAACGCACACTAATTACTTGGTTTAGTTGCTGCAACAAGAAGGGTGGTGGTAGTATACATAGCACTTTCAGGCGATGGTGTACCGTCACATGAGACCACAGCCTTTTTGACATTGACTATTTTGGCAATCACGATTGTGACGGCGACGAATGGTCTGGCCATTGTCTGTTGCTGCTTTGGACTCAAACTCAGTCTCGTATGTGTGGCTTATTTATCGATTTCTTACCGGTCATGTAATCTGCAAGCACTTTTGTGAAAATAGGGTAGGCGATCAAGGTTTGACAGCTCGCATTACAATGCGCCATTGCGTCTAGACAAAGTAGCCTTTTATATCAACTAGACTATCGCTTTTTACATTTAATTTCCCACTGATGCAGGTCGTTGATTCTCGATCATACAAAGCGAGATGCCAGAGCAAACGAATGGAACCAAGCACTCACAAGATACTTGCAGTATCTTGCTGTAGACAACTTGTGGCATCGAAAGGTGACAATGACGTTGGCATACAAAGCCAAATCACGCTTAGTGCTGACACGACAGCAAATGTGGGTGCGGAATGTGTCAGCTTGCGGAAACTCGCAGTGTATGATGTTACGATATGCAATTGAAAATTGCGCCATACCTTCCAAGCTCATCAATGCCATTAGGTGCCAGCTCACGAGCATCCGTCGTGTTATAGGGCAGCAGATGTGCATGAGCTATACTCAAGTAGTAGTTCGTCTGTAACTTGTGTACTACATCTACGATACCTTTTCTGTTTTTCTTGGGTAGGAGGAACCTGCTTCCACCGCGGGCCTCTGTTACAGCTCGCCATCTGAGGTAAGACTACCTACCAACTCTGCGTCATGCGGTAACACAAGTAAAGTTTGTTATATGCTGTTCTTTATACTTGATCGTGGTCGCAAAGGGCAAAATGTCATCGCATGCCTCTAGCTTTGCATGTACGTTTGCTCGAGTACAATGAGCGTTCTATGAATCAAGCAAATTATCTTCATCACAACAAATGATTGTAACATGACGTTAATTGACAACTCAATTCACTGCGTTTCTAATGACTCAATCCTAGACTTTTTGCCTCGATTAATTATACACGTCATAATCTAAACTATAGGACTGAATGTTTTGAAACCCGGTTATTGTTATTTATTCCGACCACCATCCGTTCTTTATGCCCCGATACACTGTGGCATATCGCCACGTCTCGACATATTTGTCTCTAAAAGAGGCCATGGTGGGTCTCCATTCGTATGATGCATTCCGATATGTTACTGCGTATAATTACGGCCCAACCTCGAATGGAAAAGTGTATCGTTGTATTTCTCATGAACGCTGCAAACGACGTCTTCGAGTCATTGAAGTCAATAAAGAAGATTCAGAGATTCCTGTCACTTTTCAATTGGCAGTCGCCGGAATGCATGGAACCCAAATTTCTAATCGGAAACGAGTTGGTATTGACCGGTCTGTAAAAGCGGAAGTTGATGGGCTGCTAGCTCGAGGGTTTGAACCCAAGAAATGCCGTCTCACTCTTGAAGAAAAGTACGCAAAGCAACCAGCAATTCTTGTCAAACTTCCAAGTGAAAGCCAGATGAGAAATCGACTGTTAACGCTCAAGAAATATGGAAAGCGGATTCTAGATGCCGCTCCAGATACAGACTTAACTTGGCGTACAGTTTCACCACAAAATTTGCTAGTAGCTGAAGAAGACACATGTGAGGATGCTAAGAGTAGCGATTCAGAGTGGGTTGATGAAGATAGTAATCCGACCGCTGAAGTTTTTAAAAGTAGGGAGAAATACAAGAGTGTTAACGAGACGGATCGCTATGATAAAAAGAAGCTGATGGAGGAGTTCACGGCGTTGCCTGGACGGCCGGTGCTTTGGAGGATTCTCAAAAAGACCGGATACACAAATGACAATGACGATACGATGGTGACTGAGTGGATAACTGGGCAGGTGGTTGGATGGCAAACTAGCGAAACTTTGCCTACAAAATGGGTTGTGCGATTTACAGATGGTGAAAAGCGAAGGGTTGAACTAGAAGAGCTCGTAGATCAGATCCGAGCATCAGCACAGCAGGGACTAAACGTGACGGGTCGGTCACTTGACTTCTAGACGCTTGGTTTTGGCCAAAGTCGTCAGAAACACCTTGGTTACATGCGATTGGGATACAATCTCTGTACCGTCATCTAAGCTGCTTGGTTGTATTGCATCTTCGATGGTGCCTTTGTTGAATCATTTTTGATGTGAGATTCGTAATTACCAGATGACGTTCAGGTGCTTTAAGCTGAATGAGACCCGGTGTTAGCGTAATCATGGAGCTTTTTTTTCGTTGTACCATCCTCACCCAGCTCCGTCTATTGAGTCGGTGCAGTCCGGCGTTATACAAAGTTATTGTACACGAAGTGGTGGTCGTGATGTTTGTGTGGTTTGGTATGAATGTGACAATGCGGTGTAAGAAAACAGACACAAGACTGGTTGAGTTTTGTGCTGTCTTCTTGATGCTGATGTGACGTACGCTGAACCGCTGATCAATCGAGGAATACAGTTTCATACAATTTTAACATATAAGTGACAGTGACCCATGACACGCAATCACAGCTACGCCAGCATTCGGCTGACCTTACCGACCGATATTGGTCAACATTACGTCGAAGATGACACGTTTCCCAAGGCAAGAACTGGATGTAGTAAACTAGTTGAAGATTGTGAGCGAGTCGCGATTGGATATGGGTTAAGCTATATGAGTAGCGCATTTGTAAGGTACTTTACAAGTCTATCTAGCAGCTACAACAGAAAACAATATAATATTTTCATCTTGGGGCCGCAATAATTATGCAATTTTGATTAACATATTAATATGCTTTTACCCGGAAACATTGCTTCCACATACACGTAGTGACTTTGTATGCGACATGAATACTCATTCAAGATTTGACGTTTATAAAGTAGAGCTTAAGCTGTGGATATCTACTAAGTTCGACCGCATGTGTACAGGTTATTCTTACTCCTTGCACCAAAACACCAAATACATATATATACAGCACTTATGCGACTAAAAGAAGCTTTAGAAGCGCCGAGTTGTATTACATTTTCTTTGCAAAAAGGGTTGTTCTGCTGGCTTATGGTTCCTGGTTGTCCGGCTCGAGGTTTCACTTCTCATGTCATCGACTCAATGTAAGGAAGTAAAAATAGGAGCTGCATGATCGGTGAGAGCAAGAGTACTCATACCTAATCTTTCATCAACGGAGTATAGATATTATTCTCGTGACATAGGTTGTGTGTTCTCTGGTTCTTGGTTGGGAAAGCCCGCTCGTTTGGTCATGTGAACGTTGATGGGCATACGGAGAGGTCGTTGGATGCAATTAATTATCAGAACATCCCCTAGACGACACACCACAGAACTGACCTCGCCAACCACGACAGAAACACCCGACTCACACGAATACTGACATCACCACGCATGATTAGAGATCGTTTTTCTCAAACAAATACGACATCCCACACAGATCTAGAGCGGGGAAAGTATGGATGATAAGTGAAAGAGATACGACCTTTATTGTAAGTACGATAAGAAATGCTTGCGAAAGTCTTAGTGGGCATGTTTGAGGAACCTACCAGTCAAATGTTACCAGATTAAATGCTGTTTCATTTTTGATACATCATGAGACATGAGACTTAAACGAAGAATTCTGTTCGCCCCGTCACCTATGGCAATGCATGTTTCATTTCTCTGGCTGCATCTATCAAAGGCATAGGCATGCAATGGGATTGTTAAATGATCACACCAATGCCAAAACTAGACGTTGTTTTCAGGTTCTATCGAGTTTCAAACACTTCGGTGTTTTTGATAACTTTAATTAATCAATTTGTTTTTTTAGTAATGACAAGAAAGTTTCAGAGAGAAAATGTGAGGTATACTCAGGTACGCGAGTGACTCGCTATCCTGTCTGACGGCACTTGCAAACACCGTACAGACATCTGCTTAAAATATTATTTAAGTACGAGGCCTCGGACAGCGCCGCGCGAGGTGTTGTTCTGGTATGGCGCGGCCTGTTGCGGTCATCGCGGGACCAGTAAGATCGGACTGCTCGTCCAGGAAGGTAGTAGGTGCACTTGAAGTGAAGCGCATGTGTCCGTTCCGATGTTGACCACGCGCTCCGCCATTGTGTTATATCACGGTAGTGATGACCCTAGATGGCGATGGTGATATCGTCGGCTAGGGCTCGCACCTCTCGGCAAATCAACGCCAAATGTGTTTGCGTGGGGAGCGATCAGTTTTGAGCTGGGAAAGCACCAAAGCGCTGTCCCCGATTGCACGCAGTGGTGAGTACCCGCTTGACTTCGCCTGGCGGAGGCCGTGAACAAGACCTCGATATTCAGCGATGTTGTTGGTAGAAGATGCATGACCGTATCCCACGCTCGCTACCCACATGACGCAGGTTGTGTGCGTCGGAAGGTGAACCTTGACAGTAAATGATCTAGAACCTTCCGGTTTAGGAATACCTCGAGCTCCATCGTCAAAGCAAGTAGGTATAAAACGTTAGCGCGTTCGTCTCGCCGTATTGGATGCAGTTGATTAGGTTCCTCAGAGAGAATTAGAGTGCAGACGAGAGTGACCGCACATGTGGCAGGTTTCGTCCTTCCTCCTCGTCTCCGGGCTGGTATGTTGAGCCGCGGAAGCGTGTAAGCGCATTTCGAAGATGAGATCGTGGCGGGCTAGTGCGTGCTTCGTTTGGGAGTGTTGAGTCTTCCATATGACGAAGCCGCTCAATCCAGATGGCATGAAGCGTTGATGCAACTACGAACGCCACAGCTCGCACGCAGCCGGAACACTGCGGATCGATATCTTGCCAGATCTCCGTGTGGCCCAAGAACGTCCATTTTAATTGCGTCCTGAGCAGCCCTCGGAAAGCCCGGAAGCCCCATGCCAAAGACTCATACGTACTTATCTATCTTCTCGAACGTGCCAAGACACCACCACAGAGAAACAACTTTTTTCTAACGCCGTTACGCCTCAAGGCAGCTCCAGAAGACATAACTTGCACCACGTACAAAGAATTTGGCCCACACCACGCGATCTGATCTGATTTGCGATTGCGATCCGAAGTAGGTAGTTTACACCACGCGTTCCGATTGCAATCTTTGGTATGTGGTCCATACCATGCGATCTGATCCGGGCACGATCACGATACGTATTGTGTAGTCCACACGGTGCGATCACTTTATTGACCAATCACGTGTGATTTGGACTTACCACAACCATTGGATAAGCGCCCGCAAAAAGCCCATTCCCATACGCTTCTCCACAATCGTTCCCTGCACTGGTACTTGGCATTCAGTGTCAAAGCACCTGTGCATTCAAGTCTTTTTCACCCTTAATTTTCTACTCTTTGCCTCTCTTTCTCCATTTTTTCGTCTTCATTTTCAAGTCAAATGTCTTCCTCGATCGTAATCTATCCTCGATCGGTCCCAATCGTATGACCTGCTCGATCTGGTCCAAAGCCGGATCTCGATATGGTCGTGTTGACTGATCTCCGTCCTCGGTCCTGCTCCAGGTCTGCTGACACGATCTCCTTGGGTGGAGATACGGCATCACAGTTCTTTGCTCACGATCCCATCACGCAATCACGATCCGCATTTGCAAGTGATTTTCTGCCGATGCGTCCAAGTGGGCGAGACTCTCATTCTACGGTGGACCGGGCCACGTCAGACACTTGGTTGGATCTCATGTTTGTACGGTTGGCAGCCCAGCAGGAGATGGTGAATCGGTACGGTGAGCTTGAAGACACCTTGCGATCCGTGCAGAGGAAGACAAACTCAGAGAGCTTATACGTCTTAGGGTTCTTATCCCTTACTAGGCTAGCTCATAAGCTTGTGCCTATCGGTTGTTACAACCAGGTCTCAAAGACACTAGTATTAAAGAGACTAGTTCAATGATACAATTCTTTAAGAGGAATAGAACGCTAAAGAACTAGTGCTATACAGAGCAGGTTTGAACCTGGTTTATATTTATGTTTATCTTCTAACACTAAATACAGAAGCACCTATCCTATACTTAGTGCTAGTCACCATTACTGGCTCTATAGCCTGTTATTATTATGCAAACATGTATAGTCTTTATATTTAACTAAGTATAGTGACCACGTGGCTCTCTGCCACGATGCGACCCTTCGTATCTTAGGTATGGTCACATCGAGCCTACGCTTGTATCCAAGGAACAGCCACACCATATTGGTGTGGCAGGTGTGTATGTAAAATACACACTTTCGCGTAACCCCGTTACACTCTAAGTGACAAATCTTATGGTGCGGTTTGTAGGAGAAGCAGGGAAAGAATACAGCGATGATGTAAGTATAAGCAACACATTCCAGAGACTCCAACGAATTACGGCAACTTTCATGACCTTAACATTTGATTATTACATACTAACATCTGTCTGCATCTGGAGAATCCCCACATGGTCGGTATCCATAGAGACGTAGTTTTTCTTATGTTACTGAGCTAGCTTTAGCGCCAATTTGGTTTGCATGCTTGCAGTCAGATAGGCAGAGTAGAAACGTTGTGTTCTTCAAAACTGTTCTTGCGTACAAAAGTGAGCAGACCACATACGATAGCCGAAAGAAGCTGGCTCTGCATGCTTCTACAAAAACACAGGAGGTTAATCATTGAGCGAGGTGTTACACCCTTTACATATGTGCACCATTATGTGTATGACTAATGCAATCTTGTAACAATACTGCGATAGGAACTTCTTTTTATTAGCGTCGGACGGGGTTAAGGAAGCTGATTGCTTTAAAACAAGCGAAATGTCATGCAACATTCTCCAACTGAGACTTTGTTCACTGAAAAGCTCAAGGTTACCGCAAACTTGAACATATCGTCATAGACAAAAATTGTGTATTACTCAATTGACCTTCTGAATACAATACACACTTATACGTGGCGAACGATAAAGCTCTTGTTATTAAAACCTTAGCTTTACAACATCTACCCTCAGCTTGCATTGTGATGCTGTCTTCTTGCCGTTGCAATCCAAGCAGCTATATGTCATCCACGAACTTTTTTCATGTGCCCAAAGCTTGCAGCTTGTCGAGTGAAACTTGCTCGTGCTCAGGACCTTAGCAAAAATGCTTCTTTATTCATTTAAGGTTTGTAATCTAGCGTTTTTCGTTCCTTTGACCTTGCTTTTGTCTTTACTTAGACGAACCTGAATGCTTAAACCCTTATGCAACATCTGATACATTGCCTCAAACTTAGCTTTTCCATATATCTTCTCCAATTTCGATGCACTTGTTACTGGTGGGTTCAAGTTTAATTTGGCATTGTAAAAGTCCACATACTGTCCTCTTCTTCAGTATCCTCTCGCGAGGGAAGAGGAGGCGCTTGGCGCAGGGGGTTGTCTCCCTTAGATGAGAAGACAAGGAATGGTACCGACGTCCTTCGGTCGGTGAGCGTGATGATCTTGGGGTACTATGACCCCCCCGCAGGTGACTCGACTCCGCCACCCGGAGAAGCAACGTCACTGTCATCGCTCTCAAAGATGTCGCGACGCATTGCATCATCCATGATGAAGCAAGCGCTATCAAGTCAAGTGCTTTATAAAACCAAGTGGTTGTGAACACTGTAAAGCTTAAAAGTAAGTGCTAGGCACATAGTGCTGTGAAAGCAAGTGGTCGTAAAGACATAAAGGGTATTATTCCAAGTGCTTGGCACGTAACGCTCATAAGCAAGTGTCGTAACACTTAATGCTTTAGCGTGAGTGCGATGCACTATATGCTCAAAGAGCGAGTGTCGTAACACCAGGATGCTCATAAAGCGTGTGTGCAAGGCACGGGTGCTCAAAGAGCAAGTGTTGAAAACATTAAAGCTTTAGACGCAAGTGCAAGCACTTATTGCGAGGCAAGCAAAATGAAAAGAAAATGAAATCGATGCCTCCAATTTAGTGCGAAAATTCGTGGGTACGTCGGGTCCCACAAATCGGTGGGGGAGGGTGTAACGGAGATGTGTATTTGACATACACACCTGCCACACCAATGTGGTGTGGCTGTACCTTGGATACAAGAGTAAGCTCGATGTGACCTTACCTAAGGTTCGAAGGGTGAAAGCCACGTGGTCACTATACTTATTTAAAGTATAGTGACTATGCATATTTGCATAATAATAAAAGGCTATAGAGCCAGTAAATAGTGACTAGCACTAAGTATAGGATAGGTGCTTCTATATTTAATGTTAGAAGATAAAATAAATATAAACCAGGTTCAAAACCTGCTCTGTATAGCACTAGTTGCTAGAGCGTTCTATTCCTCCTAAGGATTCAGTATCTTGATACTAGTCTCTCTGAGACTCGGTTGTGACAACTGATAGGCACAAGCTTACGAGCTAGCCTTAGGAGGGTTAAGAACCCTAAGACGTAGAAGCTCTCTGAGTTTGTCTTCCTTTGCTCATAGTGCATAAGTAGCTTGGCTACAGTAGTTTGACTGCTTCTTTTGCACATAGTGCATAAGTAGCGTGGCTACATTAGCTCGGCTACAAGGAAAGCCTCGAAGCCACGTATAGTTACAGCTTCATGCGCTGTTGGTACAGGACATCGATGAATGATGACCGTGCCAAAACTTGATTTGTTTTGAAGCGAGGTCTATCGCCGTAACGCTAAGCGGTGATAAATTGAAAGAATAAGTCGTCCACTTTAGAAAAGCGTACTCAAATGGACCTAATTTTAACGGGAAGGACATCGAATTGGTATCACACTTTTGTGTATATTTGGTAAGCTTTAAGATGTCTCATGTTTACAATATTTCAAAGTTAAGGGCATGAAATGGTTTTGCTATTGCCATCTAGTTCTATATCGGCCGCTGTGTGGCAGTTGGCACTGAAGGAGAAGGTACTTAACGTTGAAACGTTAAGTGTTTTCTACAACGCCTGATTATGCAATTTAGTGGCGTGGTGTACATTACTCTATTTAGGGCTGCTAAGAAAGCTATCAGCCATGGCCGAAGTGGACTACTATGCAATGCTGGGCATTGAAAAGACAGCCACTGAAGACGAGATCAAACGAGCGTACCGTAAGTTGGCCGTTCGTTATCATCCAGGTACGTGATTGTTTGTATTTTACTTTCTTTTCTGCGCCGTTCTTATACTTTCAAGTGTCATTTTGATACCTCATTTCGCATTTTAGACAAGAATTTAGACAAAAAAGAAGAAGCGGAAGTAAAATTCAAAGAAATTGGAGAGGTGTACAATCAACTTGTGGCTCCCATTGATTGCTCAAAGCTAGCTAACGTAAACGGGTACTACTGACTGGATCACTACAGGCTTACTCGGTATTATCCGATCCAGATAAGCGGCGTCAGTATGACCGCTTTGGCAAGACCGGAATCAGAGGCTTTGCAGGCAATGGTGGTGGTGGCACGAATGCGCAACCATTTCAGGGTCAGGATGCTGAGGAGGTCTTCCGCACATTCTTCGGTGGCCAGGACCCGTTCTCCATGTTCTTCCAGGAAGGTATGCGGGGTGGGGGACGCATGCACAACTTTGGGGGATCTCGCGTGCATATATCGCAGTTTGGACCAGGATTCTCCTTCACGTCGTTTGGTGGGGCGCCTGGTATGCCAGGTTCGCGCATGCACCGGGTGAACCAAAGACAACGGTATGTTGGTGTCTGCGCTGTCTGCAAACACATTTGAAGCGATGTTGACTAATGGTGACGTTGTTGTGGATGGTAAACAGTGCACCAGGTGGCCAAAACGTCGCTGGTAACAATGAACCTCAAGCAAATGGGCGCTTTTCGCAATTTCGGATCGGCGGTGGCAATTTGTTGCTGGTTTTCTTTCTTCTCTGGGTTGTGGGTGTGCCGTTCAGCTACTTATGGATAGCGCTCATGATTTTCAGCTATCTTGGACTTGTCTAGACAGGAAACTTTGTAGAAACGAAAATCACTGAGTGTTGTCAAGCCAGAAAGTATTGTTGACCGACGACAGTATCGACCACAGACAAAAAACCGAGCGATCCAGTTACATAATTGCTGCTTGGCATTTCATGATGACATGTACATTGAAAATGACAGTATGTCGCGTTTGGTCGACTGGCAGTTCATTTTAGCTATCTCTTTGCGACGCTACCCTACCGGATGTTTAGATAAGAACTTGCTTACTCAAAGCTGTTCTAGGAGCCTTTTCTGTGCAATTCAAAGTTCAGAGACAGATCAACTGAGCTATTGCTTCATCCAAGCTTCCAGGAACTGTTTTATCATGGAACATCTTGCAGTCGCGACGACTTGTGCGCTTCACGACGGCCATTACATCCTTTGTGCCAGGGAAGTGTGTCAACACGTAACAAATGCTTTTACGCGGCGGTAATCGCTCGGCATTGCGTATGGCATTTCTTATGGATTCTTCTTGACGATGCCAAAAACAAGATGAGATACAATAACGATTTACAAGCGATGTTAGAGCCTCCCTACTATGTCCTTCCATTCAACACATTCACACCTGCTTTCAATATGTTGACAGATGCCTTCAAAATTTTTGTCATCCAGTCCTGCCTTTTGCTACGCTGCACGCCATTTCCTTCTTACTTTTTTGGATCAAGATTTCCAGCTTGTAGATAGAGGTGATAAGTACATGACGAATCATATCGGCGTCACCGTTTCACTGCAGAACGCAATGCTCTGAATTGACTGCAACTTTACTCTGATGAAAAGCGCAAAGACACTCTTGTTGACGAGGTCTTACTATTTATCCGATCACAGACATCAATGATGATTTTGGCGCAAAGAAGCAACCTCACTGTTTCATATGCAACTGCATAGCCAAACACTAATACCGCGTTCGAAACCTCTGCATCTGAACACGTTGGGTCGTGTATGACTCTTTGCTACAACACTTTCAGCTCCTTCAAGTCCTAGAACGTGTAAACAATGGCTTAAGGTACAACCGTTTGCTCATCACCGTGGGCTGAGCGAATGTCAAGACAGCATTTTTTTCCACCAGGGTAACACTAGAGAGCGTCACAAGTATCAAGGCCACCTTAGTGGACCTGGCTCAGGACAATCCTTCGACATGTGTGAAATGCCGCAATGACAGGAGTTTTAATGATGGACACGGATCGAGCTGCAACTGTCACAGGAGCACAAATGCGTACGCTTGGAATCCAGGTTCTGCGTATAATTGCACGTCAGATCAAATGGGCAAAGTGCTCCAGGTCTTTTTGTATGCTTGAAATGCTCGAGTCACACATTGTATAACATGGTATCTGACTCTGAAATTGTTGTCATCACTGTCTAGAAAGCTCTGAAATGTCATCCTTTGATATCCGTGTCCATGCTTGCGTTTGAGCATGTATTTTCGCGCATGTTTGTCATGTTGTCTAGCTCATTGACGTAGCCAAAGCAAGATTGCCTCATCCATTACGGTGGTGCAGTGTTCTTGTTAAATCGAAGAAACCACTCAGGAGCCCATCTTAAAGAAATCCTGTGGTCCTTGCTGACTGTATTAATGTGCAAAGAAGATTATCTACGCACCACATGAGACTTTCTCGTTTTCAGACTTCAGCTCCATCGAGTCCGGGTGTAGCCAATTGCTGTATGGAGCTACAGAAGGTCCCAGTAAACGCTGGAGCTGACGGTCTAAACACTTCTCAATGCTGCACAGGTGGCGGATATAGGCCAATTTTGACCACGCAGTGCGCTGTCCACCTTTGATGTAATTGTGCATATCTTGCTTGGTCGGGTTCTGAATGGCCTTGATACCGATCGCCTCTTGGAATGAAAACTCGGGCACGAGAGTCACATTGCCCGAGAAATTCTGCCGAAAGTATGCGCTAAACTGGTGACCGTAGATCTTAGGAAAAAGACCCAGAAACGCCAGCATCTTGAGGCGGTGGCGCACATCAGCAGCAATAACACTTTCTAGCATGTGGAAAATGCTCTTGCGAAAACCAGGCTGGTTGATTTCGTCCCCCACAAATGGCACAACGTGGGGGTTCACTTGTGACACAATGAAGTTTGTTACGTTAAAGCAGCTGGCCATCGTCTCCATGGGCAAATCGTGCTGAATACTACCATCGCACCATTCCTTGCCCAGCGAGTTATATGGAACAACATTGCCGTCAAAGTCGCGCGCCATGAGCTGCTTTCCTTTCATGATACCGGGTAGAGAGCATGAGCAGGCCACTGCACTCCAAAGCAGAACGTGAGGTGAGTTGACATGGTCCAATAGCAACTTCCTGGGGCCTTTGTGAGCACAATTGACATCTGAAGCTGAGACAGTGATGCACACGTGACGACCCGTTTTAAGGTAGGCGTCCTGGAACGTGTAATGCATTGATTTATGCACCCCATTTAGAGGCTCGCCGAAGTAGTGCTGAGTCGTGCGTTCGAAACTCGAGCACTCGACTAAAAATCCTGTCTTGATGCAGTGTGTGATCTGATCGAGCAGGGGCGGAAACCATCGAATTCCGAGAGGTTTAAATCGGGTTGAGATGTCATCTTGGATGATGTTGTCAAGCAGCTCTCTGTTCGTTTGACAAGCAATCATAGCTGCTGTAATAGCACCGCCTGAGGAACCTGATATGATATTTGGCATAAGGTCAGCTTCAAGTAGCGCCTTGACAACACCCTTGTGATACATGGCAATTGAGCCACCACCGCTAAGACACAACGCGGTCGAGCCAAACGACTGCTTGATATGCTTGAAAAATTGAGCTTTTTCCTCACGCGGAAACTCCTCTTCACTCGAGCTGCCTAACATCTCCAAAGCGCGCACAATAGTATCATTGTACTCTTTGATTACACTTTTGGTGCCAGATTTGCACTCAAGATGCAAGTTTGGCGAATCCACGCCCAGCTCATTGCGCATAACGCACGCAGCCATCATGTATCCAAGCTGTCGGATGTTAGGTCTTGCTTCACCCATAATACGTTTTAGAGCAGACAAATTCGTTTGTAGCTGAGCAAAGTCACAATGCTCCAAATCGTCGTCAGATATGGTGGTTTTCCAATGGTCTTTGCCCTCCAGGTTATCCAAATACTCGGCCATCTTTGCCCACACTGCGTGTGTCGGCGCAGTTCTCATAAGCTGTCGCAGCGCCATAGCCTGTCGGTAACGTACACCAAAGATACTTTCATAGCCACATCGGAGAAGCGCAAATAAAACCTTTGTAAATTTTACAGTGATATAGCACGACATGGAGAAGATAATGCGTGCCAATTGGTATAGTGCGATTACCCACTGTAGCATTACGCCGACTTGCAGGTACAGGAGCCAACCAATGACTTTGTACTTGCGGATGAGCACCAAACTCGCAAGCGTTAGTGTGAGTGCTGCAGTGACTTGCGGACTACTGTACATTCCGTGCAATACTGAAACAAACGAGCTAGATGGCTTTCTTATCAGTCGTTGCATGGCCTGCCACCCATCTGTAAGCACGACCAAGACATTTTCGACTGTCCAAGCTGCATTAGCGTGCATTTGTGCTGCAAAACACGGGGTCTTTGTTATCACAAATGTAGCCATTGGGATCAAGTAATAGCTCGCAATGGCAACTATCAAGACGGCACTGGTCATGTTTGCCACAAACTGCGCAATGCGTTCCGAGTCTTTCCATGGTGCCTGTGGTTGTAATACAAGCGGTATCGTGCGTTCACTTGCAGTACGTGAGAGCTCCAGCTTTAGTTGTGGTACGTGATTCGACGTTAAAGAGCTTGAAGGGGGTGGTGACACAGTTGTTAACTGCATTTGAATCAGTGGTCGATTGTGATGAAATCTTGTTTTACTGAGCAAGCGATGAAGCAAAAGTGGCGAGCGTCTTGCAGCTAAACCGATAGATGGAAGAATGCCCCTTCTCAAGATCAAAATATGCGTGTGTCTATACGAATTTCTCAGAACATAAGGAGGTGAGAAAATGATACGGCGACGTCATTCCATGTGCTGGAGTGTCTTTAGTATGCGGCTGTACATATCAGAATATGCTTGAGTATGGCTCGGTTCATATGCTTCTTAAAATTTAGACCGTAAACACATGCATAGGATGATTACGTAATGAGTAAGCTGACCAATGCGTTTGATATTGTAGTCTCCATTATTGCGATAATTAGTAGTAATCAGCATACTGCAAAACATCTCCCATGTTGCCATGATGCACGCTGCAGCTGCTGTCGAATGCACAACTTGCCGTAGGGTATGCCGTGCAGTTCGTTTCCTGCTCGACCAATTTTGGATGACTTCATTCGACGAACAGGCAACGCAAGCGACATACATCATGTCCACACGCAAGAAGAGACAGTAGAAACTCATTGCAAGCGAGTTGCTGTCGTGCAAACGCGCGTGGAAAGCCAAGAGTATAGTGACAATCTAATAGACTACCATTATAGGTAAACTTGCAGCCAAACCCCTTAATTCCAATTCAGTGTAGATTGAGCTACATCAAAGATGACAGCTGTTTCAAAAAGTCCGTGGCTTGCTCAGACGCTGCATAATCGACAGCAGCATTTGCCAATGCAGCACTTTCGCTTGACGTCGGTACCTCTTCTCGTTGTTTGCGAAGACGTTCCAGCCGCAGTTGATTTCTCGTCTTCTTGTCCACTGCACCTGCCGTTGTCCTTTGCGCCAGCAACTGCATTCGATTCGCTTGCTCATGCACCTCCCTTAAATGGTCTTTCTCCGTGCTTTTCAGACATTTCTCCCATTGTGAGACAACAAAGCTACCGCCATCCGACTTAGCCTCCTCATCTTGGTTGTGGCCTTCATTCAAAAGGTTTTTCGGATTAAGTTGTTCCTTATCAAATTTCTTTTGAGTATCCTGAAGCGTCAAATACTCCTCACTGTCCATTGCAACGCTTCTAGTGCGTCCAAACTCGTCCAGAATCTCCACCATCGTTGTCGCTTCACTACTCCCTGTATCTTTCTTAGCTTCAAAATCCACCAAACACTCCCCGTTCATGCGTTCGATACCTATTCCATTCGACAACTCTTCGTAAAGTTTAGCCTTCTTACGCAGCATCTCCACTGACAATTTATTCCATGCTGCGTCATCATCTTTGTCGGGAACTTCTCTAGCTTTAGCCTCTTCATCGCGTTGACATCGTGTCTCTACTCCACTATTTTGACATTTTCGACCTACTCGGTCCTCTTTCGACTGTTTGTGGCGCTTACTACCACCTCGCAAATGCGCGTATTTCCCGAGACGAAAAGCCTTGTGACCAATAAAATTGTCGTCATCATCGTTCTCCATTGTTAGCGCATCCTGCAAGCGGCGTTTCCTCTCCTGATCCTTCTGAAAGACAACTGCTTTAAGGTCAACGAGCGACTTTGCATCGACTTTGATCCCCTTTGCCTTGGATGGCACGAGCGCCGACTCGGTCAAAAAACCCAGCGACATGGATTAAATGATTGTGTTTTTTTAATTTAAGATGGACCCACTAGACCTTACAATTCTAAAAAAACGTTTAACTCGCGGATTCAAAAAAACGTCGAGATCAGTATACACCCGACTGTAACGGTTGTGCATCGTCATATTCCGGTGCACGCCAGTCAAGCTGCACATTATAGTTACCATAGCTACTTATCAAATAGTTCCTTATTTGCTCAGTATAAGCATAATGGAGTGGATTAACGGATGCAAGGGAGTCCAATATGTAGGTAGTCAAAACGTCCGCTAGATGGTATAAATAATGCAGCTACCAATGTGCTACGAAGTCGCGTATGTAGTAGCAAGATCGCACACGTTACTGTCAGTTAATGCATCGACAGTCTCCGTTTGAGACCGGTTGAAGTCTTATCAACCTGTTAGTGGTTGTTCCTATTTGTAGGTTATCCTTTCACGTTTGCGTTACTAGTGGCATGAAACTATCTTACAGTTTACTAGCGTTTTGATGAATGTGCTAGATGTGTGAAGATTCCCATCAACTAGCAGTGCTTGCACATAGTTGTCGAGTATAAAATGGCAGACGCTTTCATTGTCCGAGAGAATATGAGATAGGTCGGAGTGAGTTATGGTTGCGAATGCGCCACCTAACAGCTGCAAGGAATCGAAGTCCTCGACAAAATATTTTTGTGCAAGTGCGACTTCTTTGGCAAGATGATGGTGGACATGGGGATTTTGACAAATTCTTATCGAATTTCCGGAGTTTGCCATAGCCATGAAAAAGCTGATCTTGAAGCGCGATGCTGGAAAGTTCGAAAGAATCGAGAAGATGACAGCACTCGTGACGTAAATTAAAGAAGACGATCCAGGCATGGATGAGGTACGCATTAAAATCACGTGTCCAGGCAAACTTCCTACATGACAATTAAATTTGAGTTCGCCGGGGGAAGTGACAAACCGGCAGCTGACAGTGTTGCTGCTATTGCTGTTGCCGCTTTCTCCTCGAAGGCGACAGTTGCCATATGTAACGTATTCGGGAAGCCCTAAATAGTGCCAATTACAAGAAGGTTAACCATCCGTATGCAAGATCCCTGGCAAAGAAATTGGTTTTACCGTTTGGTGGTGACATCGCAATAGCTTGTCCAACTGGGGTCAATAATCGAAGGTTATAGGTCCCACTGCGTCAGCGGGCATTCCGCAACAGTTATAGCAGCTTGAAATACAGATTCTTTTGAAGTAGTAGAGCAGCAAAATGGGCTTAGACGACGACAAACTTGAGAAGATTCTGCGAACTGAGCTCCACCACCAAAAAACAAGTTTGCTGCGTCTAGCTGGGTCGCAAACGAGCGATTGAAGCTTTGAGACTGATTCATGTGCTCTATTGACTAAAACCTCACCAATGAACGGCGGATGCAGTGCGAGATGACTGAAAGTGCATAAGATCGACATCTTCTCGACTCAAATCCCAATCCTAGCCTATACACCGATCTTCAGACAGTCGACAACTGTCGGTCGTAGTAGTTGTAACGTATGATTCAGTAATAAGTGGAGTCAATCTACTGAAGATATTAATATGAATTTCATTCCAGAAAGTAGCACCGACATGCATCCACTTGATCTGACTAGCAGCGGACATAATCACGGCTAAAGGACCTCTGACGGTCGACCGTTGTGGAAAACCCACGTACAGATACACCATTCATTCAAAAAGCTCGAAAAACATATTGATGCATACAATAAATGAAGAACGATACGATTTAAACACTTGACTGCTATATGAACTTACTGACCAATACAAGTGATTGGAGCAATGCGATGCGGCGAGATGACTTTGTGGTAAGCAGAGCCGCGATAAGATCTCCAATACATGGCGTGCCGGACGAAGAGATATTACAACTCACCGAAAGTATCAAGTTCTCAACAGGATGCAGTGCACCCACTCCAAGTTCATGGCCCTAAGAAGATGTTTCACTCAATCAAGAAAGCATATGGGCTCGAGGCTGGATGGTCTTTGCCAGATGGAAAGAAATAGAAGGCTGTTATGACGGCATCTTCCAAATAACTGTAAGGAACATCAAGTGTTTGTGATGACGTCTGACGTTGTGTGGGACGCGCATTGTAGTAAAACGCCCGATCGCGCTGCCTCTTCTCGGGCCATGGCGACGTGCCTTACAAGTTGTCTATAGCACTGCCGATGTCCATAAACTGCTCATGTGATTGGAATTAGCGGACCACGTCAGTCACTGGCTATCTAAGATTTTAATTTGTTTTTGACGTGTCGACCATTGCATTGTTATTGGTGGTCAGTGAACTAATGGCCTCTTGATATCCATCCACTGCTGCTGCTTTTTTTGCTTAAAACTTGTAAATGCGTGCGTTATTGCTAATGAGGCTATTTTGTGAAATAATTTCAAAAGATCTATTAAAATAGCCTTATAAACGATGCGGTAGGGTTTGGCGAAGCAGTTTCTATGGTATTCTCTGACTTTCATTAGGATAAATGTATTGAAAAGACTGTATCTCACACGCGACACCCAGGTCGTCTCGATTTTTTCCCAATTACGTTTTTGGGAGGTAGAGAGTGAAAATTCCTTCAGTTCATTCTGCGAATCGAGCGTTGCGAACAACAAGTGATCAGCTCTATACAAAACGTCAGTTGTTTACAAACTCGGAGCTAAAAGAGGGAATTAATCTCTCTTGCAGTAGACTATATAGTTTGGAGCGTACGCGTATGCATCGTCAGCGAATCACTCTTTTTTCGGCTGCAGACGCCAACGCTATGGCGCTCCGGGAACGTTCCAGTGTCGTACTGGGCTCTAGTCGTGGTCCCAACCGCTATGATAAGCGTGCTCAGTCGTACAGTTTACGCCCAAGCACTACTGTATATGGCCATGAGGGAGAGGACTTTTTTGATGGATCGGCTAGTTCTTCGTCCGTTACGGAACGGAGTGGCACGGGTAGTGCAGCTCCGAATCGCACACGTCTTAGCGTGTCACCAGACCTTAGTAGTGCCTATGAGGACATTTTTGAGACAGACTGGGAAGGATACATTTGGAAACAGGGACACGTTGTGCGCTCATGGCGTTATCGCTACGCTGTGCTATCGGGCACGACCTTTAGCTACTATGTGAACAAGGAAATGGCCAAGACAGACACGGAAAAGTTTCGTGGTCGCGTGACCGTCACAGGCGCATCGCGTGATCCTAACCGCTCTAACGGTGTACTCATTACGACAACAATCAATAAGATCTTTGCCATGTATACACGTTCTAGCATTGAGTGTGAGGTCTGGATCAAGATGCTGCAACAGGCCGTGCAGAACACGAATGGTCAGAAACCTGGGCAAAGCTTTAGTGGCGGATCCAATGGACGTGACTCTGACCCCCAAAGTGGTCGCGTGCCTCAATGGAACCCTAATGCTAGTGCTACACTTCCTTTTTCAACGGGAAGTTTGTTGTCTCAGACGGTACGGTCGTCAGGAGATTGGAAAGCTCGTAACTTGGCGACTATCAAACAGTTTTACTCAATGTGGACAACTCAGTTCCTGGAGCAAACTGGCGTCGATGATTCGGCGGCAAATCTCATTTCACTTTTTCCAATCTGTTCACCCGAGATGATCGTTTCAGTCACTTACCCATGCGAGTTCTTGCCGTCGACGAAGTTTTATGGACGGGAAGGTCTTGTCGACGTTGTGCTGGGTTTTTCACGCTTCGTGCTGTTCAAAAGATTTTCTGTGTCTCGATACATGACTACGAAGCAGCCAAATGTGCTACAGGTACTGGCTGCTGGTACGATTTGGAACAAGTCGCTTCAGCGCGAGTTTACGTTCACTACGCGTGACGAGATCCAGCTGAGCCCTGGTGGTCGTGTACTGGGTCTTCAGATGCAGATTGAAGTGGACATTGCTGCCTTTCAGATGTCGGACGCGGAACGGAAGGCTGCCAAGGCGGAGCGTGCGTTCCAGGCGTCAACATCAAAGCGTGTTTTATCTTTGTCCATCCAGCACTTTCACGTGAACCGTGTTTTGGGTAAGGGCACATTTGGGACGGTGGTGCTAGCTGAGCGCAAAAACACGGGTGAGATCTTTGCTGTGAAGATATTGGAAAAGAGCTCGATGTCAAATTATGATAAGCTTCGCACGAAGACGGAGATGCGAATTTTGCGCGACGTGCATCACCCGTTCATCGCGCCTCTGCGTTTCTCGTTTCAAAGCCAGTCTCGTGTATTCCTGGGTATGGACTACTACCCCGGTGGCAGCTTGTACACGCACATGAACTGTTTTTCCAACAACAAAGAGCACCGTGTGAAGATTCCGCTTGATCTGGGTCGTGTCAAATTCTACGCCGCTCAGATTGTGCTTGCGCTGTCGCACCTGCACGCATGCGACATTGTGTACCGTGACCTGAAGCCTGATAACATCATGCTTGACGTTGATGGCAATGTTGCGTTGGTTGATTTCGGCCTTTCGAAGACAAATGTGAACCAAATGTCAGGTGCGCGCACAATGGCAGGCTCACCCGCTTACACCGCTCCTGAGCTGCTGAAACCGAAGCGTTCGCGCGATTATGGCAAGGCTGTTGATTGGTGGTGCCTGGGAATTTTGTTGTATGAGATGTTGCTTGCAAAGCGACCGTTCCATCACCTGAACGTGTCGGTGCTGTACAAGCTTATTGAAAAGGAGCCTGTGAAATTTCCGTCAAAGTGTGGCATTAATCTGGACGCTCGTAGTCTTATTTTGGGCTTGCTGGAGAAGGATCCGAACAAACGTCTCGGTGCACGCCAGACGAGCGATATTCTTACGCACCCGTTTTTCAAGGATATTCGATGGAACGTAGTCCTACGAAGGAAGGTGACACCGCCTTGGGTACCAGCACCTATGTCGATGGAGGAGGAACGACTGAAGAGCCCAGACATTAATTTTGATAAGTTCCTGGCCTCAAAGACGGCGTCCACGGGCAATTTCTTCAGCGTTATTTTTCCATGGAAAACCCCTCGTAATCGTCTGCGTCGGGCTAGGTCGGAAATGGATTACGATTCATTTGGTAAGTTTAGCTACGTGAGCGACACGACCAATTCGTTTCTCGTGGACGAAGATGAGATGCTTGACGCTGCTTTTACAGGCCGTCGTAGCATTCAACTGCATACTTTGGCAGGCGAAGCGTAAATTTACGAACTAAGGACTGCCCGTTGTTGTACTAGCAGATGCACGTAGAAAGAACGCTACTAAAGGTAAATTATTTTTGACTGCGCGTTAGGTACATGTTTAAACACGAAACTATCACTTGCATGTGGAATTATTCATTTGAAGACATTTGATATACGTGCCACAACATTCTTTGTCACGCTCAGGGTCACAAGCGCTAGTAACATGGTAAAAGCTTGGACAGCAAGAAAAGAGCAGCAGCACGAGTGAGTACTCAGCAAGTATACTCGTGCTGCTGCTCTTTCAAGAGCTGACAAAGCTCAATGGCACTGAGAGACGCCAAACCTATTTGCCCGTTCGATATTTGAACCACACCTTTACAGCACAAAGAAGCATGACTGCATGACATAAAGTACGCCCCTCTACCTTGCAGTGGCTTTTTATCACGCAAAAGAGTAAAAGATTACCTGTCCAAGAAATTAGCAAGAGAACTGCCGCTGATGTGGCAAAGTAGCCATCGACTCTCAACTTGGACGATAACCTAAGTATGCCATGGTCTTTGCTACCTCCACTTTCTAGCGACACAATGGCAGGTGACGCCATCACCTAGTCACAAAATGATCTCTCACTAATTGAGACATTAAACAGATAGCAGCAAGGTGGGGAAGCTGTGACACATTCAGTATGCTACACAAAAAGTAGGAAATGTGCGTTACCGTGGCATCACCTCTTACGATTTTTGCAATCTTCTGACTATAACTTGTGCATTTGCAATTAGATGAAAAGAACTCAATACTTCTTGACGTGTCCTGTTTCATCACACACGCGCCTTAAAGCACAATTCATCATTTGCCACAACTGCATCAATATGATCGTGAATCCTATGCACCAAGTGCCGAAAGTTTGGGTCATCCATGTAGTGCCTCACAAGCAAAGCCATGGTACAATCCACTTGTACTTCCGACTGAACTGAAGGTATTTCCGTGTCTTCTACAAGAGGGTCAATATCTGACACACAAGTGTTAGCCTTGAAACAGTCAGCTATTCTTTCTACTCGTGGGGAAGTTCACATAACATACCCCATGTATCCATCATCGTCTCAGCAGCTCGTAGCGCTTCCTCCTGGTCTTGTAAACGAACTCTGGAGCTCATACAAAGCAAACTAAGATTAGCAACAAAGATGTAACGAGCACTATCTTGGCTGCAAAACAATTACGTTAAAGCATAGCCGTTGTCCATCATAACTCGTAATAATCTTCTTCTCACTCGAATATTCTTAATGCGGTTGGACGAGATACTCAACACAGCAGAGGTTAACGATAAGGAATCTACGCATAGCTTCAAAAATCGATCGCAAACAGTCATCACAAAGCGTCGACGTAATGCCTCGAGTCTTCCACGCGTTCCGGTGGCTCCTCGATGCCGCACGACCTGCACCTCATACATATGGAAAGAGGTGTCACTTCAACTTGAAGTTGAAGTATGTTGACCCACCGCGCTCGTTAACTTCGCCCGTGACCATCACTCTGATGTTGAAGTAGTTGTAATTTGATGACTGTCTGCTTTGTCAAGAATGAAGGTCGCTCCGGAACATTTTCATCTGACAATGTGGACACTGTACTTGCCAGCAATTCAAGTCTACAGACACGCGTGCCACGTCAACGACAGCCGCCGTTTGTGCTAGGAACTAATCTGCTGGGTACAATGCTTCACTAGCCGATCTTTGACGGTGTTTAGAATAGAAAGCATTGCGCTTGATTCTTCCAAGTCTTGCCGAACAACGGCAACTTGAAGCATCACAGGCAGATGCATGATGGCATCTTCTTCCTCTGCAGCAGTTATATCACCGTAATTCACTTTGTAATACTTGGACGCTGAATCGCAATACTTCTTGTACAAATCAAGACTTTCTGGGTCTTCAAAGCCATAAGATGCAACGGATCGTTGCTGCTCACCGCTGCCGCCACCAACTCCTGCATTCACGGCACCATTTTCTTGACACATTCGCTCGTGTGCTCCTCGGATATCTTCCTCTTTGACCCCATACGCTAATGCAAGGATCAAGAAAACAGAGTATTTCCTCTTAAGATGGTCCGCAAAGAAGTTTAATATCTCGGCTGACATATGGTCTTCGCTTCCATCATAATTCTCAATTTCTCGTCTACTGTTAGCTACAAACAGTTCGTGCACTCGGCTTACCTTCTCGTAGACCAATAAAGCCATTTGTGGGTGAGTAACTTGAGCCACTAGCTTCTCCATCGCAACAATCCGTCGAATTTCTGACTCAGCCTTATCTTTCTCACCGGAAAGCACACGGTTGCACCAAATCTCACTTTGAAGCAAAGTTACTTTTGAATCTTGCCCCGGAGACACCCAGCAACGTTGTAACCCGTCGCTAGGCTTACTAGTTGTGTCTATATTGCTCTGGTTACAACATGGCCTTCTAACACGTACTTTTCGTTTGATTGCCAAGATGTGGCGAATTGATTTGGTCCACAACTCAAACGTGTTCTGATTGTATGAGCTGAATTCCAAGACACATCGCATACTCGCGTTTGGGTAATCAACAGCAAAGTTGTCTACCCTTCTCCCTGATGACACAACTAAGCTCTGTTCAAGCTCCTGATGCAGCTGCTACAACGCAATATCACAGTTCCACGACAGCGGTCATTCAGAGATGCACATAGAGCTTCAACCAGAAATATTCTAGCAAGAAAGCCGTACCTCATGTAATGTGTCGATTTCTAGTATTTGGCGACGAAACAATCGTAAGCTGCTATTGTTGCCTTGAAGCGATGCGCAGTTCTCAACCACATCGACCTTCATTTCTCCAAGCACCAAACTGTGGTGCAGCTCAATTACCTGCGACAGAAGAAAAAGTCGTAAATAAATGAACGTCAAGCGTAAACAACTATACTCACTGCATCGATACCTTATCGGGCTTAAGCCCTTGTTCCCACTGCTCGCGCGTGGCAAACATAAGGATACTGTCCTTTTGTAAAGACACAAAGTATACGACCCATCCAGTAATATAAAAGATATTGCGTTCCAGGACTAATAATGTGTCATTTAACGTTTGCTGTTATAAATAAAAAGCCACATGTATTACAATCACATAAGCCATACAATTCAACGGGAATAGCGATGCAGTACAGTATATACTTTGTAAATAATAGCGGTCTTTGCTCGTCCTAAGCTTTTGGGCGTCCACGGTGTTTCTCGTCGCAATGTATCGTCCAAAATAATCGAAGCATTGTTCCCATCATGTACAAGTACATCATTCACATGCTTTTCTTTGTCTAAGAGGTCCAGAAACAGCGTAGACAGACACTTTCTTGTTACAGCTGTATCTGCATTTGTCAGTTTACTCATGTAGCGAGCGTTAGGACAGAATAAAACGATTTCTGACAACGTTTTTCTGTGTGACACACGAACTAGTTCATTGAACCGATAGATGGATTAGGGTTTTGTTGTGGTTGAAGTAACAGAGAACGTGTTCACATAAAAGGACAAGGTGGTAAGGTAAGGAGTATTTCATCAGCTCCAAGAAAGTTACTTAGCAGATACAATATAGTAAACATATTTTTATATCGATGAGTGAAGGGCATATAACATGCAAAAGCTCTCAACAAGAGACTCCGACGCGTACGAAGAAACCACACTCTTCATTCAAGAATGACGGTATCATGGACATTCCATATTCGTCGGGTTATGATCACGTTTGTAGAAGTGGCTTCCCACCTGTGCGTTTTGGCAATTGGCAACGTTGTCACTCGCTGTCACAGAATGATGGTCATGGGTCAGCATCGTCTGTTTCACGAGAACCTACGGTGTGTGTGTGTGTAATTTGTGTCTTTGTATGGTTGTTTCATGGTGTTTTCATGATGCTTATAGTTCAGTGGAGTGATTGAATACTGAAGCGTTTTATTCATATTTGATGCAGCATTTTCACGTTGGTATTGATATGAAACAAATTTTGACACAAACGACAACACGAGCACGTAAGACAAAGATCATTTGTGCCATTGGACCCGCGTCGTGGTCGGTAGAAATGTTAGGTGAGAGAGTGAGATGATTTGGTGCTGCTGAGGAGTGGGGCTAGTATTGACAGACATCTTGTGGTGCTATGATAGGCCAATTACTGGATGCAGGAATGAATGTGGCAAGGTTGAATTTTTCACATGGAGATCATGATTTGCATATGAAAAGTCTGATGAATCTGAAGAAAGCGATGGCAGCACGACCACGATGTCATTGTGCTGTGTTGTTGGATACTAAAGGACCTGAAATCCGGACTGGTTTGTTGAAAGACCATCGACCGGTGCAGTTAAAGGTATGCAGTCTGTTGTAGGTATGGAGATAAATGTAATTGGGCATGTGTCTAATGAGAATTTCTGCTTGTTTGCTGGGAATAGGCTGGACAGACACTAGAAATTATAACGGATTATGGAGTGGAAGGTGACGCTTCACGTGTTGCATGCTCGTATGAGCAGTTGCCATCCTCTGTGTCAGTCGGCTATAAGATTTTGTGCGACGACGGAAGTTTGATTATGACAGTATTAGAGTGTCTATCGGAGTCAATTATCGTGCGAGTGCACAATGATCATGTTCTTGAAGAGAAAAAGAACATTAATCTACCAGGTATGTTGCTTTTGTTGCAGCAATTACTGCTTAGTGCTCTATAGGCTGAAGTATCTCTTTGTTCAGGAGCGGCTATTCGAATCCCCGGTATCACGGAAAAGGACAAGAATGATCTGCTGAATTTTGCGATTCCAAATGGAGTTGACATTGTTTCGGGCTCTTTTGTGCGCTCGGCTGCAAATGTGCGCGCCATACGAAATTGTCTTGGCGAAGCAGGCCGACAAATTCGCATTCACGCAAAGATTGAAAGTCAGGAGGCTTTGCAAAATATTGACGAGATTATTGCTGAGGCTGATGGTGTCCACGTAAGCCGTGGCGACCTTGGAATGGAGCTGTCACCTGAACGAGTGTTTTTGGCGCAGAAGATGATTATCGCCAAGGCTAATCGTGCTGGCAAGCCTGTGGTCACCTCCACACAAATGCTACAATCTATGACAAAGAAAATGATCCCGTCCAACGCAGAATGCACTGATGTGGCAAACGCAGTGCTCGATGGCACGGATGCGGTGATGTTATCAGCAGAAACAGCAAAGGGCATGTACCCGAGGGAGGCAGTTGAAACCATGGCAAGGATTTGTATTGAGGCAGAGCAAGCGCTCGACTATGCGGAAGTATATCGCGTGCACCGTGTTGCCAACAGTAAGCACGTAAGCCTATGCGAATCTGTCACCAGTTCGGCTGTCGAGATTGCTCTGGACATGGACGTCAAGCTGATCATTTCGATCACTGACACAGGCTCTAGTACAAAGCTGCTTGCCAAATATCGTCCAGAAGCCAACATATTAGCTGTAACATCCTCTATTTTGACGTCGCGTCAGCTCTCTGGGGTATCAAGGTACGGTTGATGATGACCTCTTCTAGACTGATGACAACATCACTGACGCTTTGTTTGTCTCACTACCGTTTTTGTCACAGAGGAGTAACGTCGTTGTTGGTGGAATCTATGACAGGGATAGAAGATCTTACTCGGAAAGCCATTGATTATGCAAAGGATGCGGGCCTGATAAAGAGTGGTGAAATGGTAGTTCTCGTCCATGGACTGGACGATGATGTATCGTCGCCAACTAGTGTGGTAAAGGTGATTGAGGTTGCCAAACCGAGTCCAAAGAAAAACAGCTTTTATACTGGTATTCACATACCTTTCGCTTAAGATTCCGGGCTGCTTGCTTTAATATAATATTTGAAGTATACCGTTACTGCAGTGCGCGTCGCTTTAACTCTAGCACCTGTCGCGAGTTGACTAGACAATAGAGCGCGGTAGATATACAAGTCTATTCAGGCATACAAGTCTATTCAGGCATAGTGCTTCAAAATTCTGCTTCTCTAGCACCTTTGTATTGTTCTAACTGAAGTGTCTATTCGTGAGGTGGACGTGGAATGGGAATGCGAAGAAAGTCCGATGCAGATACAACCGCTCGTCGACCAAAACACTCCTGAGCCTCTAATGCCAAATGAAGTGTTGTGAATGCGTCAAAGTCAGCCGACCAGTGCCGGAACCGATGACTAAAATGCGTCAAAGCAAGTAATGTCGCGTTCATCTTCTGGGCCGCGTGCCCTGCCATGCGAGCCGTCGAGTGTCCACGATGTATCGCCTACACAAAACATTAGAGCGATGAGCGAACGGCTGTTAGTAAAGCCGTGCTGATACCCTGCATCACAACTCATTCATACCTGTTTGACCATCTTATGACTGAGCGTTGCTTCGTGAACCAAAACCTGTCACAGAATGAAAATACACAGGGGGAATACTCAGGCCCATGCAACACAAACACATATATATATCCTGAAAGACACGTGAAACCTACGTCGCAGTTCTGTGCGATGTCATACATTCGGGAGGAATCAGCAGAGTCGCCAAGTATTGCTACCTTACGTCCACGTCCCTTTGGTCCAGTCACCTGTCGTATTCAATCCAAGACGTTAGCTAAAAGCAAACATCTGATTCCGTCTCGCTGGCCACGAACCTCGGATGCGTGAATCATTTCCCCATTTGGCAGCTCGATACTACACCCCAATTTGAGTTTACGATAATTTGGTCCAGGTGGTAGGCCGCGCTTGCGAAGTGCATCGATGTTTAATTTTCCAGGAAAAGGGTATTCTTCAACGACATAACTGTTTCGTCCACACCACAATTTCCGTATCAGCTACGCAATGACAAAGTCTGAATGATAGAAGCAAACTCCATACCCAAAGCTCGTCACCGTGTGCTTTAACGTAGCAGCTTTCACAATAAACTTCCCATCGTCTAACACGTTCCATACACCTCCATTTCCATCCGACTCGGCGTAAATCAAACTGCGTCTAAGACTCTAGGAGGAGTCAACACCAGATCAAAACAAAAAACAAACGTATCATACATATCAGTTTAATACAGACACATACAAACTCCGCTATCATAGCCATTCGAACGCACTGGATGTTGTGGTGCATTCCGCATGAATTTCTCATGTGCAGACATATGATTCAGCATATGAGGACACACTAATTCATGCACTGTAATCTTGAGATTCATTAGCTTTGTGCTACTTGTTGAAAATGCAGTATTCAAGTACGAAAACAGTCCAAGTGGACCATAAACATCAATAGGTCTTGGGATTTTGTCCTTTGTCTGTGGATCTTTATACTCTGCATTATGATTGTCCAATGTACATAGAATGCCTGGTAGTCCATATACATGATCCCCATGAAGATGTGTGATAAAGAACTTGGTCGTAAGTGGCACACGTACAACACTTTCCATTAATTGCCGAAGACTTCCTTCACCACAATCAAACATCCAATTACTACGTCCTAATCGCACACAAACACTTGTTGGATTACGTCGTATGGATGGAGATCCTGCACCTGTGCCTAGAAAGAGCAATTCAAAGCCTGTAAATGGTAATTGAGGTGATTGAACAAAAAAAGAGTTACACGTGCGCATTGGGACAGTCTTTAACACTGCGTAGCGTTCACTAATGCGAGCGAAAGGCACTGAACGCCATGCACCTTGAGCCATGAGTGGCATATGTGTATGGCGACGACTTTTATGAGTAGTGTACATTAAATAAATTTCAAATTAGGATCATCACAAGAAGTGTCCTAGATTGGTGGAGCAACACCGAATTTAGCAATTATTCCAGACAAACCACCAAGTCATGAATGTCAGACAGACTGATGTCGATGATACTCAAAGCTCACAAGGCTCGGACGAGTTTGTAAATGGCTCGATCTTTCGTATTAAACTACACAATTTTCTTACGTATTTAGACGCTGAATTTTATCCAGGACCTCGCTTAAATCTGATTCTTGGTCCTAATGGTACGGGGAAAAGTTCCATCGTATGTGCACTCTGTGTCGGTCTGGCTGGTAGTACTCGTGTACGTGCGTTACTTCAGAAGTGGGGTTTTCGTGCGAAGTAACAATATGAAGTAACATGTTGTGGCTACGGTTTATGATGATGATGATGATGCTAGTTGTTAGGTCGAGCAGATAAAGTTGGACAGTTTGTACGTCATGAGAAAGAAAGTGGCTACACTGAAATTGAGCTCTATTTTGAGCAAGGGAATCAAATTATACGTCGTACTATTTTTCGAGATAATAAAAGTACATGGCAAGTGAATGGAAAAGATTCGACACTTAAGAATGTTGTGGGCATTATGGAAGCTGCCAAGATTCAGATTGACAATTTGTGTCAGTTCCTACCACAGGACAAAGTGGGTGAATTCTCGAGAATGAATTCCATTCAATTGCTAAAAGCGACGGAGAATGCTATGGCAGACACGGACTTGGCTGCGAAGCATGAAGAGATTATTCAATTACAACACAGTTTATCGGATAAAGGACGGGTAGATAGATACGTGATGCTGCAAAACGAGATACGTGCGACGCTGAGTAGTTTTTTTGCTTTATTTGGTTCATAGCAATTAGAGCATGCGCGAACTGCGCTGGAGATGAAGAAGAGTGAGAACGCTCAACGAGAGAAAGAGGTGGAGCGGATTGAAGATTACGAAGCTCGCATTGCAGAGGTAAAACTTGGTTGCTGAAGCAGAAGCATGGCGGTGTGTCGAGTGACGTTTTTGGTTAATAATTTAACGACTGATTGGTTGGGTTTTTGTAGACAGCGGTGATGGAGAAAAAGTGTTTGTGGCTCGAGTTTGAGGAAGCAAAACACGAGGTTCAGGAGCTAAAAGAAGAAAAGAAGCGCTACAAAGACGCCATTGCGGTGCGTATTCCCTTCTCTTTGTTCACATCGTTGTTGACCATGCTTATGATGGTGAACACAATATGCATGCAGATTGAACGAAAAGAAAAGGTTGATCCTCTTGCAGATCTGTTAAAAAAAGAGTCAATCAAGCTAGAGAACGTAAAGACAGAGTGCGTTTGTTGCCCATTGTGAATTCGATTGTTCTGAGTCAGTGCTAAAGAAGTGGTCGTATTGCTACAACAAATTCAGGAAAGCAGATGTAGACGACGAGAAACGTCAGCTGATTGAAAATATCAGACAGGAGAAGAGTCATGTAAGCGAGATGGAAATTCCTACATCATTGGGGCTCGCCACTGCAAATCGTTAATCACTGAACATATGGACTTGCCAGATCGATATAATGGAAAGTGCTCAAGACCAGACCTCAATGGATGTAAAAGAGCTGCGTACTCAACACGTTGCTACCCGCCGGAGACTTGAGCGATTAGAACGCGATGCAGTTGAGGTCGTACATATTACACTCGATTCGTGCGCTTTTGTTATCCGTGTCTAATCAGAATCGTGTGATGTTTTGTAGTGGAAAAAAGAGCGCGAAGGAATGGCTGACGACGCGGATCTTAAATTGCAAAAGGAGCGATTGGAGAAGCAGCAGCGCGCCAAAGATTTGGAGGTATGCAAGGCTATGGTTGCAGACATTTCCAAGACATTTTTCTAAGCTCATTTACTGCCGTAATATGTTGTAGGAGATGGAAATCCGCAGCAAGAGAGAATCACGTGCTCGCGAACTGTCTTATATGGAGAATGAGCAGATGAAGGTGAAAAGCAAGCTTGAAAAACTTGAAAACGAAGATTTTCAGAGACGACTGGCCCTTCAAAGGGCTGATCCAGAATGTATCCGCGCCGCGGACTGGGTCAAAAATAATCCGCATCGATTGAAGCGGAAAGTATGGGGGCCAATTGCACTTGAGGTAAGCGATGAATTTGGTTTATGTTCTATGAATTCATACAATGAGCTTTAGAAAGTTTTAGCAGGATATTGATGCTCCCGTTTACGCTACAGATAAAGCTCAATGAAACGATGCATGCAAAGTACATTGAAGACACTCTTCCGAAGTGGCTTTTAGGTGCACTGGTGACCGAATGCTACGATGACTATAATACGATTCTCCGCGAGTTGAAAAGTGAAAACTTCGATCGTTGCATAAAGGCTTCGGTCTTGAACGTTGAAGGCGGAAGATGTCACGCTATTGTCCGACCATACTCAAACGATAAGATGAACGATTTTCGCAAACAATATGGCATGACCTGCTTTTTGGATGAGGTCAGTATGACGTACGTTTGGATGAGAGTGATCAGCTGATTGACTGACATCACGGATTGTTAATGTTGTGCTAAGCTGGTAACTGCTCCGGATATCGTGCATGAAGCTCTTCGTGTTCATGGGGGTCTGCACACGGTCATGGTTGGCTCACAACAAACGGAAGATATCATCAATAGAGGTGGCAATCTTTTCTCCGAGATTGCGTCAGCAGAGCGAAAGGCAGCGTTTGTGACTCCGTACAAGAAATATGTTACTTCGGGTTCGTGTCCTAGCGAAATTTCTGTAAAGAAATTAGACGGTCGTATATGCGGCTAACTACAATGTTTTCGTGTAGTTTCCAAGTATGGTAACCGGAACGTTACCACGCGAACCAATGATCTCTTGAACCCTCGTTTGTTGGCGACTTCTACATCAAACGAAGACGAGAAGACTGAAATGAAAAAAAAGCTAGACGATTTGAGCTCTAGAAGTAGGAGCATTCAAGAAGAGGTAAGGCATAGCTTGTTCATGTTCCTGATCAAATGTGAATTAATCTGGGTTGCATTCTAGATCATTGATCTTAAAGAGCAAGAGAAGACGTATGCAGAAGAGAAGAGAAAAGCTCAGTATTGTATTGCGGAAATTCGCTCCCAACGGAAGACAATCATTCGCTTGGATGATAAAATTGCTGAAAGTGACAACAAGCTTTATTCGCTGAAGAGTGAATTAGCACAGGTAAGTAACTTTGTGGTAAAAACAAGCTTTGCATTGGATGCTTACCTTTTTTGCTCAGGATTTGTCAAAGAAGGAGGAAGTGTTGACTCGAAAGCTTAAGCACCAGGCTTCCAAGTAAGTTGTTTTTTGAGCCAACTTTTGTATGGATATGGCAAGTAGTCACCCGTGCGCTGATACTCTACGGTTTGTTCGTGTTCGCTACAGGCAAGCGCAGCAGATAAAACGTTGGCTACAGCTACTAAGAGATCTGCATAAGGTTTGTGCTCGTGAAGCATGCTTATCACTGCAGCTCGGTACGCAACAAGTTCGAGTAGACTTTACCGATAAATACCTGAAGCAGACGGAAGCCACCCTTCAGTAAGCTGCTCTGTATGTTTTTTGCAATGTTTGCTTGATGTATGCTGACATGACTGTATATAAGGAATCTCCGAGACGCTTACAAGCTTGCAAAGGAAAATCTGGTGACCGTAGCCAGAAAGGCGATGAGTTTAAAGTACAAAGCAGAGAAAGAGGCTCCGTGGGACGTTTACGAAAAACGCTTTAATGAACTTCCAGATGATCTGGATGCGTTGCAAGGTAAAATCGAAAATAACAAAGCAGCTCTAGAATGCTTTCGCGGTGATAGGAGTATCCGTGAACTTTACGAACGCGTGCGCGATGAAATTCGAGACGACGAAGTCCGCTTGGCTGAGCTGGAAAGTTGCGTGACACAAAGTGAAGATAAGATTAGCGGGATCAAGGTGAGTTGATTACGTTGGACTGGTGAGATTGTGCAAATGTTTGCTAATATCTTGTCATGCGAACCACAGGAACAATGGCATGCCAAACTTAAAGAAGTGGTGCAGCATATTGACTCCTCTTTTGGAGAATTCTTCAAGGATATCGGATGTGTTGGCGAAATAGTGCTTGATGACGAGAACCCGGTAGTGGATTGACAGATGATGATTGCAATGTTGCTATGATAACATGCTGATGCTGTTTTGTTCTGATTTGGAAATGTCTAGGATGTAGCAAAATGGGGCATCCAGCGTCGGGCACAGTTTCGTAAGAACGCAAAACTATCGACTATGACTGCCGAGGAGCAATCTGGAGGAGTACGTTGTTGATTTTCATGTCCATTACTCGTTTACTTACCATACCATTCTACAGGAAAAATCTGTGGGAACTATCATGTACTTGATGGCTCTTCAGGGTCTCACAAAGTGCCCATTCCGGGTAGTAGATGAGATTAATCAGGGCATGGATGTATATAACGAACGCAAAGTATTCCAGCGAATTACCAAGTCATCATGCGGTAGCAAGCTGCCACAGTACTTTCTCATTACGCCAAAGCTTATCACAGGGCTTACGTATCATCGCGACACAAAGGTCATGATCATTCTTAATGGGCCGTACAACAAGATCCAACAAGAAATGTGGGACCCAAATCGTTTCATCGCATGTGGAAAGCAAACAAAGCGCAAGTCGGGCGGTATTGTTAATGGCTCCTCGAAGAAGCGTACTCGAGCATAAGTTGTCAAGCGACAACAGAATGAAAGGGTAGGCAGGCAAATGCTTTATGCTGCCGCAAATGCATTATTATAATCAAGCTTTGTTTTTTCATGCTCTACGCATTTCGTTTCATTGACGTCTCGTTCTACCGACCCAGCAAAGAGAGCAGATTAATCGCACAAATATTCTACAAGAAGTTAAATGCTGACTGACCACCACTGAAGCTCGGACCATCACTGATCCGAGGTGGTGCAGTTCCTGTACCGGTCCCTGCACTGTGTGAAGAGTTGGCAGTAGCAAAAAGATCCTTTTCAAAATGACTCAATGCTTTGTTACGCCCAGCTTGCTCCGGCTGCTGGTTTTGCTGCTGCTGTGGCGGAACGGCTTGCTGCTGCTGTGGCGGAACGGCTTGCCGCTGCTGAATGTAGGCAGGATTTGATGACGAAGAACTTCCTAGTGTGTCAAAGCCATCTAAAAGCTGTAAAATGTATCAATACAGCAAGCGTGTGAGGCGTGCAATTCTTTCAAACACAAGCATAATGTCAAGCGTACCGAAACTTCCTGAGGTGCTGCGAAAGCTGGTGGCTGTAAACATACAGGAGAGTCAAAGAGACCCGCTGTACTTTGAGCGCTATGGTCGAGAGGACCAGCAGATGATTCAAGACTGAGCGTGTCAAAACCAAGGAGATCTACTTCCTGTTGCGGCTGCTGCACAAGGTTCTTTGCCGGACTACCTCGTTGAGATCGTTTGGCACTCACGCCTTTGGTGCTTGGCTGAAAAGTCACTTCATCCGCATAACCAAGCGCACGCAATACCTGCAGCGTCTTTGATACTACACTTGGCTTTACATCTTTTTGCAGCTGTGTCACGATATAGAAAAACTTTGTTGGTCAAATTGATACTGTAAACATGGAAACGCAAATACGTACTTCTTCAACAACCTCCACGTTTTCTTCAAAAAACTCCTGATACGGTGCTGCACCTGGCGAATCAAGCAGAGCTAGTACCACGTGTAGACCTTTCAAACGAACTTGCCAAGTTTCATCTTCTAGCTTGTCAAGCAAGATGTCCCCGATAGTTTGAGCATCCAGTGTCTGCGCGAGATCAACAAACCGCTTGAGGCCATCTGCAGGTGGCGCACGTGAAAGACCCGCGGGAGCACACAAGCTGTCGATCATCGTGCGCTCGTAGTCCCTGTGCAAAAATGAACAGCGGTGAGGGCAAATTCCAACGACAACAACAAACTGTGCCAAGTATTGCGTACCTGCTCGTGTCACCTCCACCGGCACCCTGCTGGGGGTTCGGCTGGTAGTAATTATGGTCAATTACTTCCAAACCGGCGCGCAATTCGTCGTGATCAGCCAAGGATGACGCCATCGACTTGTCCATATTGCGGCGGTCCCATTTCTCAAGCGCTGCCGTACCCATCTTTTTCAGTACTTCTGCTTTTTTACCCAGAGCTGTCGTTGGGACATCATTAAGTGGTTGTCCATTCACAGGAAAACCTATGGTTCCAATGCGGTGAGTATTGCCACCCACACGGTTCATGTTATCACCATAAGCCGATGTTCCGCTCGGCAGGTTACCACCAAAACCATGCGATCTGCTTTTCATCATATTCGGATTGAACGTGCTTGCACCGATAGCGCCACGAACAGCGTTTGGATTGTATGTACCACTCTCAAACCCACCAAGACCTGACGTCGCGCCCGTATTGCTACTGCCAAATCCCCCAGTCGGCTTAGGAAAGTTAAGCGAGTGACCTACCAATACAGTCGGGCGGTTGTCTCGTCTTGTGGACGGATTGTAGCGCGGCTCATTATCCGCCGCAGGGTCCTTCTTCTGATAACCTGAACTACTCCATGTACCAGCACCAGAGCTCTTCGTAGCCACGCATGAGCCTGACGAAGATGACCACGAGCTAAATCCACTTGTCTGTTGTTGTTGTTGCTGCTGCTGCTGTTGTGGTGGTGGCGCACTTTGACCGTACCCACTCTGTGCACCATTTTGGCTATAGTTATATCCTCCTGAATTACAGCCATTTTGTCCATAACTATTATCATTATAGCTGGTGGCGACACCTTCAACAGGGGGAACAAAAGACCTTGCTCTAGACGGTCCATTGTAGCCTCCACCAGACGCACCGCTATAGCCTTCAGATGGACTATCCTGATACGGCGCTGGTCGACTAGAAGGAAGTGGTTGCCCCCACGATCCACCAACACTCGAGTGCGACCGCTCAGGTTGCCCGCCTTGATTATACACTCCATTGCCATTGCTATAGGGTGGTACATTATCTCCTGGTGGAACCTGTCCCTGCCAACTATTTACACCACCGTGAGGTGGATATTGCTGTTGTTGTTGTTGTTGCTGATGTTGCTGATGTTGTGGCTCATCATTCGGACGTGAGAGAAAACCATCATTCAAACACACTAACGCTTCCTACAACAATAAAAAATCAACAACATCACGTAAGTAAGTCATTCCTCCTCGATCACTCAATATCCTTCACTTCCACTCCAAACAAACAACCAACCAACCTGTGATGCTACTCGAATACGACGATATTTTTCATCTCCATACACTGGATCAGGAGGTCCTGAAAATTCTACAAAACCATATAAACACACTCATTAATCACTCACTCACGCATTTCTCTCTCTCTCTGCTTCTTCTACTATCTTGTCAACGTACGTAAATACGTTGTAATCTCATGCTCTTCATCTTTAATAACTTCTGTAAATACATGACTGCCTTCTTTAATACAAAACTACAATACAACAACAAACACATCAATCAATTAATCAATGTCCAATGTCCAATAGAGACGATACAATACAACATATAGCAACAATAACAGCACCAAATAGGTCACTATGATTTTATTCTCACACACACACACATACCGTAATAATCTGCAATGCCTTGAGTTTCACATTTAAGTTGCTCTTATGAAGTCTTGCTAGCATATAATCAGCTGTTTTTTCGGCATCACGATCACTGGCTTTTGTCGTATCTATCAGCAACATAAGCAAAGAGAACAACCCCCATTCATATCGTAAAACATTTTTATTCTTTAATCACTAAAGTTGCTCGTAAAAATAGATAGATATTACAACATACTCGCAATCTCTTCCATAAGATAGACAGGTACAGGACCATCGTGTAAACTTGTAGCTTCAGCTAATACGTGTCTATTCATTGTATGTATCTATATATATCTTATAACTAATGCACGTGGCACTTGATTAGAAGAAGGAAGGCGTTTAACAATGTGACAGCGTAGAGGAGGAGGAGGAGGGGGGGGACACGAGACAATTACGACACGACACTACTATAATTGAACCTATTTAAGTGAAATGAAAAGACCATATGGTATGCAATAGCATAGGTTTCGTTTCAAGCAGTTTCTTTTATGTCATGTAACGAATGTACAAATGACTATTAATTTGTGTAGTGGTGGGACAAGACATGGGTAATAAAACCTCAAGGTTGTTGAATCGTGCCTATTTTATTTTGGGCACAAATCGTTGGATAACAACGTGTTTGTCTACTAAATAAGGGTTGAAATAAAACACCTCCGGAAGTTGATGAAAATACTGCGATCAGAGCACCTCTGTTGGAGAATATTGGGTCGTGTATTATTCCGTTGAGAAAAGAATCATTATTCCGACCACAAATTGTAATATTTCGGTTTACTTTTACGTCAATAATCACAATAAATGGACAATCAGGACGTTGAAGAGTTGCGTGTCGAGGCTGTTGTAGTCGATTATTACATGAGTAAACCACTTCCTGCTTCTACCGTCACAAACATTCCTTCTTCTTCTTTCTATCGACGTGCTCATGCGGTTCCTGTTGTACGTATCTTTGGTGCTACACCTGCTGGTCAAAAGACACTTGTCCATATTCATGGGGTTTGTATTGTATAGTGGAATAAACGAGTTCGTACTGTAAATATCATGAACCATATTAACAATATGACAATAGATTTTTCCTTATTTTTACTTTCGAGCCGAAGATGATGAAGATTTTGACAATTTCGAGCGTCTACGAGCTCTTTTACCTCAATTGGCAAAGGATCTTGAGACTGCAAATGCATTAAAACAGCAGCAAAAACAACAGCAAAAGCACCCGCAGCAGCAGACAATGAAGATGAAAAAGTCAACGTATTATTGCAATAAAACAATAGCCAAGGTGATGTACGTTCCAGTGATATTTAATATATCGATACATCTACAAGGCTCAATGCTGTCTTTTTTGTATATGTAGATGGTGATTGTACAAGGCATACCATTCTATGGCTATCATCCCAAGCCAAAACTATTTGTGCAGATATTTTTGTATCATCCACGTCATGTGATGACAATTGTACGATTGCTGGAGACTGGATGTGTTGGTAAACGATATTTCCAGCCTTATGAAGCACACGTGCCATTTCTACTTCAGGTAAAAATGGAAAGCACTGAAATGATTGTTACGCTACATTTTGCTGTTGAGAGAGACGCGCTCGATGAGTTGTTTTGATGTAGTATTAAACACTTATGGATGAGAGATACGCGTGTTGTTTTGTATGTGAATGTAGGTGTTTGCGGATTACAATATTGAAGGAATGAATTGGGTGGCGTTCAGTAACGTCAAGGTAAAGTTTGGATTACAATGTGTATAATTTCTAAATAGGGTCGAAGCTCGCAGTTATAGTGTTGTTTACGAAAGACTCTTTTTTTGTTAGTTTCGGTTTCCTCTTCCAGTTACACAGGATCATCTAGTGGAGACGTCAGGTGAGCACCGTGCTATCCTTCTCCCGAACGTTCGAGCTGATAGGATCAACGGCTGGGATGAAATCGCATCTGGTTTTTCTGGACGGTCTGCACCAGTTATTAGTCAAACACCAAAGCGATGGTATGATCGACAATCTAGCTGTGCACTAGAAGTTGATGTTGCGGCTGCATGCATTTTGAACCCAAAGCGGTTTGAATCTCAGCAAAAAGCAGCAGAAGGAATAGGCGAGCTACGCAGTGTGCCGTCGTTAGCAGCTATATGGGAAGTATGTGTAGTACATTATCAAAGTAGTTGCGGCCATGTACGAGAAAAACTAACAGAGGAACTTTTGTGCGAGCGATAGGCAGAGAGGTTGCGACGAATTCAACGAGGAGAAAGTGGGACGCCGACAATGTCATTAAGTCTTCCGCGCAACGTTGATACATCTACGTGTAGAGGCTCCTCAATGAGTGTATCCCCGGCACAGTCAGCATCATCGCTGTTGTCACAATCATTTTTCAAGAAAAAGATGAAGAAATCTGTTGACGCAGTGTTGGAAAAACTAGAGAAGCAGATGAAAGAACAGTGGACAAACAGTGGATCTTCTGTTTCTTATCAGTCACTTTCCGCTGGCAATATGGTATCGTGTGGAGCTTCTATTGCCGCGGAAAGCGAATACTCTTATAGTCAAGCTTGGGACAGAGTCAATGGCGAGCGTGCTTTAAATCAGGTATTGTGTCATTTGAATCTGTTCTGATCGACATTTGTTGATAATTGTTCGTTGGGACAGTCAGCCAAAGAGGACGAAGCTATCGTAAATGTCCTTCGAGCGATGCAACAAGAAATTGACCCAAACGATGCTGGCAGCAAAGGGTGCGGTAGAAACGATCACGAAGGATACAACATACCCGACGACAATGATGAAGAAGAGAACGTTAGCAAATGGAGTAATGGAAATGACGAGATTAGAGATATCTTGGCATCGCAACGTTTGATTGAACAGCATATTGCAAGTGACGCGCCCACTTCACCAGAAAACAACGCTTGGTGGAATGTTGCTGGACGTGACTTGCGACCGTTTGCATGTCCACTGGGTGAACTTGGAAGTCCTCGCGTGGTTCTGCATACCCCATTGAAGCGCTCGCAAAAGGTTTGTAACTTTCTGTATGTTGTTGCCCCTTACGTGCTGAAACAATGTGAAGTCGTCTATGACTGTCGCTAAAAGGTCAACTAGATTCGGGGCTAGTACAGAGGATTGGCCTTTGGTCGGTGATATTGAGGACCTACTCCCACCACGGCCAACAGAGCCGAGACCATTGACAGCAGTGGAAGAATCGGATCCGGTTGATTGCCTCCAACTGTCACTAACGCCGCACCCACAGCCACTCCGGGTATCCTCGCGGATACAAGGGCCATTGCAAGCAGCAGCAGCAGGCAACAATCGCCTGTGGATTTTTGGTCGCAAGCCTCCGTCCTTTTCCCAGATTATTTCATCGTCACACCAACTTGGGGTGAATCCAATACAGGTTAGGCAATGGTATCATCCGTGGGTCACTTTAGTTATATTGTCAAACACATTGCGCTGAATATGTGCTTGTAGTACCAACCGGCGTTTTACAGTAGTGCGGCAGATATGCCTGAGAAAGCGATGGTATTCGGTGGAAAGAAGTTTGATTTTACACCACACAATACGAGCAGTTTGCTGGCGTTTGATACCACTGCTACACGTCAGCTACTGAAACTTCACTGCAGTGAAGGCAGGAATGACATCACAGAAAATACGTCCTGGTATAAAATCTCCCAGCTGAAGAAGTCCTCTGATAACTTTCATGGAAGAGGTGTGAAGGTATGAGTCTAGTGGTTGCGCATTGTAACGAAGCGGTCTTATAGATTGGTGTTATCTTCCAGGAACGTCGTCTATGGATGCCAGCACGATTGCCTCCAGACGCTACCGTTCTCGTGGATTGGGTGTCAAATAATACCAAAGGCCACAGTACTTCTACAAAGGTGGGAGGTGGATTGTTTGCGTGATGCCCTCAAAAATACGATCACTGATATTCTCTCTGTTCAGATACAAAGGAAGCGTGCTCGACCACCACCATTATCAACGGCCTCTCCCTCAGATCAATTGAGCTCGTCGACGATTTTGTCAAATGTTACGATACTGTCGATCGAGATATTTGCAACATCTCGTGGCAAAATGTTACCGAATCCTTTCTACGACCCGGTTGACGCCGTATGCTATGCAGTAGAGGCCCAAGAGGGACCGACGGATTCTAAGACACGAGAGCGTGGTTTTATCATGGTGAAACTGGATGACATGAATAAAACAACGCCTAGAGGTGTGGGTTTGTGCGTTGACAGCGGCAATATGTCGGTGATGTTTGCATCAGACGAGCGCGATCTCCTTCATTCTTTGGAGGCGTTGATACGACGATGGGATCCAGACTTTTTGGTAGGATTTGAGGTGCAAAAGTCTTCGATTGGATATCTTGTTGACCGAGCGTCCCAGATGAATGTGAGTGTTTGTGTTTGTTCATGATATGCGCAAGTCTCACTTCAATGCTTTGTGTTCATAGATCGACCTCATCCAGTCGTTATCTCGCCTTCCGTCAGCACCAATAGATCCTCGAAACGTGACCATAGTTCAGGAGCAAGATGAGGGCAGTCAAAAAGAAATACCGATTGGTACAACGTGCGGTATGAATAGGGCGGCAGGGTTATGGATTCACGGCAGGTTCGTTTTGAATCTTTGGCGAATGTGTCGCTCAGAGGTAGGTGATGCTACACGTTTCTGCGGAGACTGGTGAATTAAGTATCATGTTAAAGACATGTGTACCTGTTCAGCTTAAATTATCGCGCTATGCTCTTGAAGATATTGTGCTGGCTGTTCTGAAGCGGCCTTATCCCGTATATTCGGCTGACAAATTGACGTCGTGGTTCCGCGAAGGTGGTCAAATGCGTTGGAAGGTGATTAGGCACATCTTAGAGCGAGCTACTCTGAATCTCCGGATTCTTTCTAAAATGCAGCTGATCACTCGAACAAGGTTCGCTTCTCTTTGTTGTAATGTCCCTGGTCGCTCCCTAATACCACCTGTATGTTTTGGAACAACGATCGATATAGCGAAATGGCTCGGCTATTTGGAATAGACTTTTACTCCGTTTTGTCGCGAGGATCACAGTACCGAGTCGAGGCAGTCATGTTGCGAGTGACAAAACGAAAGAATTTCTTATTAGTATCACCGAGCAGAAATCAAGTGGCTAGTCAGGCGCCGATGGAGTGCATTCCATTGGTGATGGAACCACATTCGAGCTTTTATTCTGACCCTGTCGTGGTTCTTGACTTTCAGGTATGTTCGGCTGTGTGTTATTGATTGTTCAATCCTCTATATCTACGTCTTTGCAGTGACATTCGTTATTCGTTGTTGGTATTACAGTCTCTCTATCCATCGCTTATAATCGCGTATAATCTGTGCTATTCAAGTCTTCTAGGGCGCTTGAAGGATGGAATGAATCCGGAGTTGGAAACATCACTTGGGGTAGTCGATTTCACCCCAAATGCTACGAGCCTTTTGCAATGCAAAGACGATATCATTGTTGCGCCGAATGGAACGTTGTTCTGTCCCAAAACGTATCGTCATGGAGTCCTCCCGCTTATACTAGACGAAATTCTGTCAACTCGGATCATGGTGAAAAAGTCGATGAAGTCAGCAAAGGAGGTTGATCAGAATCGACTAGCTAAGGTGCTGAATGCACGACAGCTAGCGCTAAAAATGATCTCGAACGTGACATACGGATACACGGCAGCTGGGTTTTCGGGACGCATGCCGTGCGCTCAACTGGCTGATGCTATTGTTCAGGTAGGTTTAATATTGCTTGTCGTCTTGTAGTTGGCTTTACTTATCGAGCTTACATTGGTTCCTTATTTTCGTTGCGGGCAGACGGGCAGATGCACGCTTGAAGCTGCCGTTCAACTGATAGAAGGATGCTCCGACTGGAATGCCAAGGTCGTGTATGGTGATACCGATAGTGTCTTTGTTCTACTGAAGGGAAGATCAAAAGTAGATGCATTTCGAATTGGACAAGAAATTGCTGATGCAGTTACTGCATCGAATCCAAGGTGCGTACTTGATCCTTCAACTCTTGACGTACCTTTACTCACATGTTGTATGACGTCCTTAGACCTGTGATACTCAAGTTGGAAAAAGTGTATATGGGCTGTGTTCTCGTTTCCAAAAAGCGATACGTCGGTAACAAATTTGAGTCGCCAACGCAAGAGGCCGGTGTCCTTGATTCAAAAGGGATTGAAACAGTTCGACGCGATTCATGCGGAGTGGTTCAACATGCAATGCAACATTCTCTCGAGAAGCTCTTTGCATCGTGCGACTTGTCCAAGGTGAAGGAGGGCTTGGAGAAATATTGGTTGCAAATTCTAGAGAACCGAATACCACTTCAAGAGTTCATCTTTGCTAAAGAAGTTTGCTTAGGGACCTACACTAGTGGAAGGTGCGGACAGGTGGTTTTCGTGTTGCTTGCTATGAAGAAGCTATGTTCTTAACTTTTTATTTCTAGTGCTCCTCCTGCAGCACTTGTCAGTACAAAAGCTATGGGAAAAGATCCACGAGCAGAACCACGATATGCGGAGCGTGTACCCTATGTTGTAGTAAACGGACCTCCTGGCGCACGGCTAATGGACTTGGTTGTGTCACCGAGTGAGTATTACGACCAGCAAAAGCGCTACAGTGTCAACTATCATTACTATATCAACAAACAGGTAACGATAATGCTTTCAAGCCAAGTGTTATATGGCTTTAAGGTGTGCTGAACTAACACCGGTTACTGCAGATCATTCCAAGCCTTGAGCGGCTTTTCCTCTTGACTGGGGCCAATATTCGATCGTGGTATGCAGCCCTGCCTCGGTCGTCCGTGAAAGCTCGTCAACAAGCGTATGACAACGTCACGCCAACTCGTCGTGACTTTCGATCAATCGACTCATTTTACATGAGCAAACACTGCCGACTTTGTGGATCAGTTGGTAATGAGACGCTATGCAAAGAGTGCATTGCCAACCCACAGCGAAGCCTGCTCGCGATTCACACGGCGTCTTCTCGACACGAAAAAGCGATGATGGCTCTCAAATTTGCATGCACTGCATGTGCAGATCGAGATGCATTTAGTAGCTGTGGCAACTTCTTCTGTCGCGTATGGAACCACAAAAAGCTCTTTGAGACGGATAAATCCACACTTTTGTGTCAAGAGCGACAAACACATGCGTAAGAAAACCATGAACAAAAACCAAAAAGTTATCTATCATCCCTGAATGGTAATCCAAGCGCAGTTTTCCTAGCACTCACTAGATTGCCTAATTCTTGTGCGGCCGACCAGGCTTCCTCTTGCCTTTGCCACGATGCTTCTTCTTGTCACCGTGCTTCTTGCCCTTGTCTGTTTCAAGCTCCTTTTTCTGCTTCTTCGCCGGCCTTTTAGGCTGCTCTTCCTCGCCATCGCTTTGCTCTTCCTCGCCATCGCTCTGCTCTTCCTGAGTGACCACAGCTTCAACATCCTCAGCCGCCTGCTTGCGCTCTTTCTTGGCTTTCACGCGCTGCTTCTTCGACAGGTTTGCCTCCTCAGCCTCATCCTCAAGTTCATCAACTGTCTTCTTCGCATCCTTCTCCTCCGAAGGCATCGTGTTTGCGTACTTCTTAAACTTAGCAACGAAGAAGCCATCCATGTTGTGCACGTGCGGGTAGAATCGGCGGGTGAGCTGCACCGATGGGTGGAAACGCTGTTGCTGATAGCGGGTGAAACCTGGCTTGCCGTGATCCAGTCCAGTTTCCACTAGCTTTACGCAGCGCTTGCGCAGAGCGTAGTCAACAACCGACTCATTCTCATCAACCATGACGGAACACGTTGAGTAGAGAATATATCCACCAGTCTTTGACTTGGCATCCACTGCATCGATGGCAGCTAAGAGAAGCTCCTTCTGCAAATGAGCGAGACGCTGCACGTCCTTCTCACCCTTCTGCGTCTTAATAGACGGATCACGAGCAATAACACCCATGCCTGTACATGGAGCATCCAGTAATACACGATCAAAGCCCCGAAACACGGATGGAACCTTGCGGCCATCGTAACACGACACCGACGTGTTTTTTACGCCAAGACGGTGCAGATTTGCAACTGTAGCCTTCAGACGCTGCTTCTTTAGATCGTTTGCAATAATAGAACCCGTATTCTTCATTAGCTGGGCAATGTACGTAGTCTTACCACCTGGAGCGCAAGCCAAATCCAGTATACGCTCGTTCATCTGCGGAGCAAGTGCCATCACCGCACAGATCGATGACGCTGACTGTAGCATGTAGTGACCCGCCAAGTACTCGGGCGTGGCACCAATAGGCACGGGTGAATCATAAATCTTCAGTCCCACTTTCGACCACTTGGCCAGAGGATCAAGGTTCACGCCACGCTGGATAAGTGCCTGTGCCAGATCACGACGGCGTGCCTTCAAAGTATTAGTACGGATAACCAATGGACGTGGCTGCTCATTTGCCTCCACGAATTCAACACACTCTGCAGGTGAAAACATCTTCAAGAACATGTCAATGAGCTCACGATTGTAGCCAAAGTATCCAGCCAAATCCTTGGCCAGCGACTCCATATAGTCGACACGGGAGCGACCAGGCTCACGACGAGCACTGAACTGCGACAACACTTCTACCACATCTTTGATACGTTGGTAAACCTCAGCTGGGTCCGACATGGTGTCGTCACCTTCACCTTCTTCTACCAGCTCTTCTTCTGTCGGCAAATGATATGGCTCATTATTGGCAATGTTCAGCCGCATCTCTTCATCAGCTTCTTGAGCCTGTAGTGCCTCTTCTTCGTCCAAGAGACGAGCTTTCCGTTCAATATCCAGCTCCTCCTTCTCCTCGTCCTCCTCCTCTTCCTCGTCCTCTTCATTGTCTTCATTATCATCACTCTTCTTTAGCTTCAACCACTTCTTATTCACATCCGAAAATCCTTCGTCTGCTTCAGGTCCATCTTCCTCACTGTCATTCTCCTTTTCTTCGTCCTCCGAGTCTAAAAGCTGTGCCTTGTTGCGGCTCTTGGCATTACGCTGCTCCTGTTTAGCAGCCTCCTTCACGTATTTTGACATCTTTGTAGCAGGTAATGAGCTCAATTTGCGCTTGTTTGGTCTTGCCATGGCTCAGAATGTGATTATACGTGCGTACGTTTGTTCGTTCGTTCGTTCAATGGACTGACCGAGCTGCTTTAGGTCGTCTCAAAGCTTGCACTACGATTGACTGGTGCGCAAAGGTTAACTTCTACCGATGAAGTGCACCACACCATACATAAAAGTGATGGGATACACAAAACAAAACGAAGTTGAACTGACCTACACTCTTCCATTCCGCATTATGTCGGACACCTGAAAGTGCTAGATCTAGAGAAGAAGTCTCGCGTATCTGAGAGCTCTCAAGCAGCTACGCGTGATGATGCACAAAGAGCTGGATAATCTGAGATATTTGATCGGACGCGGCGTAAAGGTTGTCAACAAATGCTGTTACTTGCTCACGAGATAGTGCTCTCTTTCTTACTTTGTTTCATGAACGTACTGAAGCATTTGAGTGAATGTACGAAAAGAAAGTATGAGAATGAAAACGAGTGTACTGCTGCTGAGTTACGCTTGGTTAACGAGGTATTGTTGTGGTCGGTCATTGTATGATCACTTATACTGTGGTTCGTCTATACTCTTTGCTTGGTCTCAGTAACTCGCTCAATTAAACCAGTGGAACGATACAAAACATGAAGGGAGGTATTGACTGGGTCATCAATGTTGCATGAAAAATGGTTTAAATACTAATTACACTCAAGCATTCAGATGCAGAAAAGTAAAACACGTGTGCAAAGCCAGTGGCCAACATACCAACAGACAGGCATAATCGTGGTGCATGCATGCTGCGGCACCAGCCTGCACGATGCAGCAAATAGCCGTGCACGAGTTTGTTCGACCCTAAATCTTGCTAGAAACAGGAGGTTTCCAGGGCTTCTGAGCGCGGCGCTGGTTCCAATTGAGATTAGTTATCATCGATTCAAACCAGTCCTGGTTCTCGTTCACCCGACATATTGAAGGCAGTGGGTAGGACGATACACGAACGACTATGCTGTCACCACGCTTCATACGCACACGATTCTTGCCATCAAAAGATACACAGCACGCTGAAGCACGACTGGTGGCGGGAAACTCAATCTTTAGTGTAGCGCTGTCGTGGAAAATCAGAGGGCGAAAGCTTAATGTATGCGGGCAGATAGGAGTGAACAGCATCGAAGGCACAGAAGGGTGGGCCATTGAGCCGCCTGCTGAAAGCGAGTATGCTGTGGAGCCTGTTGGCGTGGCAATGATGATGCCATCCGCAGCAATCTTGGTGACCTCTAGACCATCGCAGTAGCAATTGAGTTCTACAAGCGCGCCCGAGGACCCGCGTTCGATCACAATTTCATTCAGCGCGTGCAGGTTTCCACTAATTTCGCGCTTTTTGCCACCGCGGTAGATGGTGCATGCAAGACGCGAACGCAGCGACATGTAGAAGCCACCGTTGATAACAGTTGTAAGCTGCTCCTCAACGTTATCGGAACTGAACGGAGTTAGAAACCCCAGCGATCCCATAGCTAGCGAGAAGACAGGTGGCACACTCTTGCTGAAGAGCGAGGAAACCCACAACACCGTGCCATCACCACCCAAGGATACCACAAAGTCGATTTTACCTTGACACGTCTCCCATTTTTCTGTCGTATTGCCCCACGTCTTGGTATTCGGCAATAATATCTCTTCATGCACAGAAGGTTCGAAAAAAATGTCAATATTTTTCTCCTTATGGAGCCAGATAGCCAATCGCACCAACATATCTGTCGTTTCCGGTTCGTTAGGCTTTTTCACAATGAGAACTGCCTTCGGTGGCTCGTCCCACATGAGCTGCACGTTATTACGCGAGCGATGCTGCGTACGAATGTTACGATTCGTGCGGTTGAACACCTCACACTGCTCGTCCGAGCACTGCAGCAGTCGAAAGCGTGAGCGCGTGGCAGACGCATTGTCTACCATCTCAGCCTCGCTGTAGGAGGAAGACGCATCGCTCTCTACGACGCTGGAAGTGTCTTCATTGTAAATGCCGTCGCCACCAGGTTGTGTCCACGTGTCGGCAAGAAAGATCAGTTCCGAGTTTGTACGTTTGCGTGGATTTGTATTAACGTGCTGCAGGTCCGCCTTATCAACCTGAGCAACCTTTTCGCTGGCGGACGACTGATGATCCGTGAGATCCTTGCACCGCTTCATCCAGTAATTCTTCTCCGCGATTGCTTGACGCAGCTGCTCCTTCAAGTCACAGATCCTATCCTGCAAGCGTAGCGGGTTCTCACTCTGAGCCTTGCAAAAGGCCATTACACGCTTCATCTGATCGCTCATAGCACGCAAATTGTCTTCCAGCGTGCCATTGCTTAAAGACAAGGTGTCCGAAGAGAGCTGTGCGTCGATTGTCGTTTGCTGTCGTTCGTCGTCTACATTCAAAGCTGCTTCTTCGTGCTCTTCAGTAACATCCATCCTGATCAGGTTGCCTTGGCTGATAGTATCCGCACAGATTCACGAATTTAATCACAAGTAGTGTGATCCTTTTAGCTATAGCACAGGCAACGGTAGACTTGGAAATGGATAGGTGACGTTGTTTAGCAACAGAGAAAGGGATTTAGCCCAATGAAGTCCCAATTGGCCTTTTTCTCCTGCTGTTAGAAAAGAACCTATCAGACTTTATACAAAAGTGACTATTTCTCATGAGATTATGAGTCCTTGGGAGTTTTTTAGATCACTTTTGAGTGCATTACCGTACATAAAACGGTTTTACTTTCATTACACGCTGTCACTTAGTAATTGATCCATTGACTACTTTCTACAAATGGTCTCTTTGATTTCGAGCAAGCTTATAATTTTGAATCATATCGTCTATGCTTTTGCAAATATAGTTAATTATTTATTTGACAGATACAGACATTGATTGTAGTCAATAATATCTTGCTCACAACAACACGAAATTTATTTTTATATTCTATTTACATCAAATAGCAATTAATTAGTATTTTGACACAACAATTAGATAGCCTGCTCGGTATAATTTGCTCAAACTAATTTTATTGAAGAACATTTAAATTAAATTTTTGCATTAAGCTGAGCCAAAAATAGATGATTCTTGCTAGATAATTTTATCAGCACTAAATATCATTTCACTTTCACTTGTTTACTAAACAAGCGTCTGTCAAATACGTATGCAAGCGTCATCCACGCTTTTTTTGTCCAAAATCATCCCGGTGTCACTGCTACCCATCCCCTTAATATACTTCGACGCTCTATTAAAAAGATACGGCGTAGAGCGCTCGACCACTAACCGTCTATCCATTCTTCAACATACTGCCGCCTGTTTGTACTGAAGCACGATGCCTGTACTTGGTACATACATATACGAATGCAGCACATGAGAAAGTGCGCATCCATGTTCAACCTCAACCCAAGGACGATCCTACGCTCAAGCACTGGGTAGACGATAGCGGGAGTAGCATGTACGACTCGCTCTGTTGAATATACTCTAGTATCCAGACCAAACGCAACTTGTCTCTTTCACCAGCGTCAGCATCGAGTATTGCAGTGCCTTCATAGCCCTTTCGACCTCTAAAGCTATTCGTTCAGACCTGCGTGCGTCGTTGCCTCCTTTCAGTTTACAAAGCATTGAAAACTGTCATGCGTTTGTTACCATCTGGTTGTCCACTATAAGCACATCATAATGCACTATCTTCGTGCAAGCAACAAGATTTCTGTAGTGCAATTACATGTAGAACCAAGTGCAGCAGCAACAATCAAAAGGACGTCAAGCGATATCGCTCTATGTGGACTCCGCTCGGCAGTCTGTTGATTTCACATGGACAAGAGTCGGCATGATCACTCTAGATGCACGCAAAGCTTAGTCGGACGCGACTAGAGCCCATCCCTCATTTTTACAATACAAGGTGTACATTTATGTTTACAAGACAAGAATAAATAAAGCATCTAATCCAATTGCCATCATGCATGTACAAGCTCAAAAGCGTGTTCGATAAAAGCAATTACCTAGAATATTTGCTGACCGTTTCGATTATTTATAGCAAAACTTCTTTTCCACGGCATAATAAGAAGGCAAGCCATAAACATCATAAACATCAACTGTAATTTTTTGTTGAACTTGCGTCACAAGAAATTGACCTTTCTACACGAAATATAACCAAAACGGCTCTCAGCATATCGATCAAAAAAAGGCAACTTTTGTGTCATTGAACTTGAAGAAAATGTGCAATGACCAACATTTTACAGTCTTTGATTGGTACATTCGTTGTCGAATGAAATGACAGGTCTAAACATCTGATTACTACCAGTCTAACACAAATATGCGTCATCGTGAATGCACGAACAAACAAAGTCATTCTTACAAAAGGCACCAGCCGTAAACATCACTATCATGACGTATTCAATTGATATGGGTACAACAAATGAAAGACAAGTAATCTGTAAGCTGAAATATGAGGTTGTTGAAGGTCGCACTACGGCTACGTACGTCTATGCAACGTATCCAGTCAAGTTTCTGCATCCACGACGAATCATCAACCAGCGTTTTGATACATATATTACCGTACGTGTTGACTGTAGTTGCATTTGTATTGTATGTGATCATGGTTACTGATGAGATGATATGTATTGATTTGTTTAGTATATTCTGGGATACGGTGGAGGTCTGGTTGCTGGTGATTCCGTTGTTGTGGAATGCGAATTGGGTCATGATACAACAGGTGAGACGAGAAGAGACTAGAGACATATCATGTGAAGAGACTAAGTTACGTGTGTGATGGGGTTTGATTGTGTTTGCTGTAGTTGTGCTGGGAACACAGGCAACGACAAAGATATTCAGGTCAGAGGACGGTCATTTTGTATCACAGACTTTCTCCCTCAAGGTGGCGAATAATGCCACATTGGCATTCTTACCTGACCCTGTGACGTGTTTCAAGCACGCGAGATATCGACAGAAACAAGTGTTTTATCTTGAAGCAGATGCAAACCTGGTGTTTGTCGACTGGTTAACAAGTGGTCGAAAACGAAATTATTTAACCAGAGGCTCGATTCGTGATAATCGTAAGGAGACTTTGGAGCACTGGGACTTTGACGAGTACGATACGTTGTCGGAGATTTTTGTCGATGATGAGCGACTTATGACGGACCGTGTTCGATTGATAGGTATTACGCAATGCCTTTGATTGTTTTGCGAGCAATGATTGATTGGTTATTTTGTATTGTCTTCACTCTCTGCTGGTACACAGATGATGAAGATACGAGTCTTCGTCAGCGCATGCATGGCATGCACGTACTGGGTTTAATGGTAGTTGTCGGGTCAAAGTTAACGATCATCATGGATGAGCTACTAGAGCTTAGTACCCGCAAGAAACTCCACAATGCACAGGAGATGACACCTCAAGGCCGTCTTGCAGCGGCGAATACGTTTCCAGGAGTCATTGCGTCAGCAAGTTCTATGGGCTCAAATGCAGTGATTGTGCGTTTCTGTGGCAAAGACTCGGAGTCTGCCATGACTTACGTCAAGGCGATGCTGAATCCGCTGAAGGAGATGATCGGTTTTACTCCCTATCAACAACATCGATGATCTGATCTCGTGTAACATTTGCAGTAACATTTTTTGATGCTTGATAAAAGCCGTACAGCAAGTAGCTAAAAGGAATCAAAGTGCGTAGCTTATGTATTGAGGTCTGTAATTACAAGATGAGAAGAACAACATGATAAACGTTCTGTCCTAAAATTGTCTCGTCCTATTGCTTGTCCTATAATGTCTCACTTTGATCCTGTCCTGCTGATTATATTGGCAGTCAAAAAAGCATTCGACATCATGATATTAATATGAACTATCAACTTGAACTTGAACTTCAACGTGACCAAGGGAGTAGTAGTAAACATCGATTGTCGGTAAACATTGTCGATAGTTTCGAGCTTAAAACTTACGTCTCGTAATGATTACACACGAATATTGTAGTAAGCTATTGTATAATTGCAGTCATTGCGGTACATTGATATTTAAGTGCGCTAAATCTTCCAGTAATCGGTTTAGAAAGGGAGCCCCCCAGAGAACGGAAAAAGGAAGGAAAACACCTTGGTGGACCGGAGCGCCGGGGAAAGAGTAAAACGCCTCAAAGAGTATGTCCGACTACGAGGAAGAGGATGAAAAATGGGTACAATGGTTTTGTAGTCTACCAGGCAATGAATCTTTTTGCGAGGTGGCACAGAGTTACATTGAAGACTCGTTTAACCTCTACGGTCTTCGTGCTATGGTACCCAACTACCAAGATGCTCTTAACATTATACTCGATATGACAGGTGGATTGTTGATTTATCCATACAAATCGTGATAGTATACTGACTATTTGACATGATATTAACATCGTTTGGGTAAATGAATGGATGACTGTAGATATTCCGTACGATGATGATGTGCCGGCGTATGCAGCTGAGCTCTATGGTCTCATTCACGCTAGATATATCATCACGGCACATGGACTAGATGCTATGGTAATATAAGATATTGTAGATATCATGTAATGATAAGGTGCTGATATGTATCTGTCTATCTATCTATCTATTTGTTTGTTTGTTTGTTTGTTTGTTGCTTCCTTTAGCTAAAGAAGTACCGGGAAGGTGACTTTGGAGTGTGTCCAAGAGCGCTGTGTGATGGTCATCCAGTTGTACCAGTACGTTGTCATACAATTTGTATATTATTGGTTGGTCAAGTAAATGATTAACAAGCTTCTTGATATAATATAGGCAGGACTTCATGACGAATGGAAGAAATCCGAAATGAAAGTGTACTGTCCCAAGTGTCGAGACCTGTACACACCAGTTAGCGAGTATCAGACGCCAACAAGTATGCTCTTTTCATTGGTTTCAATACGGTCTGTACGTATGTGAAAAGGGCTAACAAAATGGTCAATCTTTTTTGCAGTTGATGGAGCGTATTTTGGTACGACGTTCCCGCACCTGTTTTTCCTGACCTATAGAGAGCTTGAGCCAGCTCCATCCATATTTTTGTATGTACCACGGGTATTTGGCTACAAGATTCACAACAAACCTGAGAACCGTAGACGTCTTGCAGTCCTTGCAAAAGAGGACGAGGATGAAGAAAAGACTCAACAACAGGTGAGCAACACTGACAAATGAAACAGCGATTATTGCCCTTGCATATATAGATGTATGTATATATATGTGCGTGTACGAAGACAAGTATGTGTCCGTACCGTAGTAGAATATCCTGTCTATTTGTTACCTACCACTAGCTCTGTAGCTTGATGGTGGTAGAATTGGTTTATCGCGTCCATTCTTCGCTTCAGCTGTGCAGTGCTGTCTAGCGTGGTGGAAGAGCGAGATTGGAAGAGTGATTGTGTGTCATGTTTTCATTTTGCGTGTTGTTTTCATAGGGCGTGTCGTTCAATGAGGTGGTTCGACTTATGTGTCTATCTATCTCTGTTCTGTTTTAACAGAAGCTGTAATTATGTGTGTTGCCTTCGGTAGCGGCGGACTCTGACAGGGGCTAGACGAAAGGGGGAAGCCAATTCCACTACCGATGCGCCATCGTCGCGGACAAAGAAGCGAACAAAGCAAGAAGTTTGAGCATGCCGAGTGTACACGAGGCGGCATAGGCTGTGTTCGCCGTCGTGTCCTGAGGCGAAACGAACTCTGGTGTGATGGACGGGTAGAGGTCCGGTTTGCCGCTAGATGCGTATGGTAGAAGCGGCAATCCGAAGGGAATAGCGAGGAGAAGGGGATGATGATGGCGCGAGAAGGTGAAGAGAGGAGAGGCAAGGGAGAAAGAAGGGCGTACTACTCAAGAAAACAAGTGATTGCAAGAGAGTCAGCCTGTCGTGCAGGTGTGTGACGAGGACAAAGATGCTAATGTAAGAAGGAGTCGAGGTTGGTCATGCATTGCATCGGTTCGACTTTGTGTGCGGCATGAAGGTTTCTGGGTATCCGTTAGTCTACATTGGTGAAGCTTTTGCAGCTGTGTGTGTGCTTTTGGGTAACTTGAGGGCACTTATTACCGTATAGTATAGGAAATAAAGCGAGCATTCTCTCAGTAATGGTAATCGTAAGCTTTATGACTCCATCTTGACCATTTTAACAAATGAGCTGAGGTTATCACTATTTTTCTGGAACTGCGACGTACTTTGAAGGTTGTAATTGAGCAATTAGAGAAATCCTCAAAAACATCACGTTATAATAGAGATACTGTAGTCTGTGGAATACGCTAATATCTGATAGCGTTATCGCGACTCTATTATGCTCTTCTCTAAATTAGGCCAATATTATTCTAGGATCACGCACCTCACAACCGAAAAGCACAAAGAGATCAAGTGATATCAGGCGATTGATTAGCGAACGCTTTCTTCACCGGCAACAATGAGGTACGACGACATTCTGTACACAATGTCCATGTCTCCTCTTTTACGGTGCATTGTAGTCGAAATTTGAGCTCAAATGTACGTAAAATAGCAATAGTTTAACCAATTGAATGCTTCTATGCTATAGTGACGAGGGAGAGCTTCGTACTGAGATAGAGACGAAGCTAAAGCTACAAAGCTCGCCATCGAACACTAAATGGCAAGATATAACGCAAGTACGTGGTTTCTAATTGGTCTGAAGAGAAGAAAGCGAGCGAGATTATCTAGTGCTGAATATTTTATTTTGTATGGACAGTTAATGAGTGCAGCAGCAAAAGAGCTAAAAGTAGGACAATTGATGCATGAAAATGATTTCAAGCTCTTTGATTCCATGTCAGCACTAGAGCTTATGGACCCTAAGATGGACTCTGGGATGCTGGTCAATGGAGCACCTCCACAGTCAATTGCAGCTCGATTGGAAAGTGGTTCTGTGACGTTAGAGTTTTTATCAGCTCGTAACGTGCTCGCTACACTGGATAAACTATTTTGCTGCGAGATAGGATGGCTGAATGGACTACCATTAGCACAGTCGCTACTTACAAGTGTGTATTTGCACAGAGACCCACTGAATGCTCTGTTAGCGCAGCTTGTAACTCCGTTGGAGAGTTTAGTGGCACATGACGCGGATGTGCGGAAAATTTTGAAGGAAAATGTCGGCAACGCCGCGAAGGATTCGCTACTGCTTGTCATGTGTACTGTACTTTTGGCTACGTTGAAGACTGCCGATCTTATCCGTGATGCTGTGTTGCGAGCCGATATTTATGAGGAGGAAGATTTTTCACCCGGAAATGGTTTTGATGCTGGCGTTCTTGCACCAATCTCTGTTCAAACTTTGGACGTGATGCTCCAGGTGACACAGGAACGACTGGAGATGCTGCTTGCGCAACATAAGACTGCTTTGTCAAAGAAATCGTCAAAGAAAAAGCTCAGCAAAAAGGCAAATGGTGCAGGTTTGAGCAGTATCGAAACTACCAGCGTGCTTGGCTATGAATTGCTGGATCTTAACGTCCGAGTCGGCACCTTGATTTGCGAAGCACTTATTCGACGCATTCGGCTGCGAAGAGAGCTGCTTGCTACTTACGCGGGTATAGGCTTAGCAGAGCGAGCATTGGATTTAGAGCACGCTAGGGAAGGCTTTTGTCGTGCGTACGAGTTGGTTGATGGCATATCTACCGAGCGGCTTGAGCTAGACCCGGAGTGTTTTAGCGGGAAATCCATTGGCTTTGACCCAAGTATTAGCCGCTTGCTTCTGTCTGGATCACCACCGCGTGATGTAAAAGTGCCATCGCTTGACGAGACGTTGAAGCGAATGAAAAAGGTGCTGGAAGAAATGATGATCGGCTGCTCTCCTCCGGAATGGAAGTGCATGGAAGACCTCCGCATTTTCTTGATTGAGTTTTCTAGGCAACAACCTACAATTGTTGTGCGTTCTTATGTATTGGTAAGTTGTTGAGTGACGCGCTCGTACTACCTACCTACTTACGCTAGATTTGTTTTTACTCATTTGATCTAGCTCTTTCTGTACGCTGACAATAAAATATACGCCAGATACAACTTTATGGATTGGCTATCGGCAACAATGGTGATGAATGGGGTACCTTCTGTGCTGCTGTCGACGCAAGAGGGTGTGCTTTACTCATCCCGGTGCATTGAAACCGTGTACGAGTCGCTCAAGGTGTTTTTGCACAACCGGTCGCGACAGCGTGCCCGAATCGAACATTTATTGGATGAGTGGGGCATACTTCAGGTGGAAGCTAGTGCTGTCGATGAGAGGTTTACCGCTGAAATGAGCATCCCGGTACGTTTGTGATCCTGATCCACTTGGACTCGATTGACTCGACTTGCTCAAACTAGCCATGTTACACAGAAAGCTGCATACCCACGATACTTTACGGCCTGGTCTCTTGAGGAATCTGTGCAATTGATGATCCAATACGTGATGCTGGGGTTAGAGCTGGAACTTTACGCACCTTCAGAGCTTGGAACAGTTTATTGGTATGTGTGTATGCTTCTCATTTGATTCACGAGACAGTTGTTGTGTTCTAACAGGCTTTGCCACCACAGGTATCTCGATTACTTGGCAGGCTCACGTCTCCAAAATTTGAATGTCACGTGGACATTTGTACAGAAGATGAATGAAATTATGCCTCAACGCCATGGACCACATGCGATGGAGAAGGCCAAGGAGGAGACGGTGATGCCTACACCACCAGCAGTAGCCGTCACTGTAAGTAAACCATCAAAGAAATCGAAAACAAAGCAGAAGAAACACCACAATGGTGCTGCCATGGCTATCTCCAAATCTCCGGATTCCACAGACAGGTCTGTTGACCCCACGAAGGCACGATTTCTCCGTGAGATCAAGTACACTGAGCTATTGCGTAGTCTGATGCGTGCGTACTTTCAGCTATTCAACGCTCTCGAACGTGAAGGGCTGGTAGAGGTGAAGTCTCCCATGTACAGCACATTTACGATTCGATTCCAGCATCGCTTTGCAGCATTCCAGAAACTCCATTACCCTGCTGCGCTCACATACGAGGACTTTACTCAGAATAGCGACTTTTCTCCGTATGACCTGGAGCTTATTTACAAGTCGGCCGAAGAATGCTTCAAGACAGCTCGTGCACATGCAGAGATGTTACTAAGCGACACAGACGGAGTCAACACTATTGGTACGACAAATGGTACGGGACTTGTCCGCGGTGTTGAACTGCAGTTGCTGCTTAAGGTATCAATCTCCAATTGTGTTCGTCTTGCTCAACGCAGTCAGAATGGAGGAGGTAGTAAGTTGAAGAAATCCTTGCAAGAGACCAAGATACAGATGGCGTTTGATTTTTCCATCCATCCCCATTTTCCAGTCGTGGTGTTTCTTCCATCGCGTTAGACAGTCTTTAAACAAGCACGTTTTGTCAAAAAATACCGTAGAAAAGACTCCAAAATAGGTAACACCGTGAAAGTCGGTTACGAGGTTAGAGTTTGTTTGCATTATGGGACTCTAAAATACAGTTTCACCTCTTACACTATTGCTTTTTTTTCATATTTTGCTTGAATTGCTTATCGTTGCTTTTGTTTCTCCTCCATTGCAATTTGATCCAGTAATTTCTTCGTAGCAAAGAGTGCGATAAGTGCAAGCACAAAGAAGATACCAACGCTCAACATGCCGTAGTAAATAGGATCCTTGAGTATCTTTATCGTCAACGCGTCAGTCCAGTCCTTGGGTGGCTCTGCCATCCGTGCCCGAAGTTTTGCCAGTGCATGGTCTTTACTAGTCATTGTAATAATGAAATTTCGCTGACTTAGGGCTGTTCAAAAACGTGCTTTTTATAAAATGTCATTGTGACTTTTCGTCGATTTTTAGACAAATATATCTATCGTGATATTTCACATTCTTTCCGAAAATTCTACCGTGATATTTCATTTTCTTTCCGAATGTTTCTCCGCTCCACCTTGTCTAATGCTCGCCGTGCTTCGTGCTTCTCTCGTGCGCTCCACGTTGAAGCATCTAAGACGTCAATAACTGTACGTTATCGATATAAACATCTTTACTTTATTCTAACCTAACAATATTGTACTAACTTGTAGCTTGATAATGGCCAATAGGACGCTGTGGCAAAGGAAAAGATCGTTGTGTTTTCCAAGACGTACTGTCCTTATTGCGCCCGTGTGAAGAAACTACTGGATGTACTGGATACGAAATATGAAACTGTGGAACTGGACACGAGGGATGATGGCGACGAGATGCAAACGTTATTATTCAAGATAACGGGTCAGTATACCGTGCCCAATGTCTTTATCAATGGCAAGCACATTGGTGGTTGTGATGACGTCATGATCTACCTAAACAAGCAACAAACTCGTGACAATGCTGGACAACTGAGAGACGTCAAAACCTTGTGAAAAAAGGATTGAGATCCTGCTGTTCAATTGCATTGAAAATCTCTTCAAGGCTCATTGGTATCTAACATACATACTATATGTACTTGATTTGCTTGCTTGCTTGCTTGCTTACTGCCATTCTTGACTTTGAATCAGATCGACGTGGTGCCTTGGCAATCGTCAAAGTCACCAATTATCATTTCATCGAGCGAACGACCTGCACCAACCATTGGATAACAGTGCTCATTTTTCTCAACCATAAACTCACCTAATATAGGACCCTCGGCAGCAAGGAACCGGGCCATGTCCTCCTCGAGCGTGTCTTCCTTTGAGCAGCGAAAACCCTCGCAATTCATTGCTTCTGCAAACTTGACAAAGTCCGGATTGTTCATCTTTGTACCAGAGTACCGCTCCTCATAGAACAAGTCCTGCCACTGCTTCACCATGCCCTGAAAATTGTTGTTCAGCAGCAACACCTTGATGCCAATGTTGAACTCGGCAGCAGTTGCCATCTCACACAGTGTCATGGAGAAACTGGCATCGCCATCAATGTCCACCACGATGGCATCAGGCCTGGCTACCTTGGCACCAATCGCAGATGGAAGACCAAAACCCATCGTACCCAGACCACCGGACGTGATCATTGTGTTCGGATGCGACCATCTGTAGAACTGAGCAGCCCACATCTGGTGCTGGCCAACACCCGTCGTAATCAATACATCATCACGCCCCTTCGTCTGCTTGTACAGCTCCTCAATAACTCGCTGTGCCTTCATCGGTGCGCCGGGAGCAGATGGGCGGTAACGAAACGGATATTTTGCCTTCCACCCTTGCAACTTCTTGTGCCATTCGCTACGCGGCTTGGTCTCCACCTTAGGCAGAATCTGCTGCAAATTGTACTTGGTATCGCCGAGCACGGCCACATCGGCAGGCACGATCTTGCCAACCTGCTTGCCTGTGATTTCAAAGTGAATGATACCACCACGACCCTCGGCAGAAGCACGGCGTGCTTCACGGGCAAAGTCCGGCACACGACCTGTCACACGGTCATCGAAGCGTGCGCCAAGAGTGATGATGCAGTCAGCATCTTGCATGGCTTTGTTGGCGTACACTGAGCCGTGCATACCCAGCATGTGCAGACTGAGAGGGTCACGCTCATCGAAAACACCCATGCCCTGCAGTGACGTGGTCACAGGAATATTCGCCTGGCACGCAAGAGCACGAAGCTCTTTGCTCGCATGCAGTGCACCAGCACCAGCAAAGATCAAAGGCTTTTTCGCCTTGTTAATCATCTTGACAGCAGCTGCCAAATTCGCATCCTGGTTTACACGGTTACCCTCAATCTTCTTCTCACCATAGTAACCCAAAAGTTGCGGCTCTGTGACAACAGGGCTCTTGCATAATCCAGCCGTGATATCCTTGGGTAGATCCACCAGCACAGGTCCAGGACGACCCGTTGTAGCAATGTGAAAGGCTTCACGAATATTACGTGCCAAGTCACGTACGTCACGCACTTGCACGTTCCACTTCGTGCATGGACGGGTAATGCCCAAGATATCAGCTTCCTGAAAAGCATCGGTACCAAGAACCTGGGTAGCCACTTGACCACTGAAGACCACAATGGGGGTACCATCCATGAGTGCATCTTGTAATGGTGTGACAGTATTTGTAGCACCTGGTCCAGACGTCACAAGCACAACACCAGGTTTTCCACATGCACGAGCATAGCCTTGAGCCATATGACCAGCACCTTGTTCATGTCTTGTAAGAATAAAATTAAAGTATTTACTTTCATGAATGGCATCAAAGACTGGTAAAATCGCACCACCTGGATAACCAAACACACAATCGACATCCATCTCTGCTAATGTCTCATGAAAGATTTCAGCACCTGTTTTACCCATAAACTTGTCGGTTGTCTTGGGTGGTGAACGTTTATGGACACTAGTACGATTCGATACGTGTGATGTTAATACTTTACGTCGTGACGTGTCGGTAGTAATACCTGCAGGCACTTGCAATCCAGTCCTACGAGCAATTGATGATGATGACAAGACATAGTGGAATCGACGGGAGAGCTGCTGACACGTTCTTAACATGGTGAAGCAACTCAAAGGTTTAAAGGGGTCTGCTAATCTAAAATTGAGCTTTGGAGCTGCTCGTGGGTGGTGGTGTATGATGTATGATGTATGATGGTGGATGTAGCAAAAGAACCAAAATGAATGCGCAAACATTTAGTCATGTTTGAGTGTATTTGTTATTTCTATACCTCACATCGGTAGGAAAATGGTGTAATTATAGTGTGGTAGCAAATACTGGTTGCGCATTGACGACGGAGAGCCGTAAGAATATGTAACATATGACTCATTGACTACTGACTTGTAAATATCAATGAGTAATTGAATGAATGGCTATGAAAGACTTGATTGGTCTCGGATCAATACAAAAGTGGATACTGCATTCCTACTTGTAACAACCATGTCATGAGCACTTCTGAATGCATAGGTCGATATTCATTTTCCATGTTCATGTTGGGACGAGACAATTTCGTGCTTGCAACATGGACTTGCATCTAAGAAACGGACGGCTGAAGAAAAGAGTATGTATGCGTGCTGTCGCTTTTAATGTTGTGTCCACTGTATTTTTCAGTCAGTCTTTGGACACTATGGAAATCCAACTTCTTCACGTGACATGCGCCAGTCCGACATAGCATCGTCGCCTTGTGCCCTTTCTCACTAAACACAGCAGAGGATCCAGTGTTGGTTGACATGAAAATCTCAGGAGTTGCGTCTTGAATGTCTTTTGCCTCCATTTCAATAATAACACTATAACGACGACGACGATGACGACAATGCAGTGCGTCGCTTTGCTTGTCACGAATGGCACAACTGCTCCATATATGTTAACTCTTACTGCCGCGTATGGACACACCACCGTTTGTCTTTCGTTTTTGCGACCTTTCTTGTTTTACGTCGGCTCGCACTTGAGAGAAAAAAATTACACCAAACGGTTTGGAAGCTTTCTGCTCCTTGTGCGTGAGTTTAGTATCAAACTTGACACGACAAAAGATGGCAGACCCTCCTACATCAGGCACACCATCATCAGATAACGGCGCTGCCATCGTCTCGGAACAGCTCACTGCTTTGCTTCTGAAAGATGAAGATACAAACAATAATGTCCGTTCCTCCGTTGCGTCCACGTCACCTTCTCATCTGGAAGCGTCGCACTTTCGTGATCATGGAGAAAACGCGGCACCACCAAACCGCCGCCAGCTGTTCAGTTCTGTGCGTGAAGCGCTAGAGAGTTCTGGTCAACTGAAGGAAGAGTCTGGCGGATATGTCATTAAACGACACAGTGGCCGTCAGCAGCAGCAGCAGCATTGTCGCTCTGCAGAAAAACCAAAGAACCGACATGCTAAGCAGCGATCAGATAGCAAAGGTGATACAATACTGACAAGTACGTCTAACCCTGTTGAGGACGAAGCGGATGCTGCAGGATACACAGTCATCCGACGACGATTGTCCTGTGATGAAAGCATCAGTGCTTCAGTTGCTGCAACTGCTACAATCACAGGACGACGTAACTATCAAAGTTCTACTCCAGCACGAGGGAACAAAAAGACGCAGCAACAGTCGCAGCGACCGCGTCGAGGTAGTATGTCTGTATTGTCACAACGCAGCAATCTACAGGCTTCAATGAAGCCACCTCCGTCCTTCAGCGTTCCACCTGGTTTCCAACCTTATTCAACGTCACGTGTGCTGCATCCACCTCCTGGTTTAACACCTGCAGCATCCGGTTGGGTCGTTAAAGCTGCTGCACCCGCACAGAACGTGAAAAAGATTGAGGAGCCACCGGTGGAAGCATTGTGGCCAGAGATGAAGCCAATTTCCAAGTCTGATAGCGGCTGGACTGTGACAAGAACAACAGCAACATCAGTGATAGGTGGTGAGAGTGACTTGAATACGCAGGCATGGACAACCACCACGAGCAGCTCAACTGTGGCAGATCAGAACGATGACGACGATGATGATTTGCTGACGCGGCTTGGTGTGACCCTCTAATTGCGCAACTTGGTTTTAACAGACCGTTTTTGGGTCACATTTACTTGGAAATTGTAAGGAATGAGATTTGAAACTCTGATTTAGCGCTTAGTATGTGACGACAATTCCAAAAAAACCGTCTGCAGGTTGTGAACACATTGGCGTTTCGTTTATTAGCCAATGAAAAACACGTTCTAGCTGTCATGTGCATCCAATGGGGACATTGTAATGTCACAGCGTACGTAACGGTCGTCCTAACGGATCGTGATGGATTCTCACGACTGACATGCCCCTTATTTGCCATAAATTATCTCTTGTGCGTTAAATTAGAGAAACCTATTGTCAATTACATTCCTTTAACACATTGTCACATTTTTTTTAATTGAAATAAAACGACTTAGCAGTAAATAAAATAGAATGGGATGGTATGATGGTGGTGAGAAGCTACTGGAAGAAGAGCAGAATGTCCGACTTGGTGAGAATGTCCTTGTTGCAAGCATTGCATTTACCTTATTCTGGATCAATTTTGGTCTCTCGTGGTATTTCTCAACTCGACGCATAGCTGAGTTTACAAGGTTTACATCTGCACAAAAGGCCGATTGGTGTTCCAGGTGAGTTCACGTCTAGTGGTTGTTTCATCCAAGAGCCAATGGAATGGAATACTAATGATGATGATGTGGTGGTAATGGCATGCCGTGATAGAGTCAATTCGACGATTCATGCAATACTCGTCGTCATTGGTGTAGCATATGCGCTGGCAGATATATCATGGGGCGATCAGTTCATGCCCGTGTCGTCGATTCGTGCAGCGAGCTTTATTTTCTCAATTGGTACGATGCTTTTGTACTGCTAATGCAATGAGAATGTAAAGGTTGATGTGAGACTGGTACCTGACGTGTTGCTTTGATCTTGTTCCAGCAATTGGTTATTTCCTCTGTGATCTCATAATTATTATCATCTGGCCAGTCCCATTGCAATGGGTCTTTATTATTCACCACCTTGTTGCTGTGTACGTGATGCTAAATGTCTGTCGCTGTTTGCTTTCTTCCTCTTTATTTCTTTCCAGTTGAAGGAATTGCCATTGTAATTAATCTTGTTCACATTTGTTTCATCTTGTGTTGTTCGGTCACTAGAGTCCCATACTTTATCAACAACTTCATTTCATGCTGTGCTGCGTGCCAATTTGGTCTTTTACTCTTCTTACTGGTTGAGCTAGCGACCTTGCCACTAAATGTACGTGGGTTTTTAGATGCAAGAGACCGTCAGGATTCCAAGCATTATATGCGGTCTATCTATATAACGTACATGATTTGGGGAATTTCACGCATGATCCTGCCACTCTTCGTCATGTATGAATTCTGGGCATACGCGTATCCGTCGGATCGGAACCATGATACGTGTTTTTTTCCTAATCTCGTGAGTGCACACATCATTGCGCTCTTTTGTGTTGGTGTATTTTTCTTCGTCCATACACCAGAGATGATTCAGATCCTATGGAAACAGCATGAACAGCAACAAGGTCATGGCTTTACAGACAATTCATCCAGTGACATTGCTGTGAATACAGACGATGCAGACGTGATTGATACTCAAGTGACGGACGTTCGTAGTTCCAAGACAAACAAATCCAGCAGTATGCGAAGTCTCACCTTGTCATTATCTAGACAGAAGGAATCAATTGCAGACGATTCATATGATGATATTGAACTTGGTGTCATGCCTCGAAGTGTCCGTTCTGGAATCGTCTCATAATAATAGGAGTAAGTGTTTTTATTTTTCTCTCTGTAAATGTAGCTTACACTTGAAGAGCGTATATATAACCCACTTAACCTATATAATAAGTAAAAATAAAAAGTGTACCCCTAAAATGACACGAGTTGATATGAAGTAGTTTTTGACCAATCGGATACGATCATTGGCCACACACCATTAAAATAACCACCTAGGAAGATCATTCGATGCGGCTGACGGCAGACGTGATTCTGCGTGCGCAGGTGTCGATTAATCCGCTACGTGAGCGTGAATTGAACCTTCGAGGTACCTTTTGTACATATTTGTGTGCTTTTCTCATCCATTTACTGACGAGATTATAGGTTATAAAGCCCCTGCTATTGAAAATCTTGGTGTAACGCAGGTATGTTTGTCTGTTTGGTTATCTATTAGTCTGATTGTGATTGTATCTCTATGCTATGATTATATTTGAGCTATAAAAGACAAAGGACAGATACTGATGATACTTGCTTGTGTTAACTATATAGGATGGTTTTGATTGTATTGATCTATCAGATAATGAAATCAAAAAGCTCGAGAACTTTCCACGTTTGCGTCGCCTTCGTATGCTATTGCTGCATAATAACCACGTGTCAAAGATCCAGGAGAAGTTATCAGAAGCCATTGCTAACCTGGAATTCCTCATGCTTACGGGCAATCGTATTGCACAGTTATCAGAGGTAGATCACCTTGCTTGCTTTACCAAGCTTGATACACTCTCACTTAGTGGAAATCCGGTGACCAAGCGGAAATATTATCGAGAGTATGTCATTTACATGCTGCCGCAGCTGCATGTCCTAGACTTTCAGCGTATTCGTCCTCGTGTAGGTTTTGTGTTTGTGCTTGTTGACTAGCTAGTATCTGTTTTGACGCTGCTGTGTATTTGTATCGTGACAGGATCGTGAGGCTGCTAGTGCGTTTTTCAACTCGGGTGTTGGACAGAGAGCTATGAAAGAGGCCCATGGTGAAAACGTGGCAGTGTCGACACAGGCGATGAAGAACATTTCGATCACACAGCAACAGGTGGCTCCCGCAGCAAGTGTAGTGCCTCCTCTACCCCCACCGAGTGCATCAGTTGTGCCTCTTCCACTTTTCCCACCGAATGTTTCTGTTGTGCCTCCTCCACCTTCACCAAGTCCATCAGTTGTGCCTCCTCCACCACCCCCCACCGAGTGTTGCTGTTGTGCCTCCTTCACCCCCACCTAGTGTTTCTGTTGTGCCTCCTCCACCCTCTCCGAGTATTGCTGCTGCGCTTAAGAAGGACACAGTCGAGACACCAAAGAAGATTGAAAAGCTGGAGCTGAAAAAGGAACCGTCAGGAGTGACGAAAGAAGTGTTGACTGCAGACGTGGAAATGGAGGATGCAGACGACGAGGAAATGGCTGTAATATACACGCCACCCAAGCCAATTCACCAAATGACTGTGAGTATATTGCGCGAGGAGTTGAAGAAGCTAGGTCTATCAATCAAGGGCTTGAAAGCTGAGTTAGTAAAGCGCTTGAAGGAAGCTGCTGGCGAAGCATGAAGCTTATATTCACTATCGCCGAGATAGAAAACAACACAGAGCAAAGTATGGTGCTGCACAACACACCAATGCAAATAGCAAATGATCGTTTCGTGGCATGCGTGTTATTTTGAACTTTTGTTCTGCAAAAAACTGTAAATATAGTGGTGACAGCACTCGCTACGTCTCAGATGCACTCTAGCTGCTTTGAAAACCTTAAAAAGTGTCACCAACATCATCTTCGTCATAATTCCGTGAATCTTCTAATACGGTGCAATGCTGCGGCTCAGACTCTCGGCACGGTCACGATGCGACTGTGCAATCTTTGTAAACTTTCCCTTCTCATACTTATACATGAGTGGGACTCCTGAACAACAATATGCAGCATGTAGTGTTAACAATTTGCAAAAAAACAGGGCTTATTGCAGCGTAACGTACCAGTCGGAGCGAGCAGCAAGCATTTATCAGGTGCTGTTTTTTCTAGCTTCATCTGCTCGTTGAACTCATCTGTATCCATACCATCGAGGTACTTAATGAGCGTCCGAATGACAAAACCATGCGAGGATACTAAGACGTTTCGCCCCGCAGCAAGATGCGGTAAGATAAACGAATTGAAAAATGGGACGGTCCGGTTGTGAATGTCTTGACAGCTTTCACCATTTTCACCTGGAAACCGCGTATAGTAATCATTTCGAATCTTCTTCACGTGCTCCTTGTCAAACATAACAGTGTGTTTCGTGCTTGGTACTCCCTGCAAACACCAGGCAAACGATCGAACCGTTCGTGATTAAAACCAAGAGAACCATCGAAACAACAAGTAACAAGAACACAAGCACATGAAAAAGACCTGCAAGTCTCCAAAATTCCTCTCATTTAGCGTCGGTGACACGTACACTGGAATAATCTGTTTTACCCATCAAGAACGAGAGCGATGAATTAGTCACAAACCTAATGAACATGAGTACTTTCATCACACAAAGCCGTGTCACGTACAAATTCGTAAGGGTTTTTATCATTCACTCCTTGAAAAACTGGTTTCTCAAGTGGTGAACAATGTTCCACAACGGGTGTTTTCTTACTAGGATGAACACTTAAAGCCAATGACATGGTCGTACGTGCACGGTCCATTTGAGAACAAAAGACCACATCAATTGGTACATGTTTCAGTCGTTTTCCAGCCTCAAAAGCTTCTTGCATACCTACTTCACTATTGGAATAGATACACAACCATCACCAATCAATCCATCTATCTATCCTTACAACTCCTCGACTCAAGTCTTCCATTCAAGCTTAAGTTTCAGATCTCATCATCATCGTCTCATCATCATCAATGTATCGATTACCTTAAAGGAATATCAATCGAACCAGCATAGCGCCATAAATCCGTCGGACGATCAGGTTTACGATTCCACACACTCTGACCATGTCGTAGTAGAATCAACGTACCAAAACTACTACGTCCTATACTTGTATCGTCTATACTTGTATTTCCTGGTGCAAGCGTTGCCCATTGTGGATCACATTCACCATCGCGTTTCTCCCAATGTTCCACATGAGCGTGTGGTAATTGATAACGACGTTCCGATGGACGTACAGAGTTGCAGCATTCACCATCATTGCAACCACATGACTTGAGGACATGTTGACGACGCTTTCTTACTACTAGAATACCTGCAACCGTGGCTGCTCCAATGACCAATACAAGTGATGCAAACCTTCCTACCATCTTCATCTTAAGGATGTTTCTTCTCACGTCTGCACTTGGAATCAGATGCTCACGTTAGAAATATCGCTTGTCGTTCGATATTTCTAAGCATTTCAATCGATATTTCTGTTTGTAATCTGTCATATATGATACGTGCTGACACATAGAAACGTAGAAAGTACTAAAATCGATCTAATTTGTAGTCCTAATTCTGACAATCCAAAATACTAACTTGGACTAAACAGTAGCAATTTTTTGATTGACAAATGGATATTTCATTCATCTGGAAGCTTTTGAACACATTATTTTGTCCATTTAACGACAATAAAAACAGCACGCCACCTCTATATTTTATAGTGAGCTTGTAGACTGCAATGGCACATCTATCTATATATATAGTAAGCCAAACGATACTCTATCGCAGATCTACAGCTCTCCAAGCAAGGCCGTCACGTCCTCGACCGTAAGATCGCGATCATCTTTTCTCAAAATAGCACGCACAGCATCGGATGCACTGGAATTTAGCGTCTTGTCCACAAAATCTGGTAGTCGGTCCTGGTTGGCATCCACCCACCGCAAATATGTCAGCGACTGTTCTGGTGTCAAGATGGAGTGTAACATTTCGGTTTGTCGCTGAACTGCCTCCGAGCGCTGCTCAAGGCTTTTCTTTAGCTTGCTTAAATAAGTCTGTCCGCAAATAGTACAGGAACATATTGAAGTGAGTATCACAGTAGCAAATAGCGAGTGAGTCGTACAAAGATTCAATATTGACACGCACCACAGCCATTGCCAGCCGTCGACGTTCCGATTTACTGCTTTTCGAATTGTCCGACCTGCGAGGTGAACACAATGCATGAGTATTGTTGTTGTACAGCAAAATGATGACTGTATGGGTAGAAAAAAAACATACTTGTACAGTGACTTCAATTTCTCCTCCTGCTCGTAGGTAAGAGCGAGGTCGCTTGTCAGGGTTAACCAAAGCGTGTCCTTCTTCACCATAACAGACGTTTTCTTCTTCTCGGGTACATCTCCAGCATTCTTTGTCCCTCCCGTTCCATCAGCTTCATCAAAAAACGATTCGTCCTGGATACTAAGCCACAACAAAAACCGGCAGTACGGAGGTAGCAGCAGGTTGTCAAGTTGACGGAAATTGTAGTCCTTTACAGCAAGTCGCTCCTATGATAAATGGCATTATAAATAAAACACCGTCATTATCGACTATGATTACGAACATTAGCCCTTGCTAATCTCTTCTTACAACACTGTTTGGTCCAAATCGCTCCTGAATCAGCAAAAGACCCTGTCGAATCTTTTCTTGAATAGACTTCACCAGACAAAGCAGGTCGTCAGTACTTTGTTCGACTCCTCTGTATCAATCTATACAAAATCCCGTACCTCTTCTAAGCCGCCATTCTTCATTTCAGTTGCAAGATTTTTCAATATATCCGACCGGACTTGATTCAGTGCCTCATCTGCACGCTCCAAATGACTCGCGCGAGTTGTATCAATACTCTCTGTCAATTGAGACACCTGTACCACAAATGTCAACACCACATCAGCTCATCAGCTCGTACAAATAGTTAATCTATATTGCAACACACAGCACATGACACACCTTTTCTTCTAGCAACTCGAGATACTGCTTCTTGCGGCGGCGACTCTGACGCGCTGACTCCCGATTCCTAGCCAGTCGCCGCTGCCGCTTCTCATCTGTGTCTAGCGTTCCCGTATTGGACGATGCATCATCATCGTTACTCATTGGACGCATCATAGAGCTCTCTGTGAAGCTTCCTTGTTTCTGCTGAAAGGAGGAATCATTGTTCGCGGGCATCGCACTTATTGACTCACTACCGAACGTTTGATCCGGGTCAAGAGGGACCGTTTGACCCACTGTAAACTGCTCAGTGCCCACGCCAGTTATACCTGTACCGTCGTCTGTACTTGACTGCGGAGGCAGTTCTGCCGTTACATTGGCGGACAAGAAGTAACTCAACAAGTCATCATCTTCTGCCGTAAGGTCCATTTTGAATGATAATATCCAATGTGACAACTGTCTTTTGGAATAAGAATGACGTTATGCATTTCAAAATCGAGATCTGTTGCATTCTTATCGACAGTCTCATCCTCGATCATAGTTTGTATTGAGAAGAGTGATGGTCATTTTTTTTCTCTTTCGTTTTTACCTGTTTTATTTTTCATTCATTCGACGAATCTCAAGGTCAAAGTGATCAGTTCATACCGGTATTAAGATAAAAGAAAACGAAAACAATCATGGTACAACACGTAATCAAACCGATGACTGCTGAAGTACCACCAGACGTTAGCGATTCTGAAGTAAGTTCATTATGTGGGAGTGAATTAGAGATGGAAATGGCTTGGGGAGAGGGACCCATTGCGCCATTGCGGACCGAGACGTCTCTAGATGACGGCTCTACTAAAACAAGCATGAACACACACACAAAGCACTGTAACAGCAATGAGGAAGGCTCTAGTCGAGCACGAACGCCACAGAAACGAGGCAGTGAGTCGCCACTTGCTCGAAGTAAGCGACTGATTAATATTCGCCCGATCCGATCGGCCCGTGTATCTGTCAAACCCGAATGAATTGCCATTGAGTATGCGCAAACAGCAGCGATGGTTTAATGGTAAGAAAGAGATGGTAAGTTGATAATGTGTAGACTCTATATACTGAGTATGCTGTTGTTTTGTTGTGAGCAGATCATCATTTTGGTAACCGTGCGGCGTCGACAAGACTGGAAGATTTGATGGAACATATGGAACTTAAGGTGGAATGGAGGTGAGTAGTTTGTGAGGGTATAGAGAAGAAAGATGTATTGACTTGACAGCTTTAGTAGTGGGTAGTTGTTGGACATGTTGTTGACTTGTGGACGTGTATGTCAGGTCAAACTTTCAGAAGCTGGCAGAGCCGCAAAATGAAGATTTGCAGACGGAGTTTCGTCAAGGAGGAGGTGTATATGAGAACAATCGAATCCATACACGACAGAATCGATACAATGATGAGTGGAAAGGTTAGTTGGCACGTTTAGATGTTGTGACGTAGTGTTGCTACTGGTCTGATATGCGTTTGTGGCTGTACTAGATGCTGAGCAAATGCTTACTCGTATTGACCGACGTGCACGGATATTGATGCTGCAATCATTCCACAAGTTTGCGTTGTTTATTGAAGCAATTGAATATGTGGTCTTGCACTTTATTCAGGTATGGATTGGATGATTGTGTCCTGCTTGATGACAATTATCTTTTTTTTACATTTGATATGCTGAAAAGGTCTTTGGTTATTGATTATCGTAGTGGTGCGAGGTCCCCTCGGAGCTGGAAATTGCCGCACCGCTGTTCAGCGTACTGAAACGCCCGATTGAGGTGATGAAGGCAAGCGAAAACGATGTGCGACTGATACTGCCTTTGCTCGACTCGGCTTTCCATCGTCTGATCATCCACAGCGTGTGCCAGTTTTACGGCGTGCGGTCACGAAGTACGTTGTCTGTATGATATATACGTTTGACTGATATACGTTGGACTGGTGACCACAAATCTAATGCTGTATGATTTGTTAGCTGAAACCAATTGTCGTTTGAACGGAAAGATTATGGTGCTTAAGAGTCCAAAGAAGAAAAGTCTGTCCGACGATATGGCTCCTATTTCGTTGTGCGACTTTATTCGCGAAACGCGCATTGCTCGACGGCAAGTCATAGCAGGTTCGCTTGACGAACTTGCGTGTACTAGTCACGCGCTGGACATGCAGTCGCGGGGTAGCGATTGCAGCGATGGCTTCTGTTTGGTAGAGGCCCCGGAGATCTGACTTTGCTGCTGTGTCCAGAAGAGAAATGCGCTATTTTTCTGGAGAGATAATAATGTGAGCTGAATGTTGCTATTCTTGTTGCACAAGATGTCGTAATCAGGATTGCGTCAGGCTCCAAGTCGCTTGTACCTTCGAATGTGTTACGTAATGAATGCTCAGTATAATACTAGCTCAAAACCGGTTTTTTTTTTCTCTTACTTTGAAGACATAGTGACATCGTTTCGTACTTATTTGGAGATTTTGTTTACCGAGTTCTCTAAGCTATTTATAACGGCAAAAGTGAAGGTGGAAGGTATAGGAGCAATTGGACGACATAGATGGAGCAGGAGAATGTGTCTGATGACACGAGTGTGACGCATGAGACGTCACCATATGTGATTCCAGTACCGATAGAAACTATACAAGACACAGACGTTATTCCTGCTGAAATTGCAATGAAGAGTGAGCAATATCAAGAGAAGGAGAGGAGTATAGAGAATGAAGACAAGATAACGACAGTAGTGAGAGAAGAAGAGGAAGAGGAGGGAAGGAGCAGGAGATGAAGATGAAGATGTGGGGAGAGACGTTGTAGAAAAGCAAAGGGATGTGGACGAGAGTGATGACGTAAAAGACATTGAGAAGCCATTGACTATAGAAGAAGAGGACGTGACTGAAGCTACTGAAGAGAATGAGATTGAAGTGTTGGAAGAGAGTGAGACGAATGCAGTTCAAGATGTCGGTAATGTGCTTGCAGATGTAAATCACGAGGATGTGGTAGCTATAGAGAGACATGATGATGATCATGATGATGATGGTAAGTCTGATGCAATCAAAGAGGATAAAAGTGACAAAGATGTGATGGTGAATGATCTACAAGAAGCACAAGATGCTTGTCAAGACGTTGAAGTGTTGGACGAGATGTTAATTAATGTCACATTGGAAACTGTTGCCAATGTGGACCAAGAGTCAACGTACATGGAAGTGAGCAAACCGACATGGTCGATTGATTCCGATGACGTTGCGAAAAATCAAGCAACAGTGACGATCAATGGTTTGGTTGCCGACGAAACAGTGGCAACACTCGATGATACGATGCAATTTGGTGAGGAAATGGAATTGGCCTCACCAGCTGCAATGCTTGATCTGCATGCCATTGAATCAGATATGACCACAGATGACACTGATGACCCTGTGTCATTAGAAGCTGATGCGAAAGAATTGGAAGGTCAGGATGCAAATGAAGAACAGAACGAGCAAGGCGATCATGCGACCATTACAGCAGTAGCAGAGTCAACTGACAATAGTGTGCCTGTCGATGCAAATTTGGAGGTGGTATTGGAAGAGATTCGAACGAAACTTCCGTGCGAGTCCGTCGAAGTGCTGGCATCTGGAGAGATTCTGGTTTTGCCTGCGGGCTGGTCGACACGCCAGAGCAAAAGCAATGATGGAAAGACGTATTATGTATCACCGTATGGATATACGCAGTGGTTACGCCCTCCCATAAAAACTGGTGTTATTTACAACTGGGTACACGAGATTGAAGTGACGTTTGGACCAGGCCGTTTGGGACTTAACCTGAAGCAAATTGCTGGCATTCCTGGCACAGTATTTACTGACCTTCAGGTCCATATTGCGGAGATTTACAAGCTGCCGAATGGAATGGCAAGTCCTGCAGAGATTTATAACTGGAGTGTAAAGCCTGAAAAGCGTCTTGCTGTGAATATGCGAATAACAATGATGAATGGAATTTCAATGGCTGGGTACACATACTCAGAGGTACTGGAGCTGCTCGCTCGGTTGGTGCGTCCTGTTCGCCTCAAGTTCGCCGATGTTACGAAAGGCATTGTGGGCCGAGTCGAGGAAGTAGTTCCACTTGAAGATTCAGAAGAAGTTAAAGAGGCTCGTGCAGCACGAGTTATGCAGAACTCTCTCCGGATGGAGTACTTTCAGATTTTGGTGTCAAGTGAGCTTCACAAACAAGTATGGGCAGCGATGAGGCATCACATCCATCTGCGATACCTTGAGACGAAAAAGAAGTGCGAGGTTCTTGAGACTCAGGTTGAAAGGGAGCAGCGTCGCCAGGAATCTCTAGAAAAAGAGTATGAAAATTTGATTCGAGAGGAAGCTTCACTGAAGGATATGATCAAGAAGTTGGACATGCAAGTGGCAGGTGAAATTGAGTCACCTGAAGTGCTAAGGACGGCAGAGCTGATCCAGCGAACAGTGGAGCTTGACAAGGATGTGACCGAAATTATCGCTGAGAACGACGAGTTGCAGGCGACACGCGTCAAAACAGAGGAGACTCTCGATTGCTTGCAAAAAGAGTTGGATGAATACGGAGATCTTGACATTGACTTGAACGGTCAGCAGGACATTAAGTTCTTCTCACCCGCGTTTCTAGGTTCTCTGGTGCACCGAGGCTCTATTGATACTCGCGCCGAGGACGCACATGAGCGGCTTCTTGTGAAGATTAAAGCTCAACATGATCATTTTGTAGGAGAGATCAAGATGGAGGAAGAGCGAGCCAAGTTTGTGCAGTCGGAGATTCAGCAATTCCAGGATCAAATGGATGTGGCTGCAGCAGCTGTCAAGCGCGAGGATGCATTTATTAGTGGTGAACGTCCACCTCAACTGATCTTTTTGGAGAACAAGATTGCGTTGCTGCAAAAAAACTTGCGGGACACTGTGTGGGGAATAGCAAATGCAACCAGCAAGGGAGATCAACAGCAGGCTGAGAACTTGTCGCGTCGGCGAGCTGATCTAAAAGATGATTTGAAGGCGGCATTGGACGAAATGCGGCGAATGGAGATCGAGTTGCAAGTTTTCTTCGATGTCGATGAGGGCAAAATGGTTGCTTTGGAGCACGCAGATACATCTATTGACACGGTTGATATCGATGAAGCTCCTCACGAACGCGCATCAGAGTCCGCACGTCTACAGAACAAGCTAGTCAAGCTTCAAGCTCAGCTTCATGATACCGTTGTCGAGCTCGCAAAAGCTGCAAGTGAAAAGGACGAGGCACGAAAAAGCGAGCTTGCGAGGCGCCGATTACAATTGAAGGATGAGATGAAGGTCGTACAAGACCAGTTCCAGGAATTAACAAATGGGACACTAAACGTGTCAGCTAAGGCAAGAGAGTCGTACTTGCGACCATCTGTTGTCGGTCCACCTTCAATCGATGACGTTTCTCGGAGGTCTATCGTCAGCTCTCGTCCGTCATTTGGTGGTATCCGAAACTCGATCATTGGTAACAGGGTTTCCATAATTGGTGGTGGCAACAGAGGTTCGGTTAGCGTGCAACAAGGTCCAGAACGATTTGATCCTTCTCGTAGCCGCCGAAGCAGCAGTAGCGCATCTGGTGTGTCAGTCGCGCAGTCACATGACTCAACTTTGAATCAAGTTGTTCGCGATGGTTGTTTGCCAACCATGAGTGGCATTTTACGAAAACATGCAACCCATTCAAACGAAAAGGGTCCATTTGGCAACATGTCACTTCGTGGTGTACGTGAACGATGGTGCAATATTGAGCCCGATGGTTTTCTTCGCTATTACAAACGGGAGGGTGATCGTGAACCTCGTGGTTCAATTCCATTGAAAAACAAGTCATTGGAGATTTTATATGGCAAAGAAGTGGGCAAACCGAACGAGTTTATGATTTGTTCACCAACACAACAGACTCGCATGATTGCCAAGACACATGATGAGATGTTACAATGGGTTACAATGCTGGAAAGTGCTCATGCTTATTTTATGCAGCAACTTTCTGAACATGATCAAGCACGTGGTAGTCTCTCACCGTCTGTTGATGATAGCAATACTGACCCTGAAGCAGCAGACGCCGAGCTTGCGTATCGCAACAAACGTGCAACACTCGGGTTTTAATCATCATTGCTGCAACCTTTTCTTGTGCCAGGATGTATGTATGTATACATACATGTATACATATATCCATACATAACGAACTGTAGACATATTTATTTGAAGACATTCCTGAAATTGAACCTATTTGGCATCACTTCCTGTCATATCGAATACATATGTACCTATTTCTGCTGCATCCAAAATGCTCCCATCATACCCAAAAAAATCGACACTTTTTCATCATGTTCCAAGCTCGAAAGTTCGTGGATGTGCCTTCAAAGCGCTTAATGACGGGATTCTTATCCCCCAATGTATTAAATGCTACGAAACGACAACGTCTAGAGCATTGGGATGCAATGTATGCACGTCGTACTGGAACAACTGATCAAGACACGTCGTTGATCTTCGTGGATACATCCAAGTGGAGAATTGTTCAAGATATCAAGGTACCATCCTTATTACTTGAACAAGTATACAACTCATGGCCAGAATTAACTTCATTACCTCAATATGTGACATGCTGTCGCGTCTTAGTACCATCAGCACGTCATCGAAGTGGACATCAATGGATTACGTACTATGTCTTTATCTTACGTACAAAAGTACTGCTTTGGCAACAAGATCATGGGAAAATTATACCAGTCGAGTTACCAGATCAAGTCAAAGGTGATGAAAGATTGTACCCATTTTTATTTGCTCTCTATAGTGAGAGCTTAAGTCTCTTAATTGTGGGAAAAAGTGGGCTTGTACTCTTTTGGGAAGATATTGAAGTCATACCTTCTGAGAATGTACCATTAAGTGTACAAATTCCACTGGGTGTGCAAGAATATGTGAGTACACATCAACATGCAGCAATGATTGCAACACTCTTGGAACGAGGGCAAGGGAATGACAAGCAACAAGAAGCTACGGGATTTCTATGCTGGAGCAATGAAGGGAATGTTTGGGAAGTAGCTATTGAAGATCGACGTATTCGTGTACGAGCTTTTGAAAGACAGACTGCAGGATTCTTTTCCGGTCTTACCAAGTCTGTGTCACAGTTTTTTTTCGCGTCAACGGGCTCGAGAGCTCGAACAGATGGAAGAGTAGTGGATGTACACCAGCCTATCAAGTATTTGAGATTACTACCGTCTTTGGTAGGCGATATTGCGTTGAGTAGTAGTAGTAGTAGTAGTGGAACGAAAGCGGACGAGACGTCCGAGATGCTAGTGCTTTTCCAAGATGGCATGGTGGAACGACGTTCTTTTAATACTGGAGATGTGATTGATTGCTCTTATGCTTCTCAGATGCATTTTGATGCCAATCACATAGCAACCAACTACTTTAGTAACAACTTCCCTGATGCACACCTGGCGAAGGTGTATATTGTTTCAATGCCGTATGTTTACGAGACGTATTTTGGTCTGCTGGTGGCTTTTGTCTGCTATTCGTCACGATCCGACACAAGTGCGAAGGTCAAGTATGCGCTGTTTCAATTTTCGCTAGAAGCGGTGGATGTCGACACTTCGCCGGAGCCGGATAGAGTGTGCATGCTAGACTTTGAGCCAGGCTTTGATGAACAGGCTACCAATGAATTTATTGATGTGGAGAGCTTTACGATCACTCGTGGTGCCCTGTATCTTGTGTGGACAAGAATGCAGCCGATTCAATTTTGTGCAATTCTTTTGCCTCAAGCTGAACAAACAAGTTTCCTGTCGGCAGCGTTTCCACTTCAAGGCGCAAAAGGAAGATTAGCTTTGGCATTTGGACCTTGCATTGACCAGAGTTTATTCGACAGCAACGCCGTAAAGGGCTCAGTATCATTTTTGCTCATGGAAAAAGATGTAAAGTCACCGAGTGGATCAGTGTGCGTGGCTACCGCCTCGGAAATGCAGAAACTGGAACGTTTGGCAGCTCCACTTCCGTCCGATGCATATTTGGAGAGGACACACCGAAGGCGCGAAGAAGCAAGCCAGTATGGAAGCGAATTGACTCACACCGTGGGAGGAAACCTGACTGTTGATGATTCCATTCGTTTGATCTTGACGCATTTCCACGATGATCCGGACTCCGCGGTGGCCTTACGTGTGAGCGCAAGGGATGTATCTTCCGTGGCAGAAGCTGCGATTGCTGTGGATTTTCTGCTTCTAGATGCTAAGCCGTCATCTGGACTGCGATGGGAGAAAGGAGCAAACGACAATGCGCTACCTCAGACCGATGCACATGAGAAAGAGTCTGACATTCCCACTTCTGCTACTCCAAAGCTGGTACGTTACCAATTGGAAGAAAAGAGAAATCGTCATGTGGCGTTCATGGGGTTCCTGCATCGTCGATGTATAGCCGTTTGGGAGTTTATACAAAACTCTAGTGATCTTCAGCGCTATTTGAAGGAAAATGAAGAGAAGCTACAGGGTGCAATTTCTTTAAGCAAGTTCCAGGCATCGATTATGTCTACGAGTTCTGCGGAAGACGAGCCATTGTCAAAGGGGTTCACTGGAAAGTTTCTTTTGCACGCGATTGAGCAAACCGTTGAAAAGCGCGGCTATGAAAAGGAACAGCTTTGTCTTGCGGGTTACAATGCCTTTGATGTTTTTTATTGCGAAGTGAGCAAGATTGCTGAGCTTTTCCAAGCTTTGGGTGATGAAGTTCAGAACTTGTCGACGACAGTAGGCGAGAGCGACCCGACATATCTTTATTCCCTGCTAGAAAGCGGTGGTGCCATGTTGAGTATGCTCTGCACGCCTGTGCAAAGTTCTAGTGCTAGCTCAGCGCCGAAAGGAAGTTGGGCATTTAAACGCGAGGTGCGAGAGGCTGTAGCTACTCAAATTTCTCGTCTATCGGTTCTTCTGGGGTACTCGCAGTCCGGATCATTCGACAAGCAGATTCGCTGGCAGCACGATGAGGTCTTTGAGCTCGCAGATCAGATTCAGAGGCTTGGAACCATTTTGCTGGATGACTACGCTCGCTTCATCCCTCTTGCTCAAAGCGAGGAAGCAAATGAGCTGCGCAAGGAGGAAGCATTTGTGAGGCGTGTGACGTTGAATCCCCTTATTCACATCGCCACGCAGGCACCATCCCAAGAAAGGGACATAGCAGTTGACTTTGATCTGGATGGAAAGCTTACGCAAAAGCGAGCAGACTTGTTCAGTCAATGCGTCGAGCTTTGCGAAAAGTATACTTACTTTGAAGGCATGGTTTATCTTGTTTTCGTTGAAGACTCGGAGAATCTGTCCAACCTGGATTGTGTCCTTGGCAAACTGCCAAAGACACCGGCATCAAAGAGATTGGAGTTGTACTGCAAGAAGCACGACGGCTTTGACGATTTTATCTTCCGCTGGTATAATGGCGAAGTTCGCAACCCCTGGACTCAAAGGAATCAAGACGTAAGTGCGTTTTCTCCAACCATGATGGCATACCTCCTGGGGCACTCGCAACTTTTTGCGCCAGCACTGCACAAGTTCATGAAGAGCCGTGACCACTTGAAGAAGTATCGCTGGCTCACTGCGGTCTCAATCGAGCGATATGATCAGGTGGCGACGCTTGCACTACAGGAAGCCAAGAGAGAACAGCAGTCGTTACCCAAGCGCAAAACAATGGCTAGCATTGCTAAAATTGCCTCCTTTGCTTCGCCCAGTCTATCTCACTCTGAAAGTGTTCAGGAAATCAACCGCGAGGTACGTTGTGCAGTTTGACATGTAATGAAGCAAGTTATTCAGGGGTGTCTTGGGTTTGTATTTTGCAGCTTGTGCGCGGAAAGCTTCAGGAGCTATTGTTGCAGCTGCCGTTGGAGAAGCCTATTGATCCACACCCGCTTTCACCCGAAGATTTGGTTAACACGTGCTTGACATCAGCTCTCTCAGCTGAGAAAAATGACCCTATGAGGTACCGATGCCCTGAGCTTGTTGTTTTGTATTATGGTGAAGGAAATTGTATTCACTGTTGACGCATTTCTCGTTCTGTGCAATAGAGTCAACATATTTTTGATGGCGCTGGAAGCGTTAGAGACACTGGCAAGCGAACCGCTGACTGAAGAGTACGAGGAGATGCGTGCTAGTGTGTGGCGATCGTGCATTGTCGACGACGGCGAACTGTGGGATAATCTTACGGCTGAAATGACGGCGGGTGTGAACGAGGAGAAACTAGAGTCTTTAATGCGTCAAACGTTGCTTTACAAGGCGATGAAGAAGTACGTATCACGGCCTGAGTATCGTGTCCAATCTGCGTCAGCATTAACAATTGAGATTATTCAAGAGCTGGTGCACTGCGAGGGTAATGTTGACTCCGCCGTAAGCGTCCAAAGTCAGCAGCTGCTGATCAAGACACTGCATCTGGCGCTACAGTAAAATACCTACAGATACGATGTATGGGTTGCTTGAACATACAAACAGAATACGGGCATACCATTGCTTTACGAAATGTGATGATGCCATTGCACAGCTAGTCGGTAATAGCGGAGATCATAGAATTCATATAGCAGCAACAGTGCTGAATAAAATCAGCGAGAGACAAGAATATCCTAATTACAGCGTCCAGTCGTTGTGTCTGAGGTACACTATCCTAATGATCATCTTCCGCGGATGCCGTCGGCAACGGCGACAATGCAATTGTCATCTAAGCATCCAAAACAGAAGAAGTAAATGAGACGAACACTTCATTGCCTCGGCATCGACAAAAGTCATAACGAAACACTTACAACAGCAACTGACATTAGAATGACACGAGATTCCAACTTAGCATTCCCAGTGGCAATCGCCCAGCTGGAAAACACACAACAGATAGGCAAAAAGATTAGCGTTCCAAACAGCTTTGTTGCACTTCAATTGGACTCTCAAAAGCGCAAGTACCTGTCGGAAAGGAAAAGCGTTAGAGTACCGACTGCTAGCAACGTAAGTGTAGCCTTAAAATGCTCATGCTCGCCATTGATAAGTATGGACACGAGAGCAATGAGTAGCGACACATTTGCAAAAATGGCCGAGCCTGCAATCAACATCTCAAACTCGCGAGGCGTGTCTTCAATCAACAGCAGCAGCTCCGCTGCAGCACGCCAAGCTAAACCAGTGGCCACCCACTTCGCTAATTTGCGCGCGTCCTTTTGGTGGAAAAAAGCAACAGCGCTACAACAGGCGTGAGGAACGGGAGCCACCTTCTCCACAGGTCGGCACCCTCTTCATCGTTACGAGGTAGCATCTGACTCGCCACAAGAGATCCTACCACAGCTGCTACGCTCAAAAATGACGCAAGATAACCACTCTCGACCGCCTTGGTAATCAAACCATTTTGAACCCGGTCGGTACGATCATGAATGGGGGTGACCTTGGACGAGCACGTAGGTACATTACGCTTCTGTGCCTTCAACAGTGGCTCCTCCTCTTGCTCATATGATAAAACCACCGATTTCTTGTGCACATCCTTTTCTAAAGCGACAGGAGATATACTCTCACGTACACGTGGGGTGAGCACTGCCATGGTCGACCGCAACAACACTGAGTCATCTTCTTCATCCGTCGTCACATCAGGTTTCTGCTCGTCCAGACGCGATACAAATTGCGTCACTGACGATATCTCCATGGTATCCAATTTCTGGCTCATTTGACGTCTTGATAGCTCTTCATCTACACCATGATCCTTGTCCTGATTCTTCTTCTTGTTCTTGCTGTTGTAATTACGTCGTCGCATTGAAACCGCATGAATCGTATCCTTCTCCATGTCCTTTTTGTTCTTTTCATCATCATTCTCTTTTCCATGTAATTTCCTGCTTCCAGAGACGCTACGGGAGCGACTGCGACGTCCTTTTGAACGACTAGCTCCACGTCCTGGACTTTTACTTGTTCTTGGGCTCTTGGATAATAAACGACCTGGACTGCGACCACGAGATGACGTCGATTTTCCTGATTCTTTCTTCCGTTCTGGCAATAACGACAATCGAAATGCGAAAAAAAAGAAGAGATCGTATGGTATGATTAGTAAACTTTAGTTGTAGGAGATAATGACGTTGACACAATAGTCTCCACGTCTCGTACGTTCTTCAAAACGTTTGATAATATTCGAATATCCATCAGCCATGAGATCAATGCGACTTTCCCTATGAAGAAAAACGGATATTATCCAATGCAAGTGACACAATGATAGCAATTAGAAATAGAAATAGAAATATGGATAATTACAGAGGTGGATAGTTGGATAAAACCCAAAACCACGAGTCAAAATGTCACGTGGGACAGGAAAAGAAGCATTTGTTACCACGTGTTATTGTCTTCACCAAACCCTTTCCACATTACATAATAATGCACACGCTGTTTAATTAGTTTGCGATCTACAATGCGTTCAATATCGGTCGGCATTTCGTTGTGAAGGCGGTTCGACAAATAGCAGAGAGAGATACTAGAACGTCGTCTCTCTTAATCTTTGCTTGATAGTGGAGACCATCCACCCAAAAAACCCACATGGATCGGATAAAAAACCTCATCTAGGTTTTATTTAATTCTGAGGTTTTTTAAAATCATTTTATGATATACAGTGAGAATGGAATCGGACAGGCATGGGTACACACAGACTGGCATGATGTAATCAGGAGCTGCAACAATGTTGTCGCTATTACTGGACCTAAAAGCTTGATGAAGATCCTGTAAATTCAGCCGTAAAACAAAAAGATCTTCAGTCGCTGGCAACACTCGTCACCTACCATTCGAGTACCACTGTAATCTAACAGCAGATTCTGTGCAGCAACGATCAATTCCGTCATATTGGACCGATCCACTGTAATTTCCGTGAGTCCAATTTTCTTGCAAGTAGCCAAGCGCGTCTCACCAAACTGATTCTTGATGTATGCAGCAAACGCGAGTTTGTCTTTAACTGACCAACGAGTAAACACATTGGCGCGTATTTGAAGCTCATGGATAGCAGTACTACCAAGCTGTGGACCACCTTCACCACGAGTAGCTCCTTCAGAGACGTCCATGTAGTTGTTTCTCCCACGCTCACAACGACGTGATACAACGGATTGTCGTTGCATTCGCGCTCGACGACGTACATGAGACTTGTAGGCTTCGGTATGCCCTACCAAACGTTCCACTAGCTCGTCCAATGCACGGTTGCGCACAGGAACCGTCTTTACGACGTCACGGCACTCGGGACATGACAGTGCGTTGCGGAACCAGCTGCTAATACAGTATCCGCAAAATGTGTGCGAGCACGGCAACGTTGCACTGCCGTGAAAGTATTCCAGACATACGGGGCACATCATTAGTCGCTCCCTCTCTTCTTTCTCATACTCTCGAGCTCTTTTCGTAGCAGTACTGCCATCTTCTTGAACTACTGCTGCTGTTTCACTAATCTCTCCGCCACGTCGTAAGCGTTTCCTCAGCTGACTAGTTGGTGTATCCTGTTTTTTGTCCATCTCAACATTCTCATTGTTAACTGCTGCCTTCCTCACACTAACACGACTTCGTTTCTGCGAGAGACTCTGCGGTGGCGGAGTCATCATGCCTGCATCACTTCGTGATGTCTGTGCTTCTGATTGACATACTCCCGTCCTCGTAAACGCCGGAGTACCAGTAACCGTAAGCGCTGATCGTCCAAGACCTGTCACATCTTCTGACGCATTGGTCATCACAAGCCGTCGAGGTGAGTATCGTAAGTGTGGTCGATTAGTCGTCGCCCGACGGTGTAAGGGCGCAGGCGAAGGTGTAATTGAGCGTGCCAATGCTTTTACAACAATACGCGAATGCGTTTCATCGGAAAACTGAACCAATAGGCGTACACACTGCCTCATGGCCGAAGCAAGTACGACCTCATCCCCATTTTGAAGTTCTCGATTGCCTCCAGTTGGAATCTCGACTTCATTCACTGCTGTTCCATTCATTGTCTCTAAATCATATACAAGCCATCGTCGTTTACGATATCCAGTAGTTGCTAATGTTTCTGTCAGTGGAACAAATCCAACGTGACGTTTACTAACCGTCCGCGTCTCCTCTGACGTTGAGATACTCACTTCACATCCACGACTGCGACCGACACAGAAAGAAGCAGAGAATTCCCATGATCCCAACATAATATCACTTTGCATTATACTGAGAGTAGTAGTAATAGCAATAATAGTACTAATAATCAGAAGACGAGATCGTAGTAATATCCAAAAATCCAGATATTTTTGTTACTTAATCCGTATTACTACGTGATTGAGACGGCTTGAAACGCACAGTGACGACGTAGAAAGCGTAACGATAGAGTATAAAGAGTCTCGATTGACGGTCTACGACACGAAATGGTCGTCGCGTAGAACGAACGACGAAGACAGGCGCTTGCTCACTTCGAGGTGGATAATTTTGTACTGATTGATTTTACACTAATAGGAGACGCGTAGGAATCAAATCCATGTATCATTGGTTGAAAGTCAGACCTTTTTCTCCAAACGATCATAAAAAAAAAAAAAAAAATCCAAACGATCAAGAAAAACCCGTCGAGAAAATCTCTTTGTTTAGTTAGACACATACAGTTCTTCAATCTTGTTCTTTTCCAACAGATAAAAAAGAAGAAAAAAATCCCTTTTGTCTCTAAAATGAGTGGCAAAAGTCTCCTCACCCTCGAAGAAGGCTGGGATCTAGAGATTAAACCGAAAGCCATTGATGTGTTATTGGATATTTTAGATACAGGATTTGATCACATCACGCTCTCGCCGTTCCCACCCAATGCCTTCATGCCAATTTATACAACGTGTTATAATCTCTGTACACAACGTTCACCTTATAATTATTCCGAGCAACTTTATGCACGTCATGGAGAAACGTTTGATACGTATTTACAGACCAAAGTCTTGCCACGTTTAGAGACCATTCACGATGAATTTTTGCTCCAGGAACTTGTGAAACGATGGCGTAATCATCAACTAATGATGAAATGGATGACACGTTTTTTCATGTATTTAGATCGATATTACGTCAAACATCATTCCTTACCGACGTTAGATGATGCGGGATTACAGAGTTTTGATCGTATGGTGTTTCAAAAAGTCAAGAAACGTGTGCAGGACGCAATGATTCAATTGATTGAGAAAGAACGGAATGGAGAAATGATTGATACAATGCTAATGCGAAATTGTATTGAGATTTTTGAAGTGATGGGGATGCAATCCTTGGATGTCTATCAAACGTGTTTTGAACAAGATCTTGTACGTACAAGTGCCAGGTACTATGAACGTAAATCCAAAGGATGGTTAAGTGAAGATTCGACACCCATTTATTTACAAAAAGTTGAGCAAGCACTGGAGAATGAACGACATCGTGTGGAGTTGTATTTACATAAATCCACGGAACCAAAACTGGTGAAAGAACTGGAGAGTGTGTTACTTGAAACGGCACAAAAAGAACTAATTGAACGAGAAAATTCAGGTGTTATTGCATTGTTAAAGAATGATAAATTGGATGACTTGGCACGGATGTATCGTCTCTTTGCTCGTCTAAAGACGGGATTAGAGCCGATTGCAGACCTTGTGCAACAACATATTACGGCAGTGGGAAATGAAATTGTAGCGAAACGAGCGAATGCAGTTGTCTCGGGCAATGTCCGTGATCCGAGCTCGGATCCGACGTTTATCAAGGATATTCTTGCAATTCATGATAAATTTCGAAGCATTGTGAATGATCAATTTGCGGGGAATTCGCTTTTTCAAAAGGCTTTGAAGGAAGCGTTTGTCGAGTTTGTGAATAAGGATGTTGGCCCTGACAGTTCGGCCAAGTTAATGAGTACGTTCTGTGATCGTATTCTAAAGACAGGCGGTGAGAAACTTAGTGATGAACAGGTGGAAGACTACTTGGAGAAGGTGGTCTTTGTCTTCTCGTATCTCACGGACAAAGATTTGTTTGCTGAAATTTACCGTAATCAGCTGGCCAAGCGTTTGCTTAACCAGCGGTCTGCTTCGGCCGATGCCGAAGTGCTTATGATCGGTAAATTAAAGCTGCGCTGTGGTGCGCAATTCACGGGTAAGATGGAGGGTATGATGAACGATCTGGCCATTGGAAGTGACCACCACCAAGAATTTGAAGGCTTTTTGAAGAAGCGACGTGAGAGTGATCCAAACGAAGCTGCTTTGAGCCTTGAATTCAGTGTCCAGGTGCTAACGACGGGCTACTGGCCGTCGTACCGTATCCTAGAAGTCACCGTGCCGCCGCTAATGGTCCGATGCATGAACCTTTTCAAGGTGTATTATGATTCGAAAACAAGCCATCGTCGACTGCAGTGGGTACACTCACTTGGTAATGCAACGATTCGTGCCAACTTTCCTAAGAAGAAATGGTACGATCTGCAGGTCACGACTCTGCAGGCTGTGGCACTGCTATTGTTTAACGAAGGCGAGGGTGCATTATCGTTTGAGGCAGTGCGCGAGTCGTTGAATCTGTCTGTAGATGTCGTGAAGCGCATTATGCATTCGTTGTCGTGTGGCAAGTACAAACTGCTGATAAAGACGCCTGCTGGTAAGACTATCTCAACGAGCGACCACTTTATGGTGAACCGAATGTTTACGTCGCCGATGCGCAAGCTGCGTATTCCTATGGCTTCTCTCGAAGAAAGTCACAGTCAAAAAAATGTCGAGGAAGACCGCAGTATAGCCATAGAAGCCGCGATCGTGCGTATTATGAAGGCGCGTAAAACGCTTCAGCATCAGCAGCTTATTTCGGAGGTTCTGAGCCAATTGGCGTTCTTCAAGCCGAATCTGAAGGTTATTAAGCGCCGAATCGAGGCTCTCATCGATCGAGAATACCTCGAGCGCGACCCCGATCAAGCCAACACGTATCGCTACCTCGCATAAGCTACTTGCCAAGTTACGGGCTTCCCGTTTAGCGCAACGATGAACATGATTCGGTTCGAGTTATGGGGCAATAAAGGATCGTTGGTCATGATGTCATGGCGTGCTTTGTGTTGCTCTTGTTTTACATGACACATGAGACTAAGAAAAGAGAATTCAATGTGTGTCTTATGAAAGTGATCGGTTGCTTGTATTACAGTGTGAAAATGCATCTACTTCTTAAAAAACCGATTGAGTGCCGTGGGCGCGCTCTCAGCCTTTTCGTTCCACTCGCGCTGCTGCTTCTGCCTGTCTTCTCGTTTTTGCTTGTTTGCCAACTGCTCACGGAACTGCTGCTTCTGTATGTCAACGACATTCTGCTGCTTCTTGCGTAGTCGCCGGGATGGACGGTTCTTACCACGCATTTTCTTCTTCGGCTTCTTAGCACTACTGTTCCCGTTAGCACGCTGCATCTGGTAGATTTTTTTCTGCTGCTCCTCGGCTGGGTCAATGTCCACACGACCAATGGCATTGGGATCTAGTGTGATCATTTCCGGACGAATTTTTTCCAAAAGCGAGCGTACCTCAGCCTCATCACGCTGCTTATGGTTCTCGTACGGGTTCGCCTCGTACGTATCAAAGTTAGGCTCACCAGCGCCAGGAATTACTATCGAGTTAAAGCCCTTCGCATGACCAACACCAAGCACGTCTTCAAATGGACGAAATGCAATCGAGCTAATCAATGAGCCTGAAATCTGGTACGTCATGTATGGTCGAATAGGAGCGCCTGACGAGAAAGCGCCCTTGAGTACGTGCACGTTCGGACCAAAACCCACAGCCACAAGTCCACGCTGACTCACACTCATAGTGTTAGCTGCCGCCGTCAGGTAGTAGCTGTTTAACTCTTCATATTTGCGCAAGTCAAATACCTTCACTTTTCTATCAGCACCAGCGGTGACCAGATATTTTCCACTACTGTCAATACCCATAGAGCGAACTAACATTTCAGAACGTACACAATAGAACTGTCAACTAAAGGTACATCCAAACAGAGCAACAATACAAGCTAGCGAGACATACTCGGTCCTTGATGACATTGCATCTTGACAACAGCCTCCGACATATTCGGCGTCCACAATGTTACAATTCCGCTCGCGTGACCAAGGTTTACAACAGCGTTCCAGGGATTCAACGCCATGGTGTCACAAAGTCCCTGCTTCGTACGATGCGTTGACACTTGCTTTCCTTCCGTCACATCATGATAGCTTAGTAATCCATTACCACTTACAGTCGAGAGCAGAAAGTGATAAGGTAGAAATTCCATTTTCCGAGGCTCTGGAATAGTACGAATACAATGCGCTTCAGCGCCCGTATTGTCATAAATATACACGTGTTTCTTTTGAGCTGCAGCAAAGAGTGAGTCATTGTGCAAGAAAGTGATATCACGGACCAAGTCATTCGCCTGGAATTCACACGTGAGTTTCATGCGCAGTGCATCCATTTGTGCCAAATGACCTTTTTGACTACCAAGCAGCAGATTACGTCCATTACGTGTGTATGTAACTCGATACGAGCCATATTCAGGCAAGTCCAAGCTAAAGATCTTACGTGCTGTATTCAGGTCCACATTCTCTGCAAGTTGTTTCTGTGTGACTTTATACGTCTTCTCAAGACCTTCAGGCTCTAGAAATCCAACTTGATCTGGTAATAAAATCTCAGACTTGGCAGCAGACTCAGCTGCAAGTGTGTTTTTCTCATGAGCTCGCTGTAAAGATCCTCGTAGCTTCTTGTCACGGATATTGCGAATACGATGCGGTGAAATGGCACCACTTCTTGTATACTTGGCTACATGCGTAATCTTTTCCTGCTTCTTCTTGGTAGATCTTTTAACTAGACGCTTTGGAGCTTCACGTACAATCTTTTCTACGTCTTCATGCTCGGATCCGCTCTCATGATTCGCCATTCAATGTGCTGGTAGAAGATGGATGTAGCACTCACGTGACGTGATGGGACGAATTGACTGGACCCAAGTAGTTGTGTGGTGCACACCAACATCGTTGTACCGAATTTGAAGTAACTTAAATCAGTAGTCATGGCTTCCATACCCAACTGTTAAATTGGGACGTATTTTATGTGCCTTTTTGTTCCAAATTAACAAGTGGAAAAGTATCCATTATTTTCCATAGGTATTTTTTTTCCTTACGTCGTATTTTATTTTCCTCCTAATTCATTGAGACATTACAAATGCGCGCATTCTTCATGCAGGTAAATAACGAAATACACCCCTCCTCTTACGATTCTCTCACCTTGTGTTTCCTTTTATATTTATGCCTCATATCCATTATATCACTCATGTATACGTATATATGTGTGTAGTGTCGACAAGTACAAGGAAACAAACTTTTGTGTCTGCTGCTTGTCATTACGTCGTGTGTGGTCGTTCAAACTACATTCGGAGGTACGTACGTAATCATTATCACTGTCATTTATTCTGTAGCATGAAAAAAAAACATCTGTTTGATTCTTTATTTTGGGTTTAATCCAAAAACATAACACACAGAGAGATTAAACCCCGTGACCTTGGATAAAACACACAATGGACATGAGACTGTGAGCTCTATTGAACATGGAAAAGAAGACACGGACATGGTGATATTGTTGCCAACAGTAGAAGATTGTAGTCAATCGACGATGGAGCATGATGATAGAGGAATTCGTACATCAGTTGGCTTATCTGATGCAAAGGTTACGACGGAATCAGATTTCAATGTGAACGTCAAGTCTGGAGCTGTGAGTAGTCTGGTGACCTCTGGCTCGACTCGACGCGGTATTACAGAAAAATCAAGTGATGTGAAAAGTAGGATGGAAATACATGGCTCAGAGGTCTTGGGTGGGCCTTATGACTTGGATGTATCGGTTGGTTCTAAGGACGTTGATCGGTTTGCCATCAGTTCTTCTAACGTCGATATGACGTGGGATGTACCTGGTGGTGTCCATGTTGTTGTGCGTTCAGCTGCTAATTTTGCACCTATTGGGAACAATGCACCGGGTTGTACAGAAGAACGTTCTACTAGTACTGGCAGATCGTCTATGCTAACGTCAAATGTATCAGTTGCTGATGCTGCTGCAAAAACTCAGTCGTTTATGATGTCAAATACTTTGATTGATCTTACGAGAGAAGTGGTAGTGCCCACGAAAGCATTACCTCTGCCAAACTCTGTTGAGTTGACACCTCACACAAAGTCAAGCGATGTCGACAATGTCTTCTCATCCATCACAGCAAGCAACAGCTCTGTAAGTAAGGTGGGGGCTAGAAGTGCAAGCTGGGTTTGTTGCCGTCTTGTTTTTCATTCAACGCACATTGAGTGCTCCTAGAATCATCTATGCTAAGTATTGTGTTTGTTTTTTCTTGTTCCAGGCCGGAGACACTGGTGGGTATGTGCCGTATACTTCAACATACTGTCGGTGCAAAGCATCAGAGTGTCAGAACGAGCATCCTGGCGAATCCAGCGGATCTACGTGCGAAAGCAAGCTTCTCGATGGTTCGTGTCCGTTAGGATACAAAACATGCGTGTCGACAGACTCGTACAAGGTATCGACATCAACTGTTACTCCTTTCAGTATTGCTGAAGCGACATTTACGCTTTTGGCCGCCGATGTCCTTGGCGCGTTCAAGAACTTAGGAGAGGAAAACCCAATGGCCCGCAAAAGCAATTGGTGGATCACTATTTCGCTCCCTAGTGGTTGGAGATTCGTTGCATGGACAAATACTGCAGTCAAAGTAACATTACGAAGCGACGATATTGAAAAGTGTTTTACAGTGAGTGTGAAGAGCTGTACAAGCATAACGAGCCGCAAGAATTGCGACATGGACGCCCACCGGTACGGCTTCGTCGATGTCATGAAGTTACTTGAAGGCCGAGAGGATTTGATGGCGTCGAGCTCTGGGGGCCCGATGACATTTGTAATGTCAAAAAGTATCGTCACAGGTAGCGCTTCTAGTAGCTCTATGGGTGTGAGTGTATCACTCTCATACGAGACTTTGTCTGGAACTCTGAAGTCTGCGGCTACTTCCCGGCGAACGCGGAAGTTGACTGTGACTTCTTCTGACTCAACTACACCAGCTCCAAGCTTGAACGCCCTTACTCTTGCCACAATGGCATTGCCGTCTGTCCAGAGAGGTCGACTGGATTCGTCACTTTTGTGGGTAGACGAGGACACTGAAATTATGATGCTGTCGTTTTCAACGCCTACCATCGTTGGCCCCAACTCGGCCAACCCAAGAGTTTGTGTTGATTTGCGCTCAAGATACTGCGCAAGCAAAGGACGTGAGCCTTCTTCAAGTGTGGAGTTCAAACAATCTACAACGGCTTCGTACGTTCAAGGTGGAAACCCATTCTTGAATTTGTACGCTGATCCAGGCAGTACAAATCTGAATATTCAGAGCGACAACACTACCTATTTTTGTGTGACAAACCTTCTTCCGTCGGGTGTCGAACCAAACGATTCGTGGGAGATCAGGACGGCGTTTACATTTCAGATTCTAGTAACTAATGTTGCCTGGTCTGATGATGTGGACCAGAACGGCGCTTACAGAAAAGGCTTTCTGCTGCCTCCACTCGGCGAGGTTATTTTGATGGACGACAACAGTGTGCTAGGAAGCGATTGTGCGCAAACGCTGGTGCACGTGAAGACATGTACGTATTTGACTTACTACACCTCTCGTGCCGGGACAAAGCACTCACTCTTGTTGTAATGTATTGCATAGACTCAAAGTCCGCGCTAAGTGTATACAGCGTGATGTCGATCACTTTCTTTGCTGTCGCTCTGGCTGGTGCTGTTCTCATTACACGAATGGTAAGTTTATCCACTGTGCAGTGTACTTGTGGTAACTAACCTTGCACTTGTTGGCAGAATGGTATCTCGTTCTCGAAACCCACGTTCTACAATGACATGACGTCGCTGTCTGTGATGATGGTCTTCGTTCTGCGCATTATTGGCAATGCGATTTGGATTCGGGTGTCGACAAATGCATCTCCGGCCCCCGGTGCTGATATTTACTACTTGTTATACGTGATTTCTGTCTGCTTCACGTGTACGATGATGACTTCGGTGTGTTTTCACTGGGGTACAGTGCTGTTCCACGACGTGGGCTCGTCTGGATGCTTTTTCGTGTTCACCTCCTACGTGTTCATCAATGTTGTGTTTTACAGCATCCAGCTTTTTGGCGTCGTGAGCCTGACAGATTTCTACAAGTGCACATACGACGACTATTTGAAGAACCCATTCTACACCATGCGACTGTGTTCGAACGATTATTGCCCTGATTTACAACCTAAACAGTGGACGTATGCCGTGGACAGCGTATGCAAAGATGTCAATTACTCAGACTGGTTCTTCCCTCTCCATCAGAGTGGTGAGCTGTTAATTTTTGTCAGCTCTGTGGTGTTGCTTGTACTTGGCACGTTCGTGATCCAACGCGGGGTGCGGCTAATCGATCAATCTGGCGATATCTTCGATGATCACGTGGTAAAGGTGATGAAGAAGTCGTTGATAACATACCTCGTGGTGATCCTTTCGATCGCGCTTGTGCTTGGAATATGTTGCGTCATGAACTGTATTCTGCATTGGAAGAATTGGAATATCAGCGCTGTCGTTTGGTATATTTTCTCCATTTGGCTTCCGACTCTGGTACCCCCAATCGGCTTCTTGCTACTGCAGTGGAATCCCAGGCTGCATGGGATGAACTGGAACCCATTGTTACATGTGAAGGATCCGCAGACGCTGGGAGATACGATGTTAAGTATTTCTGATAAGGTCGAAAACGGCAAGCTTGGCGTCTCAGCAAATGGCACAGGGCTAAGTGATGGTTGGACTGGCATTTTACATTTTCCTGACACAGAGTACAACCCGAGTAGCCTGGACGGTGTGAATGGGACGCAGAATGTGCTGGCACTAGCAGTCCAGCTTATTTCGCCCATTCCTCTTACGCACGCATGCTTCATTGAGCTGTATGTTGCTGAGAACAACACTAGTGATGCCGGTGAAAACGATGTTGCTGGAAACGATTGCTACGAAGATCTTTCAGTGTTGAGGTACAATCGTTCTTCTATCAGTACATTTATCGAAAGTGGATTGCAGCAAGAAGGATTCCTTAGCCGTCGTAGCCGTTCACTTTCGCTGCTTGGTAATGGAGTACTATCCACACCTCAGCCCGTTTCTAATCCGGCCGCGAAGTGGTCTCGTATTGGCTTCACCGAGACAGTTTTACCAACGTTGGTGGCTAGTAACTCTGAAAACGGCGGCGGCGTTGTGACTCAAATCGCAACTTTTTTGTCGGTACTCCAGATACCTATCATGCCCGCCAAACCGCTTCTTCGTTTTGTAGTATACGAGATTCCCGAGAAGGCTGCACCATCATCAGACGGTGACGTGCGCGAGTCACGTCAACTGCTGCATGCATCTTCGTTACAGCTTGATGAGCGTGCTCGAGTCGCTCGTGTATCTGGCATGGGTATGGCACCACCCTCCCGGCCCAAGGTTTTCTGCGAATTTTGTTGTGCATGTAATGACATGCTTGCAGCAGAAGAGGTGACCTTGGTGGCGCGGCAGGTTTCACACCGCTTTCGGTCACCTATTCCGACATTGCTTGGTGATGGATCTGGTACAGTGTCGCCAAGTATTGCAGTTGTGACTGGAGGTGCTACCCCTAAGGCAGACCTCTCTATTCCTTGTTTGCGAGTAAAGTCAATGACTGTGTCGCCACGTCAACTAAAAAGAGAACTCTGGATTTTATATCACCAAGAGTTTCCAGTTTGTCGATGGAGCTGAAATGGTAATTGAAGACATGGTTGAAAGTCCTCTTACGAACGAATTGCCTCGGCAGTACCTGGAATTGCTTGCCTCCGACCGTACTGACGATCTAGCGCGTGCGCAAGCTGAAGCTGTAGACTTTGAAGCAAGAGTAAAGAGTGGACTCGTTGGCAATCTGTACGATAATCTGATCGAGCAGATTCAAGGTGAGAACGATCGGACGGTGGTTCAAACATGGCTGAATGATCGCGTGCAGCAACGCAAGATGTATGTCGAGGCACTGCGTGAGAGTCACGAGCTGTATATTGATCGTGCGGAAGAGGGACTTAACTTTAAGGCTAGCACCGAAAAAAAGAGTTTAGTTCTTCGATTTCTGCCTATCAATCTGCACGTGCAAGATATGTGGGTCGGTCCAACTGCTGAATTGCGCTCCCAGCGATCAAGACGGACGTCATGTAGCGTTAGGGCATATCCAACCATAACGGTGGGCGCATTTGCTGCACATTGCTTCAAGTTCCGTTATGGTGAAAGCATTTTGAGTTTGCGAGCGACGTTGCAGAAGCGACCACTACCGCGGGTACAGAGCGACGTGTCGGACAACAGTGTCGTCGGTGTCGTGGACTGGAGTAATGCAGACATGCGTTCTCTCGATGAGACGCGATGGCATCTCACGATGCGGTTTGATATGTGCTTTTCACAAGCATTGACGACTTTAGTGGCATCCTTTTGCCGTCAGCTGGAGTACTCATTGCAGCATCCCACGGACCGCTCATTTTTGCATACAATCGACTCCATTGGCTTTCTCTTCCAGGTTGAGTCATTGTTATCCACGCATGGCAAGGAAATTGGAATGTTAGAGGACTTTTTTGCAGCGGTTAGTGCGCTCAAACACGTCACGTTTGTTCTCGACACGTCGCCACCGACGCACCTTCCTGCAACATTGCTGAATCTGCACATGAAGAACACCATGCTGCCCAGCGTCGTATCTGTACGGTTGAGTAAAGGTTCTGCCAAGGGAACATACACGGTTGCAATTGGTGTGCGTTGTTTGAACGATGTGCGCACTTCTATGCCGTCGACCATTCGATCCGGTGGGTCAATTCCTGTGACGCCAGTAATTTTTACGCAGGGTATTAATGAAATGCAGACGCTGGCAAACAATGCCAGCAGCAAGAAGACGACCCTGCAAGATATTATTAATCGCCAGAGCTTTGGCGTGTTGACGTGCTATGTCGAGAAGTACAAGCGACTTGCTGCTAAAAGGGTATGTAGTGCATGACGTCTTTTGATGATCCTTGGCCGCTAGTGTTTTGATTGACTTGTGCTTGTCATGTTACAGCCGGATGCAGTACGAACGCCCATGTCGACAATCGAACCGCTTTTGAAGTCGCTTGAAGAGCGGATTGCTACTGCTAGTAAGCGACAAGTTGTGAAAACAAAGCACCCCAAGATCATTCAGGAAAGCTCTCATTTATGTCGACTACTTGGTGCTGGGCGTGTAACATCTTGCAAGAGTGCAAAGGACCGCACAAGCATGTCTGTGACGCTAGAGCAAGTGCGACTATTGAGTGAGAATCATGGTTTACCAGAGGAATTTACAGTACGAACAGTGTCTACCATGCGCAGTAATGGTGTTCGTTTGGAGAATGCATTCAAAAATACGGGCAAGCGTCAGTATGCTTTTAACGCGTTGCAACGGTCACTGCTTCCAGACGAATACAAGTGTCCCGAAGGTACATATGGTCGTGGGAATGTAAGCTAGCAAAAGCTATTGTTATTATTTGTGCATAGAATTTTTTTGAAAATACAATACATTTCAACTTTTGTCGCGTCGAAATATTGTGATATTCGCATGTAGCTTACTGTAATTTTCTATATGTCAGTGACAATAATTCTATCTTGTAAGGTTATTTATCTACCATGATATACTGATTCCATAGCCAATTGCAATTATTGCAATATCTGACATTATTTGTGACAATAGCTTACAAAAAATCTGATTCCAAGCATGACTAACAAGCGTCAAGTATTTAAGCACGAAGGTAAACAAGTCCTCTCTCTCTCTCTCTCTCTCTCTCTTCTTCTCCTTGTGTATAGTATACAAAAACACTCTCATCCTCTTCTGCTCTCTCTCTCTATCTCTCTCTAAATATTATAGGTCGTGTTATCTATGAATGGGAGCAATCACTAGAAGAAGTAAATATCTATATTCAACCTCCATCAAATGTCACAGCCCACCAAATTCAATGCAATATCACGAGTAATCACATTACACTGGGACTTTATCGTGTCAAGGATACATTTCTTAATGTACGTAGTATCGCTTGTATGGAATTTTAGTATTAATATCTTGCTTACAATAGGGTGGTTTGTATCTACCTGGAATCTTGACTTTAATGAATACTCAGCACGATCTTGCAAGTTCTATAATTGTTGCAGAAAGCTATTGGATGTTTGGTACTGAAAGTTCTAGCTATATCTATAGCTAGTTAGATGGGCTTGTGTGTGTGTGTGTTGTTTGTTAATTGATTTGTAATCATGTTTAGACTCGGGGGAATTGATTATTAATCTCCAGAAAATGAAAAAGGGTTTGATTTGGCCTAGTGTCTTTATTGGACATGGAGAGGTTGTTATAGTGTGTTGTTCATAGTGTTGTGTGGTTGCGTATTATTGTATTGTTCATGTAGTTAATTGTTGAGTAGAGTGAAAGTATGTTACTGACAGAATTGCTTGTGTAATGCAGTTGAATCCAATGGAGCAAGAAACTACAAAGCAGCAAATGATGTTGGAACGTTTTCAGGAAGAAAATCCGGGGCTGGACTTTTCAAACGCTCAGTTTAATGGTGCAGCACCTGATCCAAGAACTTTTATGGGAGGTGTCAAGTATGCATGAAAGTAGATACGGGATGGCTTGGATTATGAGAAGAATTGAGGTTTTCTTACACTTGATCGAGACGAAAAGGATATCGTACTTTCCGAATAAGGTGAATGAATATACATATACAGCACTGTTAACAGTCGAGAAGAGAATTACATTGTGCGGCGCTTTATTGATCGGATATCGCTTGAACCAACTCACATACATCCTCCAAGTGATTATACCAACTAAGCACGCGTTTGGGTCATCAAGTCCATCGAAACGTAGTATAAATCGGGATCTGAACAGCATGAAGTTCATTGCAACGTCGAGAAGACACAGCAAAGAGTAAGAATTGCATGGACACAACAGTTTCTTCATGGGCTGTCGTGGTGCCTATAACACGCAGCACTGATTTGGTAACAAGGGCTCATTACAAAACGGCGAAACCAAATTTCTGAAACAAAATGCAACAACTCGTACTCTCATTTGTTTCGCTTGTCTCCCTTTTCCCTTTGGAATCAAGCGGCATGTATTGGTATCACCATTGCTTGTACCTTGTCGACTGAGTCAGGTATGATTGTTCTTGTAGAATTCTTGTGTCGTCTAATTGGCGTAACGATCACTTCAATTGAGCTCACTATCAGCACAACAAACATAGCTCCAGTGTATATATGGGTATTGGCGTCTGCAGGATACTTGAGCAATGACAACATACTCACAATAACAAAGTAGGGTGGACATTGAGGAACGAGAGTCCGTGCAAAGCGTTTTCATTTCGCCGTCACACACAAACTCTCGAACTGCTAGCACCGAGACCTCACTGGACTTAGATGCCAGCAGAATTCGGTTCTTCGTCGTGACTCTGGTGCGCCACGACGATACGTTCACCAAAACGACGTTGCGCCATGGCTTTCAATTTGTCCCGAACATTTGCAGCCTTGACTGCAATCCTCCGATTCCGATGCAGATCAGACTCATGTACAAACACCACGTCTGACTTTCCTGCCGGTTGCAGATCGTGTAGACGCACCGTGTAAATAGCATCAGCTGGACGTAGTCCAATAACAATCCCCGACCCAAACTTTGTCCGTACATCGGTACCCTCCAAGGCCTTGGGGTAGTAATCAATCATGTTGGCGTTAAGGTATGCAATTGCTCCCCATACGAGCTGAATGTGCGCCGAACCGCGCTGTGGGTCTACTGAAACAATATGTCCAGCACCAAATTTCGTGATCACGGGCTGTCCTTGATGATATTTACTAGCAATGAACGTGTACGAAGTCGCCGCAATATTTTTCAGCATTGTTAATCCACTGGCAGAGCTCGCACCAGCAGAAAGTCTCACAGACGATCGTCTCGAGTCCCAATCAAGATTACTTCCTTCTGACATACCACGTGGACGTCGTGACTCCAAAGTGTTTCGAGAATCATCATTATTCTCTGCTAGTCGTACATCTGAGACTGGCACTTGAAGTTCCTTCTCTTTACAACCACCTGAATCTGTTCCTACTCGTACTGTATAAAGTTGTTCCTGTGTATCATAGTGTACCACACGACCTAATCCTGACGGTGTGGAGACACACTCGTTAACCAATGCAGGAACGATCTCTACACTCTCCATCTCTTTTGCATTCAGATACAACAATCCTCCAATCGTTTCTAGTTCAATTGCACTCACTCCATCCTCATCTCGTATGGCACTGAGTCTACCAAGCCCAAATGACGTTCCAACTCGTACACCCACAGTCTTTTTCAATACACAATGACAGTAGAAAACAGGATCAACACTATGACAATGAGGTTTCTTCTTTGGGGTCATTTCCATTGGCGTTGTCGGTGTGAGTCGAGATTTCACGACAAAGAGCTTCGAAGAGGTTGTCAGTCCTGCACGTGCAAATGAATAGACAGCATTTAGAACTGGATACGTCGGCGTTTTGTCACTAATCTTTGACTCTCTCCCAGTCGATAGACATTGACTACGAGGATTACGGCATTGAGTCGATTCCCGACTAGTTTCTGGCTCGGACATTTCGTCACTGGAATTTTCACTTAACTCGGAGCTTGTCGTAGGAGCACGTTGTTGTTGATTGGGTTTTTTCATGACAGAAACTCTGGCTTTCCATGTCAAGATGTCTCCTAATGATGGTACCATGAAGCCACTTTTTGAGTCGTTTGTTTGTTAAATGAATGATTGAAGGCAATAATAAAAATGGGAAAGAAAAAGACGTGAAAAAAATAGAGGATAAGAAATATAAGGGTCGGTTTCTATCAATATATTTTAAAGTAGAGTATATAAATATATTTGTCTGAAGGAGTTGATTTAAATGCGTCTTTGGTTCTGGCTATACACAACAAAGAAAAGGTACCACGTAAGAAGAAAAAGAAAATAGAACAAGCTTGAAAACGAAACTGTCTTTATTGCTTTAATTGTTTAGTATGTGAAAAAAGAATTATCAATCGGCTCACTGTTACCAGCTGGAGATGTAGAAAAAAGAGACGGGAAGACTGGCTTATATATTTTCGAACGTGCAACGGGTGTTTCAAACTATAAGACACAGTAAATGTCCCTGTTCCCCCTCTCGTCTGTGATTAATGCTGATTTCAACGTTGCGATATATGCTCGAAGCAGACGACATGTACACTCAGTTTTGATGGAAACAGGCGCGATGTTTTTGCACGGACTGGGTACTTTTGAGGCATCCAAATGCTGATGAATGCCCTAGTCACTCGAAAGATCCATTCAACTACACAAAGGCATCTTCGTATGTTGTTCGATTCATTGAAGATTTGGAATTTAGAGGACGAGACATTGGGTTCTAATCTACAGGTAATCAATCATCCTATTGCTGTATGGCCTAAACTTGTTTGCAAGACTATTGTAGAGTATGGTCCACCTTTGGCCGACGACGCGCAAGTGTTGTGTAAGTAGGAAATAATCCGACTCGATGGATAACGCCATCTTTTACTGTAAACGTGTCTTCCCTTGCAAATCTGTTGTTTCTTTCGAAGATAGCCCTGATTTTTACTGTTTTACCGGTATTATATAAGTCAAGTGAGTACTTTAGAAAGCGGTTAAACAGCGTGTGGTGCCCGTCACAACAAATTTAATCCAATATATAATGTACATGCTGAGTGAGATTCAAACAACTGGTGAAGTGTCACAAATCCGCGTGTCATTCTCGAACAATGACAATGACGCACGCAGTGCTCGGCTATCTTCTGTTACTGGTGAAGAGCTTTCTAGCAAAAGCACATGTTTATCAGCAGGACAAACATATGTTTTATCCATAAAATTCGCTTGAGCTTCTCATAAATTTAAAAAAAAATAAGTTACAAAAAAACTTCACAACCCAAAAACCCACAAAAAAATTTTTTTTTTTTTTTTTTAAAAAAAAAAAAAAAAAAAAAAAAAAAAAAATTTTTTTTTTTTTTTTTCAAAAAAAAAGTATGGATAGCCACCACCCCCCCTTTTTTTTTAAACCTTTTTTTTTTTTTTTTTTAATTAAAAAAAAAAAAAAAACAAAAAAAAAAAAAAAAAAAAAAAAAAAAAAAAAAAAAAAAAAAAACAACTTTCTTTTTTTTTTTTTAAACAAAAAAAAAAAAAAAAAAAAGATTTTTTTTCTCTACAAAAAAAAAAAAAAAAAAACAAACCCCAAAAAAAAAAAAAAAAAGTTATCTTCTAACTTGACTTATATATAATCTGTAGACGAATTGAAACACTATTGTTTGGGCAGATCGCAAATTTGGACTTTGAACATTATTATGTGAACTTTTAGCGGGAAGAAGAAGAAGAAGACGCAGTAACTAGTTTTCAAGCATGTCAGATTCCACCAGAAACGCAATTTCAATATAGAGATGAAGAATGACGACAGCATGAACTACCGACGTGTTCTATTTAGAGTCTCAGCTACCCATGATTACAAACACAACGAAGTATGACCTTTCACTGAAAGGTAGTACACAATGGTTGCCGTCATCATGTCGAGAGACCACAAGTGCGAGTTTAAGATCAAGCTATATTTTGCACCCAACATGTGGTTTGCTGTCGCCAGCGTCACTTGTGTGCTTCCAATTTCATGCACTTCCAATCTCATTTTACGGCGAATTCAGTTATGAAAGCTGATGTGTTTTGCCCACTTTAATCAGATCGCTAGCAGCCGTTACATTTAGAATTCAAATCATCGGCTCGATCAATTGCAACTACTGATAAACAAGGCCTCACACAATTGTCTTCAGAGCTTGATTGAGAAGTACTAGAGCAGTCAAAACGTCATCACGTGAGATTTAAAGTTCATGTCGCAATTGGTCCCTTTCTCCTTATGTACAAACTGACACTTCTCCTCGCAGGAGTGACGAGAGAGGTACATTTGTGCAACATTACAACAAAACCTTGGCCTTAATAAACAATCTTACCTTTACTATTCGTCTTGTGGTCTTCAGGCTGCTTGCCCATTTGGAAGACACGGCTTCTGATGCAGCAAGTCTTGAAGCAACTGCGATACCTGGCGAGGTAATACACTCGGAACTCAAAAGCCGACACGTGTTCGTGACGGGTATGAATCATAGAGGCCTATGAGCAGCCTATGAGGAGGATTACTATGCAACTGCAACAGATTGATTCACACCCGCTGCATGCTCTCCGGCGACTTGGAGATGACCTCAGCAATTGCGATGGCAGGAGGCTCGATGTTGAGGCCCAAGGTCGTGTGAAAGACTTGGAAGTCTGCATATCTCAAAATGAACAATGAGCAAAAACGAGCTTTGACCCAGGATGCAGCGCTATTTGCTGTTGTGTTGAAGTTGAAACATCTCTAGACTTTGCCCACCGAGCGCTTATAACATGAGACTAAAGTTATTGCAAACGCGTACGCTGAGCGAAAGCGTACGAACAGGGTCAACACTACTTGCGAGTGGCAGTGTTTGCTCTAGCGAAGAAGCACAAGTCAAGCATCTTAGGTGAAGAAGGAGAGTGGCGCTGCGGAACTAAGCACAGAAAAAGCGTATACGGTACGCAAGTATCTAGATGCAGACGTTGACATTCTCAGGAGGAAGTGCTGCACATTGCCTTGTTGTATTACGAACGTACTATACGATGGAGATACGATCCTGTGGAAGTGGTCAGGATTCGAAGATAGCAGGTAGGCGACGAACAATATCAAAATGGGCAAGGACTGTTGTTGCCGCTTATTATGAAGAAAATGCGTGAATTTGTCCGATATGTGGACTCAAATGGCAAGAAACAGCTACATCTAAAAAGACAAGCGATGGAAGTATCCGATATCACTTGACGACGGCTTGAAAGCAAAGAGGACGTGAATACATGGCCGAGATGTGGAATCAAAAAGTCGTATGGATTTCTAAAGCGACAAGTTGGGATTCAGTTGTAGTTTTTGTGCGCACAATCTTAAATTGAGAAGCAATTGGTGATTATCAGTGTAGCAAGAGGTTGCAATAGTTGTGACTCTTGCTTCAAAGATTCACGCCCTTATCAGAAGTATAGCATTGGACACCGACACCCTTAAGTACGATTATTAGAACAAGTTTTGCGTAAAACAGCCTCGTGTGTTCAACCAATCACAAGACGAAGCCGTTTTACGGAAAATAAAGGACCCAGTGTGTCTAATTTGGTATCATTTCTACTAATTATTACCTATGGCTGCTCTATGTCGCATTATTTCACTCAGATACAGAATATTGTTGTGTTTATGCAAAGATGTACCCCCCCGACTCAAACGTAAACATTGAGGCTTTGTTCATCATACTGATAACGTATACAAAGTCTGCTACATGGAGCAAAAGTAGCTCTACTGCCATAGCATCTACAGTATGTCATCTATGGCCGTGTAACTACACTATATGCTTCACTCAAGTCATAGAGAAGAAGCTGTTGCGAAGCTGCAGCACAAGAGAAGAGACATTGGAAGAAGGTTCATTCAGTGACAAATCCTGTCAAACAGCTGGTGTTTTGTATGGATATCAAGCTTCAGGTCTCGTTACAATACATGATGAGCGTCATTCAGCATGCAGTGACGGTCGTGGACGTGAATGAGAGGACGATAAAAATGACTTGGAATACATACATGATACACTCAAATTACATGTCCAAGCAGCAACGAGTACGACTGAATTGCAGTGTCATGAAGTCTCATGTAACGTGCACATCCGTGTCATCTGTTAAAAAGACCCTACAGTAAGGTAAATGTCTTCTTAAAACACGGTGCCATGACAATACAATCGAAAAGCGCAATTTGATCAGGGTGAGGTAAGAGGTGATTACGGGGCGTCAGTGCTGTCAAAGGTCTAAAACCTCATTTGTCATCACTATACAATACTCAACCTAGGAGTATCACGTTTTCCTATCCAAACGCATACCCATGCTATTAATCAGGGGGTTTAGTCCACCATCCAGAAGCTCATTTTCCCCCTCTTTAGGACCGACAAACAGACAGACAGACTCATTCAAAGCGATCGTCACCTTTCTATCTCTCTTGCTTCCTTTCATCCTGTCGCTCTATCTCCTTATACGTTTATAATAACAGATACAGACAAGACATTTCTCTCTCTCGTCTCTCTGACTATTTTTTGACTCGCTCTTTATTATATATTACTATTGGATTCTATTGAAAAATGATTCACACGTCTGCATCAGGAGATTGTGATCATAATGAGTGGAAAAAGACGTCTTCTACTACCCCTCATCATCATCATCATCATTCCATCTCTTTACAAGCTTCTGGAGACGTACATGATGCAACACGTGCGTTGCAAAATCTTGATATTCTACAGCCACGACCTGTTGCTCATGATGACGGTGGAAATTATCCACCACCATTACAATTTAATGCTTGTTTCCCAGTTGGAACAGCAACTGCTAGTGCTCATGGACCTTTAGATCCTGTATTAGTAGCAGGACTAGAGAATGCTCGAGAACGAATGACGTTGCTCAAGTTTGAGGATCAAATTGTACGCTTTTTGAAGAATCCAAGGGAACCACAGCTTCATTTTCCTCCATTATCGTCCTATCATCGACTCATTGTGCATCGGTTAGCACAACGTTGTGGATTGGAACACCAGACGGCAGATTATAACTCATTTGAGAATGGATCGGCTCGAGTTGTGACACTATTCAAGACGATGCAGTCAGCTGTGCCACGTATATTACTCATTGATCTCTCAGTGGATCGACAGACACCGACAGTAACACCAGCACATGCTCCGAAAATTATGATGCGGAGACGAAGTGCATTGATACCAGGTGCTAATGGTAGTCGTAATAACGGTATGGACAAAGCTACACCTTCTTTACAGGACCGTGAACGTGCATATGCTGAGGCACGAGCAAGAATCTTTGGTGAAGACAATAGTAGTAACAGTAGTACGGCAGTAGAGTCAGGATCCTTGTCATCTCCTTGCTCGACAACATCACTGGTGCATGACAGCACTGACATTGTTGTCAGTACGGAAAATAATGATACGAGACACGAAAGTGTGCAAGCTCCTGGACCAGACCGAGACAGTAGCAAAGGGTTTGATCGAGGAGGTGCTTTATCTTGTGGAAATAGTGGAGTTCAAACGCAAGATCTTCACTTACCCAAGGAACACGCAAGCCATAATGAAATTGATAAATGCTCGCGAGCTTCTCAGCCGAGTGCTACGAATGCAGCGAGCTGGAAAGAAAGCAAAGTATTATGGCGAAATCGCGAGCAAGAATTGAACGACCCAGACTTTACTCGGAACCATGACGCATTCCGCCTTCGTTCCAGTGGTGAGACACCGAGTGGAAGTGGAAGCGGAGGTGAGTCTCCATACCATAGCAACCGCTTTGGCATGCGATTTGGACACGGCGACTTTCACGACCGATCCTATGATCGACCCTATGGCTTCCAGTATCAACAGACTGGCAGTGCACCGCTCCCTCAGCCTCCTCCGCTGCCCATGTCCATGGTCTCGCCAGGACGCGGCCGACTCCACGTTGGCGAACCCGATTATAACAATAGAGTAGACGCCAAACTTTGTCAAAGGTCTCCGCACCAGCAATACCATGCGCAACAGCAATTTCAGCAACATCAGTCGAACCTGCCGCCGTCCATGATAATGGGACGCGGTGGGTACGGGTACCCTTCACCCCAAGGTCGTCCATTTGCACGACAGGGAAACTGGGTACCACCCCATGCTAGCACTCGCGCAGTGGGTAACAGCGGGTTCATCGCAGACGAGTTCCCTCCGCTGGGCAAGTAACACGAATTATATATCGATCATAAAGCCATTTTTAATCCAATCTTTCCTTGTGTGACCGACCATACAGCAAATATTGCTGTTTATAGGACTGAGTCCATCCTGTTGTTGTTGTATGCTAATAAATAACGGGTTTGCATCTCACTCCCTACATCTGTTGGGTCTGGGCCAATTCTGCACAAAACCGAGGTCTCTATCGTTGCTTGACGAAATGTCATCGGCCAGAGGTTTGCCGCTGCCACCACCACCAAGGCGTAAAGCTGCATCAACAGAACAAAGGTCATTTTCATTCTTACTGTGGAATCGTTACCTGCAAGTAAAAACTTGGATCCAAACCTTGCCGCCGCTGGAGCTTCTTCTCCCGTTGTTTCTTTTTCCGTGCAAGCTCCTAGTAAAACCAGCGATACAAAACATAAGCGTTGGTTGATCATCGATTCAGCATAAAGCAGATCTACCTTTTTCGTTTGCCACATAATAAAATACTGCTCTAGCGTGGCCTTTTCCTCCTCTTTCTCCATTGAAAGCCATGGCTTTGTCCTGCCCAATGCAGCATGCAAACGTTAGTATGCACTTTATCACAAGCACGACCGTCAACCTTACTCAGCCATGATTTTTCGCAGTTTCCGCTTTGTTTCATTCGTCTCGCGTACGCAGGTTTGAAGTTGACGCTTCAATGAGCGGATTTCCTGCGATACCCCATCGTCCATCGGACTGGACAGACCGACTCGAACAACTTCCTGATCGTTTCCCTCAACTAAACCGATGTTGCGGAGGACTCGTGTAAGACCCATAGAATTCCACGATTGCACATTAATTGAGCACAAAGGATCGCTTGTTTCCATGTCTGTTGTGGTTTCGGTTGTATCATTCGAGTGTTTGTCTTCATCATCTGGCTGACAAAATATACTTTCGTCATTCTCTTTCACCACTGCATGTGTATCTACTGCACACAGCGAGGCTACAAGTCTCTTCAAATAGCAACAATATAACAGCGCACGATTACACACTTCATAGATAGACATCAAATCTGCCGCATGGGGGAAGGGTTGCCTAATAACAAACCTCCATGAAAAAATCGTCTAGATCATGCGAAGTGAACCTGCTCAAACTAAAATTATCCTGCAGCTGCTGAAAGTCTAGACCCGTTGTGATCCCATCTTTTTCATTTCCGCATGATTCCAAATCTTCACAAAACGCATTCGAGTCTATAAATTCATCATTACAGTCATGAGCTACATGCAAATACAATAAGTACATTAACAAAAGTCTCTATTAAGCATCACATCATTGTACCTTCAAGCAGCAAGGCTTTGTCCATGTCGTCCGGTGTGATCGTCTTGAAGAACGAGTATGCATTCAAATATTTCCACAGTCCAGTCGTCGTACATGGTGTATCTATACATCCAAAAAAACACCATCGATTGCATCAGCAAAACTAGTCTATATTGCCATCCACTAGCACACATTGCATCACGTACCCGAATTCAGGTCTTCTTCTACCATTGCAGGTGTCAGAAGTGCTGATTCTTTCTTGATCATAACATGAAACTTTTCAACAACTGCGTCCGTGACAGTACCGCAATGTCTTCGTACACCAGTTGTCAATGGAATTGTAATGTCCATAGGCGTATTGTCGACATACGTAATTAAATGAGGTGGAAACATTGTAGACTTTTTGCCATCGAGATAGTCGGAAATGGACAATAATTGAGTCTCTAATCGAGACAGCTGTTTATCCACATGTATACGTCCTCGCTATAATAATGATAATACGTATACAAACAATTAGCATACAAATGACGAGTATACAAATAAATTACTCAATAAAAATTACCATAAAATACAATTATAAGTGCAAAATATACTTCATTTATCTTACCTTAAGTTCCTGTACAACTCGAATGAGTGAATTTTTACTGCTAGTGACAAGACCATTGGTAGTACTACAGACCATTTTTGTCATATTAAAATTCTCATGCTCAAGCCATGGTACATGCAGCGGTGTAATTTCCTGCCGCGTACAGGATGGTCTCTCCATTTCTTACTTCCAGCGTTCGGTAATCAATTGCACTAATAAATATTCGCCCAATATATATATATTACCGATTTTTACATTCTTTTGTAAGTACGTAATATATGTGAGTATATTATTTGATCTATGATTGGATAAAAATGATTCAGCTTATACAAAGGAGTACCGTAGAGAGCAAAAAACGCGTTTGGACCAAGTACGGTAAATCACCTCCTAGGACGGACGGAATGGCACGAGGGAAGGCAGATCGAGCATTAACAGTCGGCAAAAAGCTCGAGATTATTGAAGAAGCAGATCGTACAGGTTTGATTGCTATTACAGCCCAAAAATACGGTGTAAAAACTGGTCAAATTCGTGATTGGAAGAAAAACGTCGAGCGACTGCGTGCGACGGATCCGTCACGCCTTGTATGTGCTAGTACAATCCAGCGTGGTCATTTGGTATTTAATGAAACCTATGCGCAGTATTGGGTTGGTTACAATAAATTTTGTAGCAATCATACCAACTATGACGACCTTAAGAACGCCTTGCGTGTTACTCATAAGGACATTTTGCATCAAGGTGTTAGTACGTGAAATGAATGATCGATCACTCGATCGACTTGGAACTAGTTGTTGTTTTTTCGAAATGTTGTTTGTATGTAATCATTGAGTGAGTTTTAATCGACTGTGGTGTGTGGATGGGGTTTTTTCAACAGATGGGTTTAATTATCCAGCCACGATTGACCCCTGTGCAATACATTTGTTAGAGTGTCCTGAAAACAGTACGTTAAGGTTTTAGATGGTCTTTTTGATTGATATTATGTCAGTAAAAAAGAATGAAAAGGACTGATTGACTGAATGGATGTATGTTTTTATGGTATTTTTTACTTCTGTGGATGTTTTGCTATGTCTAGATGGGTTCAATACGACGGAGGAGATGAAAACGTTATACCTGAAGGACATGACGACATTACGGGATCAACTCCATGAGTTTTTGGGTTCAAAACCGTTTCCAACAAAGTTTTTGTACTTTGTAACTAGATTAGATTTCGTCAAGCCGGATCCAGACGAGCACTTGGACGAAGAGATGAACGGAGGTTCCAAGACAGGAGAGGTCAAGCCAGTGGACCATGTGGTTGGCGTGGAAGACATTATTTCGTTCTACGTTGCAATCTGCGGGAACGGATCCGTGATGGTACCAATGTCGATCTTTCCTCCAACGGAGGAGTGGCACTGGGAACGGAAGAAACCTATCAAGTTGCGTCACGCACACAGTATACACCGCACTAAAATGAACGATCCGGACGAAGCCCTGCAGTTTTTCGCGGTGGTATGTGGTCTATTGTTGCTGTAAATGTTGTGGAAGCTACAGCTTATTGTATTTTATCTTGTGCAGACGTGGAAAAAGTTTTATGATGAGGAGGCCAAGTATGTCGACAAGTTTGCGTTCATTCTAGACTATGCGATTGAGGAGTTTCGTGCACCTCGGTTCCTGGATGGTTTAAAGCAGCAGGATGGCTACAATAAGTACTGGACCACCATGTACTCGGTGCGCAATCCGCTGCGGCTTTCGCGTTTTGAGGATACACTTTCAAGTTTTGTGGTTGAAGAGTGGCGCAGCATTCTTCAGATGAAGAAATCCACCCAGCCCAATGACTACCGCAAATGTGTGGCTTTTTGGTTTTATTCCGCTTGGGAATTCTTTGCTGGTGACAATGCACGCGCAGCGTTTCGAAGTTGTAACATGTACCTTGAGGACAAGGCTGTATGGGGTGCGGGGGAGAGCGACAGTGTAGTTTGAGCAAAGTCAAAACAGCGTCCTTTTACCTGCTGTATCCAATCTGAATTTTGAAGCACGTGTGTGCATTGTGTTTGTCAAAGACAAGGACTCTCGTGCTTTGCTTCATTTCAAATGGCGTTACGTAAAGTTTGTTGACTAGTCCTCATATTATTCTCATCAATCCCGCATCTGGAGGACTGCGAGCAACTGGGACAAGATAAATTCACCAGCACTTTGTGTGCTTCTAGACAACATAACTGTCATGTGGAGAACTGCAAAGCTCCACCAAGAGCTTAACTTTTCATGAATGAAGAGTCAAAACTTTGTAGCGTCAAAATGTCATGGTACGGGCGTGGCTGGGCGTATTGCTGCCAACTACTTGGTTCACAAAGAGCACCGTTGGTCATCCACGTGGTAGTGCAATCCATCTAGTCGCCCCTTTCTTGCATCAAATTGGAAAGCTAAATTTGCCAGTATGAACGATCTGTTCACGCATTTGTCCATCACAATCCGATACATCAGAGAACAGCCGTGTCGTTCTATTACGACGTACGAAACAAGTACCAAGCTGCAGATCAGTAGATTCTATGGTGGCATTGCGAAGGTTGTAGCTCAATCTGAAACGTCCATGAATGGTTTGGCTTGCACGCCTACAACATGTTTCAGTTTGTTACTATCGATACACTCATGAGCCCAAACTTGATCAAAACCGAATTCGACTGGCTGTGGCTGTACCTGCTCACGCTATTGGTGAGTATTCTCTGTGACAACGTCTCGATCCAGCTCATGCTACCAGCATTGTCATGTCAAGAGACACGAGATACTAGCGAGCTGGAACTATCGAAGAAACTTGTAATAAGCTGAGGGTATACTGGAGATTGGAGTGTCTGCATTTTTGAAGTAAGCTATAACGACGTACACGAAGCAACAGTATCTGCCTGCATCAATCACAAGGTATTAAAATTAAATTTTCAGGTCAGGAGCAAACGTGGCCCTGAATGTGCTATCAATGCAAGCGGAACAGCTGAATAAATGAAAGGATACGACAATAGCGGCCGACTGACGGCGGCATCGGGATCGACGGGGGATTCTTGAACTCCTCTGTGCAAGCCCTTAACTCAACCATGTTTGGGGGTTGGGCTGAGCTAAGGACTTGCACAGAAAGCCTCGATATCAAAGAGGAAAGGAGATGCACCAGTATTGATCACAGCTTCGTCGCCAAAGGCATGAAGCGATATTGCAGCAGCGTAGTCACCACGCAACACCATTTTTGGTGCCATTCCAATCATCTTTCCATTCAAAGTAAAGAATACCTGATACGTGTCAGCATCCAGGCCGCAGCCAACTGTGAACATTACTGACTCGTTCTTGTCCTTGTTACCATATTGAGCTCCTGCTCGTCCCCACGATGGACCAAAAGCGGCCCATTCTCCACCATACGGCTTGGTCCCATCATTGAATACAAAGTCGCCGTCATTACCATGGTAGCCATAGGACACACCTTTCCAACCCACGTGCTCTCCAGAACCAAAACCATAAGCGTTACGGGTCATCGCATCGGAGATCGATGCAAGACCAACACTACCACAACCTTTAAGGCTCACTTCATAGTATGATATCATTTTGTGCAACGCACGTGCACAGGACAACACTGGTAGCTTCTGGACGCCACGTATTGAATCAATTGTTCCTTTCTCAAAATTCCGCAACATGGAATAATTTACAACGTGATACTTGCCATTGGACAAATAAGTCACGGTACTACGTGTCGACAGTTCATAGGTCGCATCTGCACGACGTGCTGCACACAAGAGAAGCTGAGACGTATACGAGAGATTCATGTATGTCTTGGGTAGCATCTTGATTCGCCATTGGCGACTGTACAAGTCTGTTAGTAATGTCTTGGAAGACATTACAACCTCATGAAAAGCTCTACAGACTTGTCCAGCATTCTGTAACTCTTCAAGTGTTAAGAACTCAAAGCACAATTCCAAAGCCGTTAGCTCCAGTGTCTCACCATTGCGTAGATGATGACGTTTAAGTCGCAAGGCAGCCAAGAGGATACTAACTTCCTTTGACTTGTGAGCAACTTGTAGATCACTCCATTGAATCGATCCTGTTACTTTCGTATTACTACGCTTTGTCACGGCAGCATATGATTCGTAAACAATACAACAGTCATCTCCCTCACGATCAGAAACGTCTGATTCATCATCACTGCTATTAGTACTGACTGTCGAGCACGAACTTGTGATGCTATCGCAACGACGAGCGAGACAATGACTGGATGGTTTCGTCGTAAGTACGACAAAAGAGTTCAAACGTGGTAAACGTGATGACACTGTAGGTACAGTGGGTGATGGTAATGAAGAAGACAAGAGTGTGGAGAGCATTGGACGCATGGGGCTTTGATCGATATGGGGAAAATGGTGTTGAAGTTGGTGGTTGTATTTTTATTATTGGGTTCTTTAGTCTGAGAATGGGGAACTTTTGAGAAAATGACGAATTCAAAAGATATAAAGCGTTTGACTTGACACTTGAGCTTCGGTTTAAGTAATGACAAAAGGATTATAGCTGACGTCGAAGTGCGTTGCGACAGGATAGTAGTGTACGTCCATGTGGAATACAACCTGTTGAAACCGATATGTTGAGCTTCAAGATGCCATGGCCGGAGAGTTACCCATTTTCACCACGAGCTGGATCTTTTTTAGCTTGTCATTTTTAAAAAATACAAAAATAGAACAGCAAAGTTAACATTGTACCAAATAAAAGAAATGCTTGCTGCTGACAAAGTGATCATTGCAATTATATTAATTAAGAGATTTATAGCAGCAACAGTCAACTTCGTTCGGCGAGAATATCATGACTATAGTCAAACTTAGGACAAAATATGCAATGACCGGTACTGCGTATTTGTGTACTCGTACATTTTATGATAGCAGCTGAGACTTGATGCTGTATTGCTTCTAGATACATCCCGTACTTTATTTCAGATCAATTCTTTCGATATGATTGATCTCGTTTATTAGTATTCATTGACGGCGTTTACGCAATACTTTTTCGATAACTTTGCTCTGTTTCCAACGCGAACTAACGCATGCTCCTTACTTTCGTTTGCGCTGTTGCAACTAGTCGCAAAGTCTCGACAGAGCGTGATACGTGCATAAAATTTGGGTCTCTTTTCCCAACTTCTAGCACCTTTTGATAATTAAACCCTGCAAAATCTAATGCGGTGTTGAAGTTGTACGCACACAGGGGATGGACATCAGACTCTGTAAGGTTCTTTTTGGCTCCAAAATAAGCTTGACAACCCATTTATGCATCCTCTAATCTTTGCCAATGTCCTTTTTATGCAAAGTTGATACGGTTGAAGTTGAAGTTGCCTCAAAGGTACTACTTGTCCACTACTAGACCATACTGTGTCAGCAATGGCAACGTCGATGGTTTGCGGCCACGAAAGGCCTGAAATACCTCCTCTGGGTGTTGACCACCACCACGAGCCAGAATTGTGTCTCGAAACTTACGACCTACACGTGTTGCAGCTTCAGGGCTCTCTTTGGCCGCCTCTTCAAAAGCACCATAGGCATCGCACGACAAGATCTCCGCCCACTTGTAGCTGTTCGTCGCAAAATGTACAAGTTACATACAAGATGAGATAAATCACCTTTTACGCTGTAAACATGTTACACTTGACGTAACCTAAAACGTACCTGTAATACCCTGCAGCGTAACCTCCCGCAAAAATATGCGCAAATGAACATAGAAACCTGTCTTCCTCGAGCGGAGTCAATACGGCATATTCACTTAGTAGACGTTGCTGCACGGCAAATAATGGCTCCTGTGATGGCATGTAGTGAGAGTGCAAGTACATGTCCAGGGCACCAAAACCAAGCTGGCGCAGCATGCCAGTGGCCACCATGTAATTGCGTGAAGCCTTAAGCTTTTCATACAATTCGTCTGGTAATGTCTTGCCTGACTTATAATGCCCGCTAATCTCTGCAATCGTGTCTGCATAGTGCAACACAAAGAGATTAGTAGATGCATTACCTACTTGTGCCCTACGCATAGGTAGTAGACATACCTTTGTCATAGCAAAAATTCTCCATCATCTGCGATGGGATTTCGACAGCGTCCCATTCGATACCATTAATACCTGCAATGTCACCGTATTCCATCTGCGTGAGCATGTGTTGCAGACCGTGACCAAATTCATGGAACATTGTCTCCACTTCACGAAACGTCATGAGGCTAGGCGTCTCACCCACAGGAGGCGACTGGTTGCAGATAATATAGGCAACTGGAATACGCTTCCCACCCTGGTCCTTTGGGCCAAGCAGGCGACTGCGGTTGACGCACGAGTTCATCCATGCACCACCATTCTTCTCTTTTGGACGAGAATACGGGTCCAAGAAAAAGCGAGCGATTATCTTCTTGTCACTTTCCATGCTGCGCACGTTGAAAAATCGCACATTTGGATTCCAGACCTCGGCTTGGCCATCCGCTGCTTCAATAGTTACACCAAATAGCCGCGATGTGAGTGAAAAGAGACCATCGAGCACCTGCACAACAAATGTAACACAGCATGAACTTACCAATGAATTACAACCAACTGCAAATAAACATATACCTACGCGTTCAAGCGGAAAATACGGTTTCATCTCTTCATCACTAAACAAGTACTTCTCCGCCTTGAGCTTTTCAGACCTATTTGCAATGCATGGAACGTCATGATAAGCACGAACGACATTTTTGACACTTCACACTGCAGCCGAGTGATGATGGCGTGGACGTACCAATAACCAAGATCCCACGGCTCTAGAGGCTCAGCTTGTCCGTGTTGCTTTGCATATTCAGCTACAGTTTTCACCTCCTCGTGCGCAATAGCAATACACTTTTTCCGCAGGTCGTGGTGCATTTTTTCAACTTCGTCCACACTGGGTGCCATTTTCTGCGACATACTTACCTCGGCAAATGAGCCAAAACCAAGGAGATTCGCAATCTGCTGACGCGTTTCAAGAAGCTCAGATATGATACCTTTGTTATCAAAAGATCCTCCACTCGCGCGGGTAGCGTATGCACGATACAGTTTTTCACGCAGTGACCGATTCGCTGAATACTTCATCAACTGCACGTAAGATGGCGGGTCTAGTGTTACGCGCCACGGTCCGTTCTCTGGTGTGGCGTCTAAGTGACCCTCATCACGAGCACTTTGCGCAAACATTTGCAGCAGTGAATCAGGTAGTCCTTCCAACTCCTTCTTGTTCATCATTGTGATCGAGTACGCCTTAGTATCATCGAGCAAATTTGACGAAAACTTGGTGCTCTATCGTCAGCGGCAAAACGACATCAAGCACACAAAAGTTATCATCTCTTCCAATGAAACATAGCACCATGGCAAATTACTGTCTTACCAATTCAGCAGCACGCAGCTTGAGTTTGTTAAATTTTTCCTTGTCTTTGCCCTCAAGACCAACACCACTAAGCGTCGCGCTTCTCAGTCTCAACTCAATGATACGCTGCTGTGCCAGTTCGAGTTTATTCCAGTCCTCACTCTCGCGTATAGCCACATACGCATCATAGAGTATTTTGCTCTGTGAGGCTTTAGTGACGGTCTCGATCACCAATTGCTGCAGCTTGTCATGTACAGCACGCAGCTGCTCCGAGTTGCTTACACTCATGAGATGGCCTACAATGCCCCACATACGCTCCAGCGCGTCCCCTTGCACTTCTAGAGAGTCTATTATGTCTCCAAATTGCACGTTCTTTCCTGCATGTATCAGCTTTGTTTCTAGCTCGTGCAGATCACTCGTATAATTTGAAGCGGCGTTGGATATCGCCGGCTCAATCTCCGACAGTTGCAGACGCTTGAAAGGCGGTAGTTGACGCTCGCGAACACATACATCGAGAGAGTTTGCACTCGTAGATGCAATGCTTTGCCAGAACAATGAAGTCCGTCGAGCTGTGGCGCTCTGACGCAATGGACGACCACAGCGAAACAGCATACAGATCCACTACTTGTCTTACAGCCTCTAATTTAAGTTACCAATTGAGATGTACCGAAAAAGTGGTTCCCATGGCTGTAATTTTTTTTTTATTTTTTTTTTTTTTTTTTTTTTTTTTTTTTTTTTTTTTTTTTTTTTTTTTTTTTTTTTTTTTTTGGCTGAAAAATGGAGCGAATTAACTTTTGGGTAGATAAAAAATGGGTCAAAAAAAGACGCAAAAGATTTGGTAATAAAATATGAAATAGTCAGTAGTATACTACCAACGAAAACAAGTAATATTTTTCAAAAGGCCACTGACAAAAAAACTTGTTACCAGAACCAAATTCACATGTCACTATGAACCAATGCATATTTATCGAGTGAATCAATGACCGCCATCTTTAGACTCTTAATGACCTTCACTTAGACGTGAAGCTCCGCGTACTGCATAGGTTCATCTTTTGCCGTTAAAATTTTGTACTTCGAATCTTTCATAAGAAGTGCGCGCTTCCCTCATCACCAATGATACCGTCCAAGCCATCGTCATACAATTGACTAGCATTATAAGCACGTCGGGGCTTCATAAAGAATAAAGATCACCGGAGTCTATGTCTCCCGTGTTGTCATTACTCAAAGCAACCTTGTAAGCGCCGCCCCTCCGGCTGATACGAGTAATCTTTCATTAACGTCACCGTGTATACCTTCTTCCATCAGTTTACGCGATGATCCAGGCACCACCGGAAACCCCCATACATTATTGCCACAAAAGTCCTATGGCCCGTGCTCTACACTTTGGTCGCCAATCTTTGCATGTTCCAGCAGCCATTGCTCTTCCAAATTCTTTCCACTGAGACAGATACTAGCCACACCCTCCTATTATCGTCGTCTTGAAACGTTCACCTTTATTTTATTTTAATGTTAGATGATAGACGAACAGCATTGTTGCAAGGTGATTATTAAATCAGGTGCTGAACACTCTGCTAAACAGATGAAAAATGTCTCGACACATCACCAATTTTTTGTGATAAGATTTGATCTCTGGTGACGATCTCTGGTCAAAATATGCAACGCCTTTCCGCGCTGAATGCTACTACAACTACGAACAATACCATCTGTGATTGATGGTGATGTTCATGGCAAAGCTTTGCTCTAGTTTCGATTAATGCATGTATTCAGGTCTGTACTTGGCAGAGACTGTTTTTGTAACGGTGTGCCATGTGAGCCAGCTCTGCTGGTGAGAGAGAAACCATTTTGTTCGACATGGCAGCTACCTTCTGACAATTCCGAAAAGGTTGTAGAGTTCTTGGTGGTAATCGTCGATGCACGGAATCCATTCTACTTCTTCTGGTATCTAGCACCTTGCAACCGCTTATGCCTTGACGTCTGCTGTCAGTCTTCATTTTCCTTTTTCCTGACAAAACAAGCGATATTTTGCTAGCAGAGACTGTCTAGCTTCACACTCGTTCATGACGTTCACTGCGGTTATTCGTGCTGGTGGTGTATTTGCCTTTGCGCTAGTAGCTGCCCTCACAGAAGGGTCCACGTTTGTTGAGACCAGTACACTAACAAGCGGCTCCGCATCGAAAGAAGAAAGCACCGGACTGACGATCAACGATGAGGCCCGCATCTTTGATGGATCCGAAGCCAATCCGTCCCAATTTCCGTTTGTCGTGAGTCTTCGCAAGGACAAAGCTGGAGGTAAAACCTATTGCGGTGGCACGCTCATTGCGTCGCAGTACGTGTTGACGGCTGCTCACTGTGTAAAGACAGATGTAGCTACAATCTACGCTTCGATCGGATCCGCTTCTGGCTCAGGAACGAGCGATGGGCAACAAATCAAGGTGATCAGAGGATACCGCCACCCCAAGTACAACCAGTCTGCACATCTGTATGATATCGGTATGTTTAAGCTTGAAAAAGCAGTGGAGGCAGAAACGATTGAATTAGGTGCAGTCAACGGATCAGACAACAAGGTCGGTCATATTGCTACTGTTGCAGGATGGGGACTCACTGAAACTGGTTCGCAAAGTTTGTTGCTGGAAAAAGTCAACGTACCAATTATTTCCAATGCCGAGTGTAACAAGCAGTACAACAACCGCATTACGGAAGGCATGCTATGTGCTGGTGACGGAGAAGGTAAAGACACTTGCAGCGGAGACTCTGGTGGTCCGTTGATTGCGAATAATGTGCTGATTGGAATTGTGAGCTGGGGAGGCAAGTGCGGTGTGAACTCTGGTGTTTATACACGTATATCCTATGTGCGAGACTACATCATCGACATTGTGAAGGGTGGGGATGGCAGCACTTTTGCTTCAAAGTCATCTAGTGCACGATCAGAATTATCCAATGAGATGGGTGCATCATCAACAACAACGAAGAGACCTGTTACAGCATCACCAATGCCTATGACAGATTCCAATTCAGTGGACTCAACCAAGGAGTTTGCTGCTATTGAAACAGAAAGTTCAAGTACAGATCAACATGCACCATTGACCGATGAGAGTGAAAACTTCACGAAAGCTACGGACCAAAGCAAGTGGAGCTCAACAAACGACGTAGAGCAAAGCAATTCTAATACGGCTTCTCCTTTGTTGATTAGTCTAACAACTGACTCAACGAAGAAGACTCGGCACAACAAAAAGAAGTGCGACTCCCAGCTTTGATGAAAGCGACATTTTGATGAAGTTACATGTTTGTTGCGTCCTTTTGTTGAAAATCGAGACCACTTTTTGGTACTTTTGTGATAGAAAAAACAACAAGAAAGCACTTTCTTTTGTCCATCCACTCACTTTTACTCACTGTACGCTTATTGGTGGTTAAAAACACAACAAAATTGCTGCTTTTGATCTATACCGTCTGTAAAATTTCTACGAATAAAAATGCGCCATTTAACCGAAACAATGTAAACTTTGTACAAGTGTAAGCTGTACCATTAGATAGCCACGTGAGATGGTGGTGGGCGAGTGTCGTCATTTTGGCTTTTGACATTCTCAGATAAGAAGGGATGAGGATTACGCAAACTTTAATATTTGTATCGACGATCTCGTCCTTGGTCCGTGGTAATGAGCTTGCGACTTTGTTTCCTTCAACTTCTGAATCTATTGAGAATTCGCTATTACGTACTGTGAATAGGGAAGACACTCGTATCATGAATGGTGGTGACTTAAATGCAAAGATTAAGGATTATCCCTATATGACAAGTCTCCGCTTTGAAACTCAAGAGGAAACGTTTTGTAGTGGAATTCTTATTGATTCACAGTTTATTTTGACTGCTGGTCATTGCATCAAGACGGAACCAGATGCTATTATTGCTCACCTTGGAACGGGCTTTGGCACAGGATTGGATGGTGAACAGATTAAAGTTATTGAACGGTATCAGCATCCCATGTATAATGAAACGTCGTATATGTACGATGTGGGACTGTTGAAGCTGGAGAAACCGTCAATACAAAAGATGGCGACAATGGGTGCATTGGATAGATTTGACAATCTAGTTGGCACAAATGCTGTTGTCCTTGGATGGGGATTGACTGAGGACGGCTCACGCAACCTCAAGTTTCGAAAGACGCACGCCACACTTATTTCAAACGCAGAATGCAATGAGCAGTTTAGTATCAGTATAACGGAGGGAATGATATGTGCTCGGAACAAAGACAGCAAGGACTCGTGCAATCGAGACATAGGAGGTCCACTGATTACCACCGACGGCATTTTGATTGGATTTGCGAGCTTGAGAGGAAAGTGCGGTGCTGACGCTGGTATTTACACCCGTCTGACAATCGTCATGGACTTTATTAGCGATGTTTTGGGTGGTGGCACGGGTCGTAACTTTACGGATGGCACAGCGTCGATGACGCAACAGACATCTCTCACTACGCCTGGATTTGCTGACACGCCGACGGTGGCTAGCTTAGTTGCAACAACTTCTACAGGCCCCACTGCTGTTTCATTAACTACAAAAGACGTGAATACTGAATCTACATATGGTTTAAGCACAAAATCGACACCAAACAGCGTCAGCACCAGATCCTTTATGACTGGTAGCGGTGGATTTCCGACTGCTAGCCTTAGGTTGTCTGCGACAGAAAGCGACTTATTAGCGACACTATCATCGATGACAGATGCGTTTGCAAGTGCTATGAGTACTACTATGGGTGCTTTGACTTCCACAGCCGGTCCCTGGTCTCCGACGACGCTTTCTGCTTCTGACCACGCGGTCCTCCGCCGTTTGGAAAAAGTCGACGAAAAAGAGATTGAGGAGGAATTGAAGGTTACCGATGAAGCGCAAAAAATCATTGAAAAAGTCGAACTTGAGGCGGAAAACGAGATTGAAGATGGGTTAGACTCCGACAATGATGATGAGGTGGCGGAAGGCTTAGCAATGCAAGTTGCTGCTTTGAAGGAGGGGAAGGAAATTGAAAAGGTGGCCGAGGAAGTCGAAAAGGAGGAAGAAAAGTTGTATGATGAGGAGGTAAAGGAGATGGAGGAGGACGTAGAAAATGATGACGATGAGGACCAAGACGATGACGACGACGATGACGACGACGCTGACGACGACGATTACAGTAAGGAAGACGATGGCGATAACGATGACGATAACGATGACGATGACGATGAAGTGGACGAGGCGTCAAAGAAGACTGACGAGGGCGATATTGACGAAGAGGTTGATAGCTCGGCCAAGACACCAAAGAATGTCTCAATAGAGGATAAATCTGAGAGTGGAGAAGACGAGGAGGCTACTCCGCCCCCGGCTACATCCAAGAAATCATCACAAAAGGTCAAGGGAAAAGACGCTGAGCAAATTGAAAAGGCTGAGGCGAAGGAGGAAGACGAAGAAGACGAAGAAGACAACAATGATGAATGAAAGACGGGAAGAAAGCTTAGAGCGAAGAAGGGAGTGGGGAAGATGAGGAAAAAGCGACGAAATGATCGCGTGATACTTAGGAATTATGGAACACTAGTCATCTTCGTTGGTGGTGCGGTTGCATACATGGCCTTGCAGATGGAGTTCTCCACCATAGAAGAACACAATCAGATAATCATTGCAGCGATTTTTACGTTCATTTACTTTTACTATAACACGATGGTACGCCCTTGACTACTTAATGTGCTGTGCTCAAAGCACTCCTATCCCTTAAATTGCCCTGCTGTTTTGATGCAGCTCCTATGCTCCGGCCTGGTGCTACGGTTTATACAAATCGTCGCAGCGAAAACCTAGACCATGAAGCTTCTGCCTGCCTTCATTGTGACAGCAAGTGCGCATGGCATCCTCGTTTTCTTACAGACGTTACGGATCAGACGACAATACCATCAAGACTGCGAAAATTGGAGAGGTTTGACCGTCGATAAGGAAAATTGGTGAATGACAAGCAGAGGTTTGACCGTCGATAAGGAGAATAGTATCAGCAATGGGACGGATGACAGTAAGTAAGTACTCTTACGTCGCGAGTGTGCGCACTAGTGAGCCAGCGGAGAACGTTGCGCCGCTACGCTCATTGCACCGCAAGAACCTTGTCACACCGCTCACTGCATTAGGACAAACCAGGTCATAGTGGCCGCTTCGATTTTGACCCGGTGTCCCACACCACTGGCGACGATGGTGGGGTCGTTATGCTCGTCCAAGCTCTTGTACACCCAAAGAAGCATTTCGACGATGTAAGTTTGCGATGAAAATCCATGACTTGAGACACCATTGAAGGACAAGAGTGCGGCTTTGTTTGCTGTGGTTCATCGCTAAGAAGGTTTGGCACGGTTATAACTATTCTGGGCATACGAATTAAATTGGAGAGTGTCAGCAGTCTGAAAAGCTTTCGCAAGTCAGCAACCTTTCCATCATCTCGACGAACGGCAAAAGTCAAGTCATACAAGGATTAGCTTAGTCAATAGAATGTTTTGCACCGGAAATGGACCGAGGTGTCGCTGGTGGTCCCTAATTGCCAATGATACTTTTGCAGATTTTGTGGATAAAGAGAGGACAAAGACGGCAAGGCACCTGGCGTCTATCTACAACGTGTCGTACGAGTTGTGGAGTTTGCTACAGGGCCATGGGGATCGAGGAACTTCAGTACGAATGCGCCAGCTTAGCAAGTTGACGATGGTCACGACTATGAAATCTAGTGCTAGCTACAATCAATGCAAGTCCAAACCAGACACAAAGCAACAATAGCAACACAAACCTTGACGACTTTGACGTGAATTCATTATGTGAATGTTGTTAGCTGAAGATAATCGAACGTTGAACCAATTTCTTCGTGAGTCTTTCTCGATGTATGTACATGAATGATTTATGCACTACCAGGCAATTGATTGTCAATCTTTAATCAATTCAAATCGAGACATTCCATGCCCCGATCAGTCCATTGCGTGCATTCTACTTCCATATCCGCCCGACTTTTTAAAATATTAGGACCTACGCCATCTACAGATGGACGAGCCCCGTGTTGTGCACTGCATTGTCCATAAAAAACACCTCTCTTTTTCACTGTCTGGTCGGTGTTAACATTCAACGCTTTCTACAAAGATCATCGATCTGATCGCCTCGACACTTGGTACAATTTTTCTTAACTCTAATCAGACCTTGTGTATCTTCAAACAGTCTCAAGCAGATGGTTATAGAGCAGTAGCAGGAGCGTGTTGCTAGAAGGGATCAGCTTTGTCCCTTCATGATCAGTGTGTCCGATTTCTAGTCGTATATACAAAAAAGACGTGGCAAAGCTCAAAAGTAGCACATGGTTATTGAATTCGATGATACCATTGGCCATTATAGTATAGCGCATAAAAAACACACAAATGTCGCACAATATGTACAGTTCATTAGCTACTGCTGTCCACCACATTCGTACAAGCTAAAATCTCTTGACTATGATTGTACTTTTTCTTTATGGTAGCAGCTGGTAACGCCCAGCTCTCCCATCTTTGCTGTCTCCTGCGATGCAATGAAAGATATTACTTCCATTGCCTAGACCACAGACGTAGAATGAAGACGTATGTCTTGTCTTATTCATAGGCCGTTCTTGCCACAAATCTGCTGGCTCGACGAAATTTAAAAAACACTGCATGCGAACCTTCTGGTCACTCTAGTTTTCTCACGACAACGCTTAGGCACGAAGTAGTTGTATAAGATCTCTGGATTGCTAAAGACATGAAGATTACACAAGTTGGTGTGTTTCCCGCGACGGCAGCATTAGTATTGACTTTCACCTACGGCTACTCATTTATTGATAATAATCCAGCAAAGGTTTCAAAGGCTTCGACGAGCTTAAGCGTTAATGAAGAGAGCCACATTTATGGTGGTACGGAAGCGGATATTGACGAGTACCCGTTTCTTGCTAGTCTTCGCGATCCTGATATTAACGTGGTTACTTGCAGCGGCACACTCATTGCCCCCCAGTACATTCTTACAGCAGCACACTGCACCATGAAGATAAAAAATCTTGTCGCTATTTTTGGAACAAATTATAGCTCTGGTTATGATTTAGAGGAGGTGCAATTCCGTGTTGTTACACAATATCGTCACCCATTGTATGTAAAGAAAACGCATTTGTACGACGTGGGTTTGCTTAAGTTGGAGAGACCGGTTAGACGTAAACCAGCAAAGTTATGCGCACGTGATGGATCTGACAACATGCCTGGGACTATGGCCACTGCCCTCGGTTGGGGAAAGACCGAGGACGCTAACATAAGCACGATTCTAGAGGAGGTAACGCTTCCTATCATCTCCAATGCAGAGTGTAGCAAGTTTGAAAAGTACATTGGTCGCGTCAGGGACTGCATGCTGTGTGCTGGCAGAGGAAATGGCAAGGACACATGCAATGGAGACTCTGGTGGCCCCCCTACTTGTCAACGACAACATTCTTGTTGGTTGTGTAAGCTGGGGAAGCAAGTGCGGTGAGCAGGCTGCTATCTTTACTCGTCTGACTTTTGTGATGGACTACATCGACGACATTTTGGCCGGAGGCGATGGCAGCAAATTTGATGTGCAGTCGTCGGACTCACCAATGCAAGGGGATCTATCCTCCCCCGACTTTGTCAGGAAAAGTGTCTACAGACGCAACGAATACTGATTCGGTTCAAAATTCAGTCGTCCTATCATCCGTGTCTAATCCGAGATCATCCGATAATTACGTTTATTCGGTGCCATCCACCGCGGACACCGCTCTTGATGACGACCAAATTGATCAGTTGATAGACAAACTTTTAAGTAGAGGCAGTGATGAGAATTCAGGGATAGCTGATGATAAGTACAGCGACGAACCTGGTGCAGATGGTGACAAGCCAACAAAGATGTCCGGAACAGTCAAGTCAAGTGAGATGCTTGGCGTCGTCGGACCGACGTTGTCGGACTCACCAATGCAGAAGGAGCTGACCTTTCCGACTTTGTCAGGAAAAGTGTCTACAGACGCACCGAATACTGATTTGGCTCAAAATTTAGGCGACCAGTCTTTGTTTTCCACCGACCAAATCAAAAAGGTGTTGAAGGCTTTGATAGCTGAAGGCGGTGAAGATGGCCATATGACGATGGAACTTTTAACTGGAAGTAGTGATGAGAGCGACAAAACAGGGATAGCTGATGGTAAGTACAGCGACAAACTTGATGGTACGGGTTACAAGCCGATAAAGATGCCTGGAACAGTCATGTCAAGTGAGACGCCTAGTGACGCTTCTAGTGTGCTGGAAAGCGCCGAACAGGCTTATTTGGCAAAGGAAGGTAAGGCGAAGATCTCACTTGAGTCGTCAGAGGCAACCGTTGACGAACCGTACTCTCCTAACACGGAAAATTCCGTTCTTCAATCAGTTGTTCAAAGTGACATGAATCCCTAAAGCGATGACCTGTGACGAAGCACGAGTTTGCTGAAGTGATTCGAGTACAACAGTGACTGCTAGAATAAGTCTTTTTCATAAACACATGTATCCATTTTGTTTTTACAAACGTTACTATTATACATTGTTTTCGCTGCAATATCGTATTGCCTATATAGGCGTATCAAAAGACTTGGCGTTGTAGAATACCTTTCATACTTACATACACGTAGTCAAAAGAATCCAATGTTACTTCATTAAACATCCAAGACAGGAACTTCCTTCCAAATTATTCCGTACATCTGGCTCGAAACCGGTTCGTATCGACTGGCTTCGTCTACATGGGACAGGGTGGCTCCGTGCAGTGGAAAACTGCATTGCATAATGTATTATCGCTAGGCGTTGATCTACTTACTACAGTTAGCAAGACTGAACTCGAAAAAGTGTGACGCACGTTCTGTGCCTTGTTACCTCAGTTGTACTGTATTGAGTGATTGTGTGTCAAAATTTGATTACCACGTTACAGTTTGTCACATATTATTGATTTGGTTTACCAGCTTCAATAGTAGCTTCAAGTAGTACCTGTGAATAGCGATACAAGTCCAGTAATCGTGTCATAAGTGTTATTGTAAACAAACAACGTCTCTTTGACGTCATGTATGACGACTTACTACAAGACGAGATGGAACAATTAAAGCTTACTAATGAATGGGACATGATACAGCTTCTTCTCATTGCATTCCGCCGTGTGATACACACGGTAACAAGAGCTCTATAGATGCTGTGTCAAGTGCTTGCTCAAGCCTTTGTTCAACGTATCTCGATTCATTTTCATCACTAGTCCTCATCTTGTCAGTACTTGCGACACAAGAGTTGATACGGCCGCCGTTTGTCGACTTAGTGATTGTCACAAGCAAGTTCTAGCTCAATAACACCACATAATAACTTGTGACGAATACAAGAAGTAATACGGTGAGTAAGGTCACAGCTACCAGGAATAACAAACATATTCAAATAGTCTACGACTGAAACAGCTTCTTGGTGGGTATTCAGGCCTAGAGACAATTGGCCTTATCAGCACCGTTGTGGATCACACAAGTGATGTACAGTCAACGCGTTGGCGTTGGAAGAGCTTCAAATCGTTTTGGTCGACGCTTCGACGGCAGATTATGGTAAGAAGTAGAACAAAAGCAGCGGCTGCTATCATTCCTCCCACCATAATAATTGTTGATGTGTACATAAGAGATCTAGTTGGCGACGAGGTTGACAGTTGAAAGGTAGAAGTACTTTTCAAATTGGACGTCATAATGAATGACACACAGTCCTCATAGTCGACCGCTGTAGACCACCAGTACAGAGAGCACAGCCACTTTGCTTGGCATGATACGTCAAGGCATGACAGTTGAAGACGTGACTGAGCCTTCGAGTTAAAGTAGTACTGCTCGAGAAGCTCTGCGTCTACTGCTACACGCTCCGCAAAGCGAGCAATCTCCAACGTGCTCAACGAATTGACACCGTACGTGTGGCTTGCATTGAAGAGTGGTTCCCAATCGACGGCTCCAGTAGCAGAAGAAATGTTGCCCCCATAAACCGTAAAGTCGAGGATTTCGTACGTCGTGTCATCAAAATCCCACACCATGAAAGCCGGGTTGCTCAAATAGATCGGGGAAATTGCAGCCACCATGAACAACGGTACCAATTCTGAGCTGTCTTCATAGTCATGATCTGCAATCACTCCTTCTCGCTTGACTTTTGCGCTAAGACTGCGTGAAAGAGGCAATCGGAACTCAATGCTGTGAACGTGACCAAAGAACTGCGCCTTGACAACATCCGAATACTGGCCCACTATCTGCTTGTACGTCTTCATGTAACTCTCATTCCACATAGGTGACCCGTTATACGAGTCAATAATGGGCGGAATGTGGCCAACGATGTATGCATACTTGCCAGCACTCTTCAACTCACACAACGTAGCATTTAACCATGCAAACTGATCGAAAGGATCAGGTAACTTGGACGTATCTGGTAAGTGACTCGGCTGGATGGTGTCACGACACAAGATTTTAGGTTGGTTAGTAGCAGTTCAGTTGCTTTGAACTTCAAGAACATACCGAATAAGGCAGTGTATTGAGTGTGATCACAGTCAGGTTGTCATTGAAGGCGTATGCTAAGTATCCACGGTTGTTAAACCAGTCGAGGTCGGACCTGGACATGGTATTATTCCAAGCCCCAGATATTAACGCGATCGTCGGGTTTGCCTCCGTCTGCGGATTTGTCACCTTCATCGTGTAATCAGGGGCTGCAAATTTCAAAATCATTTCAAGTTAGCTCTGCAACAAGTTTCTTTCACCAATAAGACCATCATGAATACTACCGTACTTGAGTCCGAGTTGCCTATGATAGCAGTAATGTCGAGCATCTCATGACGACTATCTAATGTCGAGTAATATTTGTCCATAGTCTTAATATTCGTTTCCACAGCTTCAAAAAGATATTTCTCTGACAGCTCTCCATGAACAACATGGTCTCCCGTGTAAAGAAACAAATCCGGGTCCGGTAGCACGTTTTTCGCGTAGGCCAAGGCCGATATCAATAAACTTATCGGGGCGTCATTACCGTACGCAATGGGAATCGCAGCCGATTCACTATCATTCAGTGATACAGAAATGTTGAGATGAACATCGGAAAAGTGCACAATATGGCGTAAGGTCCTTGTTGTTGTCACAATGTCATTGATTCCTTCCGTTTCAACACAAAAAGCACTAGACGTGATGTTTCTAAGCGCGAATACTAGAAGTAAACTAATGATATAACGGATAACCATTCAATTTCTATGCTCCTAATGATGATAATATTTAAATGAAAACATTGTTAACTGGTTTGAAATGGAGAAACGTGAACATGCTGGCGTCGTCCTAGTTCTAGGACTGTCCTTTGATGTGGCCAGGACGGACGTCGTCTATATGAAGTAACGTTTTACCTGAACCTTACACCATATTCCTTCTATTTTGATTGGTAAACAATACTTTATTCCTACATTCTGATTGGCAAAAACACTATTATTGAATCATTGGCTGGCGTTTCTCGCATGTCACTCCATCTTGCTATCATTTCTCAAAGAGGCAAAAATGGCAAATATTACCAACACCCCCAAGACCGCGGCTGGCAAATCAGCGGCCAAATTGTCCAAGAAAGTGATTAAAGGCTCGCATGGTAAAGTGCTAAAGATTCGCACAAAAGTGCACTTTTACAAACCCAAGACACTCCGATTGGCCCGCACGCCGTTGTACGCTCGTAAGGCCGTGCCATCGCGCAACAAGCTGGACAAGTATCGTATCATCAAGTCCCCGCTTACGACTGAGTCAGCTATGAAGAAGATTGAAGACAACAATACGCTTGTGTTTTTGGTGGATTTACTTGCTAATAAGCGTCAGATCAAGGATGCCGTGAAGCAGCTGTACGATATCAAGGTGGCCAAGGTGAACACGCTCATCAGGTACACCACATCGGGTCGAGTCTTTTGATAGTATAGGACAGAGATATACCAACCCTTTAGTTTTTATGCCTAAAGTCTGGCCGTAGTCCTGATAGGGAAGCTCGGTGACTAGGTCTTTAGGGACGACTTGATGTCGATTTCTGTTCTGTTGTGTGTATGTTTGTTGTGCAAGGAAGGAGTGAACTGACATTGTGTGATTGTATCGATTTTTGTGTATTACAATAGACCTGATGGTCAGAAGAAGGCGTACGTGCGCTTGACTGCAGATTACGATGCGCTGGACGTGGCCAATCGCATTGGCGTGATTTAAGTGCAGTTGTTGTCTAGCAAGTTTGCTTGCGTAGGTGTGCTGCGAGGGATCGCTCTTTTTGCCATCATCTTGAAGAAATAATGTAATACATGTCCGCAGCATTCTCGCCGAAAAGGCAGAGACGGCAGACCTTGGTATTCAAAATAGTGTGGGTAAATATGTTTTTGAGTGATAAAGCAATGCGAGAGCGTAGAACCATATCCACATCTACTTACGCGGTACAAGATAGCCGCAACAGACGGCAGGATGGGCTTAATTCTATTCCACTAACCAGTTATAAACACTATGCAAACTATTGTAGCTACATCACATATGGCTTGCACAATTGCCGCAAGACCTTGCTGATAGCACCTCCAGCTGCAAGTGCTCACTGATAAATCTTTATTGTACTGTCGGCACCGCCTGTGGCAATGAAATTGCGCGACGGGTGGTAAATCACGGAGTGCACTGCTTCATTCATCTTCAGCCGGTGCGCCTGAGGTAGCATACACAGTATCGTCAGACTTGATATCTAAAGGCACTAGCTCCAACTATACTTACCGATTGCTCAAAAACACAATGGCGATCTGCGACTGACCAGACCCGCAAAGAACCGTCGTGACCTAAAAAGCATTGGAAAGGGTTTTAGCAAAACAACAATAAAGCAGCACAATGTGTGACATCACTCTACCTCCGGATGCAATATGTAGCCCGGCTGCATCGATTGAAAGAGATGTGACAGAGTCCTGGTGAGCCGTAAGAGATCCGACACACTCGCCTAAATTCAAGAATTACCACAACACACTCAGCCGTGGATACAATACAGCAACGATAAAATCCTACATCAAAAGAGTCGTACCGGCTCGCATGTCGTACATACGGATTTTTTTATCTTGATGTGCCGCGATTGCGATAGGCATGGTCGGATGCACAATCAACTTTTTCAAGACAAAATCACGCACACACAATAAATCTCTGCACCCAAATTCAAAAAAACAATTGCAAAGCGCACCTTGTTCACTTGACCTCCCCGTCGAATTGTATCAACGTCGATCGCTCGTGTAAGCTGAACGATGCGTTCAGCTGCGTAGTCAAACTGGGCAATTGCTCCATTTGTGTACCCAACAACAGAAGTCTTCGGATCGGTCAGCATTGTATGCACTGACGTAGGCACCAATGAGCCGCGAATGTTTGGACCTGCATAAACGTTGCAACCCATTGACAATACTGTAATTATTATCGAGCTCAAATAAAATTTTCAATGCATCTTACTCACCAGTTCCGTTGGTGTTGGTCTTCGACGGGCACCGCATTTCACCTTGCAATGTGACCTCTGCCACAACACAAACAAACAAAGTACAAGACACGTCAGCTACACGAAAGAACGTATAGTTTTCATAGCTGCAACAGCACTATATGTACCTGACGCAACCCTCCAAGTTCGGACAACACCGTCTGACCCGGCCGAGAATAAAGTATTCGACAGCGGGTGCGCATGCAAGTCCCATATTGCGTCATCATGTGCGTCTTTGATCGAATACATCTTCATTGTCTCATAGTCCACGTAAGTGTACGGTTCTGCTTTATCCGTGTCTGTACCAGGTAGCTGAAACAAACTTAAAGTGCCGTCACGTCCCGCCGATGCAAATGCACCAATCCGACCAGGCAAACAGCCCGAACAATTTTCAGCACTAAACACAGCTATAGCCAGCACGCTCTGCGTGTGGGTTCGCAGTGTCACAAGCGAGTCCACTTCAGTCGCTCGCTGTGATGGCGGCCTACTCGCCACACTTGCCAGGTTCCACACTTTAACTGTGCAGTCTTCGCTGCCTGATACTAACAACGGTTCAGTCGGGTGAAATGAAAGGGCTCGTACTCCATCCTGGATGAAGAAAAAACAGAGCAACATCATACCAATGACATGAGTATATAACACAACAACTCGAATAGAGCAAACCCGTACCATGTGCCCAGACAACTTCAGCTTTAGCTTATGCGGCCGGTATGATGCCTTGGGCGCCATCGGAATCAACACAGGCTTCGACGGCTTGGCAGTCTCAACAGCACCTTAAAATACAAGAAATCAAAAGCATCAAATACCTGTCATGCAAATATTGCAATGAAAAAAATAATTGCACGAGATCTACTACTTACGTTCCACGCGTTCCACTTCTCGTCCCGATCCAGACGCCGTTCTGATCAATTCCCTCTCTACTTCACGTCCCGACGCTGATCGGTTCATTTCTCGTTCCACTTCTCTACCTGTTACAGTCCTGTTTGTCTCCCGCTCCACCTCTCGTCCTGATGCTGTCCTGGACATCATCTTCGGTCGCGAGATCTCCATGCCCTTACCCTGCGAGTTCTTAGGTGTGTTGGACGCACTCTTGTTCTTACTGTCTAATCTATATATACTGTAAGCCTTCGGACTGCTTGAAGGTGACGGCGCCGGCGACGTTTGTTCGGCGGTTCGCGCCGACTTGGACCGTTCCTTCGAGCGAGATACAGTCACTCCGCGTAAGACCTCAGCACTTTCAAAACAAGGCTTTGTATTGGTACCTCCTGTACTTTGTACGGCAGCAGGTGATGCTAAATAACGACCACGTTCCTGTCGTAATGCAAATTCAAGCATCTTGACGCGCAGCATGGCGTCCTTGTAGGCCTGTTCCTGTTCACCACGTTGTTCCTCAAGCTCACGAAGCTGTGCTTGTAACTTTTGACGCTCCTCATTCCAATGAGCCTCATCACTGGCTACGCTTGCGAACTGCCGCTGCAGATAACGCAGCGCTGCGTCCACGCTCTCCATACTTAAGAGACGTCGTCCGTCTACCGAATTAATTATATGACATTCCTCCCCTTCGAAGGTTTGTGCTTGTGCCACCGAATTTAATGACATTTAACCTCAAAACCTCACATTGAAGTGTTTATCGTTCGTACACACAATCTTCCACCAATTTCGATCAGAGTGATGTTCATCGCCCTCACATTTCCTTTCCGACAGTTTCAAACCCGCGCTGTGGTGGGGTAAGCAGCAACAATGTTCGAGACGTTAGTAACAGGAATCTTAACAAGTGCATTAGGGAATTACATTGATTCTAAATGCTTTAGTAAAAACAAGATCAATGTAGCGGTCTGGTCGGGGTATGTCGTGCTCACAGAGTTGGAGATAAAGCCCGAGGTGGTGGCAGAGTTTCCAGCCATTACGCTCGTACGTGGCCTTGTTGGCTCCTTAGAGCTAAAGATACCGTGGAATCGACTGCAATCTGACTCAGTAGTAGCTACGGTCGATGACGTGTACCTGCTTGTACGAACAGAGGAAGATGTGGACGCAGTTATGCGACAGATGGACGAATTTGCGCTAAAGAAAAAGTTGCTCGAGGAACTTTATGCTCAGGCAAAGAGACAGGAAGAAGAAGTTACGATGAACAAGAGTGAAGAAGGATATGCTGCTCGATTGGTGAATAAGATCATTGACAATTTGGAGGTGTGGCGAATACGTGTTTGTTTCTTCTTCTTCTTATGAGTTGATGTATTTGAATTCTTCTTGTTTTGTTAATTTTTTTTATTGATGATTCTGTTGCTAATGATTGTAGTTACATATTCGGCGGATTCATATTCGTGTAGAAGATCACATGACGGGGGACCATCCGTTTGCTTTGGGACTTACCATTGAATCGGTTCACGTTCAATCAACAAACTCAAACTGGCAACCGTCATACGTGGACACGTCCAAGAGCAACGAACCTCGGATTTTTAAAAGTGTGGAGCTCAACCATTTGAGTGTATACTGTAATCCAGACTGTGAAGTGCAACGTGATTGCCAAATTGACTTTCAGACGTGTTCGGCAGAGGAATTTTCTAATGCGTTTAGTTGCGCAATCCCACAGCGCTTTGATGACCGTCGCATGTCGTATCTCCACATGCAATTGTATCCACCTTCGCAACAACACCATTTTTTGCTCAAACCGATAGATGCTAGTGCTAGGTTGATTGTGAATCGTGACGTGTTTGAGGCAAATGTGCCAAAGTTTGAAATTGATGTGAATGTTTCCGAGGTAGCATTTCGACTGGAGGAGTCTCAGTACTGTGATTTGCTGTATTTAGTGTCGGCATTGCAGGTGCCGGATCACTATGTGAAGTATCAACGATATCGCAAGTTTAGGCCGCAAACAGCTGTGTTTGATGAGCCAGCGGTTTGGTGGAAATATGCTATCATGTCAGTGATTCAGGACCTAAAAACAAAAAATGAACAATGGAGTTGGGATTTCATGATAAAACGGCGCGAGGATCGCAAGTGTTACACGAGCTTGTGGCATGAAAAGTCATATCGCTTATTGGAGCTGACAGATATGGCTTACGGATATTCTGATAGTGAAGACAACGATGACGCTGATGAAATTAGGGACGATTTGGAGAATGATGACCAAGTGATGAATGGCATATCGTCATTTGACTGTGCAAATTTGCCGAAGCTTTCGCTTTTAGAGATTGATGACGGGTTGGAAGAAATTGAGAGACGTAGGAGTGTGGAAGAGGTATTAATTTTCCGCTATTTAGCCGATCTTGGATTTCAAAAATTTCGTTCTTCGCAAGCTACTCGTGCTCGTCATCGACTGCCCGTGCCCCCAACCCATGAATCTCGAGGCCTTTCCGACACTGATTCTGTAGATACGGAATTCACTGAGTTGAGTGTGCCAGCAGAGGTGCGATATCGATCGTGGGGCGCATGGGTTTTTGGCTGGACGTCTAAGCTGACAACGCCTTCTCCAGACGGAGAATTCGGACGATCTCGTCACAGGATAATCCCTGAAGTGGAGCTTCGAGAACTTTTCAAAATGTTGGAAGAGCCTTCACGGCGCTTAAAAAAGCGAATGTGCAAGCTACGTGACGTTAGCGGGCAAGTTAGCAATTCTGATAGTAAGGTGCCAATGGAACTGAGCGAGCTATATCGGGTGACAGTGACATTGCAGCGGGGATCGGTAACGTTAGCAAGCGATCCGGAAATGAACAGTACGCTGCTCCGCAATGATTCAAATTATGGACAGAAGTATGCCCCATCCGATTTTTTTCTTGGTGTTTTTTCTCAGCTGCAAGTGGCTGCAGTGGCAAGAGATGAAACAGTAGTTGTGGATGTGTCATTACAGTCGATTGAAGCGTTTGACGAAAGTACAGAAAGCTCCGCATTTTCTCGTCTTCTACGCCGAAAGCAAACCATTCGACCTACCGGTGACGGGGACGATGTGAACGTTAATAAGCTATCCGGAGTCGTATTTTTGGTAAGTTGTGAGATGAATCCATCTAGTTCCAGCGCAGATGCTTCGTTATTTGTTCATATGGAGCCTTTAGAAATTGTATTGTCGCCGACAGCGCGATGTTGGGGCCGATTAGCGCAATTTATGGGCACCCCTGCGAGCTTGGGGCTATGGGACGAGTTAAAGGTTGCTTCTTTTAATGATATTGTCAATCTAAAGGCGCGAACACAAGCTAAGCTTGACTACGTGATGGAGAATCGCATTGCACTTGCCATTGATCTTCGCATACAAGCACCAGTTATCATCGTCCCTGAGAGCGATGATGACTATAATTGCGCGCGACTCGTGGTTGATCTTGGACGAATCAACTTTCGGACTGACCGTCTCAGTCATCTAGACAGCGTACGTATGGGTTTAAACCCAAGCGGTGGCCCGCCATCGAGTCGCTCGGCGCAAGGGTCTCTCACAGTATCAAGCCCTGCCCATTTTCAAGGTTTGAATTTGAATACATCTTTCGTCCAGCAATTGTATGATGAAGCCGAGAGAGGGGAAGGAGCGATTCGCTGGAAAGAGGAGTTTTATGATAAATTCAGCCTCTCCATCGGTAACATACAGGTGCTGTTATTCCCTTACGGAAAAACGGGTCGGGTTCAAGAGGTTGTTGCTGGAAACAGCGGCACGAACTATCCATCTGTGTCCTTTCCACCGTACCTCACGGATATCTATGACGCAAGCCAAGAATTTGAGTTGGTCGAGCGTTTCAACATCAACGTCACCGTTCGCATGTCAATATTGCCTCTTGACGCAACGTTAACAAGGTTTTACATCCATGCAGACCTTCCGGCGCTAACGTTTAATTTATCATTGGAAAAATACTTTCAGTTGGTGGCATTGGGAGATCGTTTTGGCTTGGTAAATGCTGAAATACCGAAGAAATTGCGCAAGAATTACTCGGGTGATGGATTGGTTTCGACAGAAGACGCTTCTCGAAGTACTAATGTTGATATGACCATCGCAAATGACCGATACGAGGCTTTAACGAGGCAGAGCTTTCTCAGCACCTTGACACTAAAGAAATTTATGCTTGATGGTAAAAGTTTGAAAACATATGGTTTACCAGACAACATAAGAGAGTCTGATGAAAGCTCAAGTGGTGAAAGTGACGATACGTGGTTTAGTCTCACAAGCGGTAACCCTGATATAAGTGTTATAGCTGCAAGTGGAGAGGCCTGTGAACAGGAGCGCAGCCTTCCCATATCTGACTTTGCGGATGTTGTAACGGTGGACGCCAATAGAAGTATCTGCACGCCTACACGGTTAGAAAGGAATTCACGAAAAAGACCACGTTCGTATACCCCCATTGAAACGGCAAAGCTTCTTGATCGGAGATTAATGGTTTGCTCCTTTACAGTCCCACTAATATCGGTCCAGCTGAAAAAACCTCGCTCTTCTACGATGTCTTCTTACACTCCATATCGCTACGATATGAGTGATTGTAGCGACGACCCTACAGACAACGGTACCATTCTGATGAAGCTGCAGGGTTTTCGAGTCCGAGTTGGACAAAAGACTTTGTCAGTCCAAGTAAACGTAAGCCTGACGTCACTTGAAATTGAAGATTTTATTGATGCCAGTGGTCGCTCGTCACATTACTTGCTGTTTTCGAGTCCGGCAATTACTGCTCCGTTTTCGAGTAAAGCTCCATTACGCCGTGGTAGAAGATTCTCGGAATATGCAAGACGGCCAAATCGACAACAAGAACGAGTTATTTCTTTTCAATCTGACGGTGCGCCAAACAATGACGGATCGCGGCCAAGAGCACCAGAAACAGTGTTGGAACTTGGCATCAACTTTTTGAATGATCAAGAAGGTGGCAAAGAGGTGTTGAGGGATGTCGAAGTACAGCTCGGCTCGGTACAGATAAACTTTGACCAGCCATACGTTTGCTCTCTACTGGCGTTATTTGAGGAGTCATCGGCCCAACTTGCTACGGCTTCGATTCCTTTACAATGTGATAAGGATAGTGGCGATAGTACGGCATCCGACACACATGATAGTTTACCGCCGCCTTTTGAGCTCACACCCACCATCAAACAAGAATATTCAATATCAGTAAACCTAACAGAGTCTGTCCGAGCAGATTTGGAGCTTGCGAGAAAAAACCTATTTGAGCAAGCACCTGATCCAAAAAACCCAGCGACGGACGGTGGGAGTCTGCTGAAACTGAGTGTTCGACTGCACTCTGTTTCTGTATGTTTCTCTGATCGTGGTAAATCAATTGCGTCTGTTGCCATTTTTGATTCTGTAGTAAAAGTTTGTCCGGAAAAAACAGGTTGCATAAAAATATCCGGCATAGTGGGGGATGCGAAGGTGTTTGACCTATCCTCACAATTACCTCAAGAAGGAGGACTTGGCATCAGCAATGTAGCAGCTTGTGGGTCTGAGACCTCCTCACTTTTAGATTACATCGAGATACTTGGGCTGGACACATCAGCCACATTCTCGGCCGACGAAACTAGTCATGTTCTGAGCGTCGAATGCTTTATTGCTACCGATAAAATGGAATCGAACTTGAAGGCCACAGAAGACGTCGAAAGGCGAATGTTAGCGCAAAATAGAAGATTGAGTCTTCAAGTCTCAGTGCAGCCTGTTCGTGTGCTGGCTCAATCAGAGTTTGTGGAGAGTTTAGCCAATTATGTCATGAATGGGTCCCTTGGAGCCTATTTTCTGTCCAAACGCGATTCTTTGAGCGCACGTGTTGTGGAAAAAGAATACAACCGTACGAATTTGTTTAGCTCTCAACGTCAGCTAGCTTCAAGATCTTCTCCGAGCACAAATTGTCCGCGAAAAATCTTGACTCCCTTTTTTGATGCAGTCGATACATTAAATAGAGATGCTAGACAAGTCAACTTTGAAGTACCGAGTGCCTTTGCTTATCGCTGTGAAGATAGTGGAGATAGCGACACGTGTGGAATACGAAGTGAACACGAAAATGGTTCTGAAAGTGAAAGTGATAGGGGGGTGATCCTTGCGCACATTCTCGATAATTTTAATTTGGATATTAAGTTATGTCACCCATGCGTCGTTCTTCCGACAAATCCGTTGGATGACGTCCGAGTTTCGCCAGTAGCACAACCGTGTAGAGGAGTCGCGTTTGACTTTGGTACAATATCGTTCGTGCTGCGGCGGGAAGTGCCTGAGTGTCTACATGATATACCCGAAACTGCATCCGCAACATATGACATCACTGTGATTGTTGAAGGTTTACAAGTTACTTCTCTCGCGGACCAAACTGCAATTTTAGACCGATCAGGCTTCCAACTGCGATGCAATATTTCCACGGAGACGAAGGATAATTTGGACAGTGAGAGAAAGCGAAGCGCGAAGCCAGAGATTACTGTGAATGTGAATATGTACCCTGTTTGTCTCAACATCAGCGAAACAAATATTTGTCTGGCGTTGGACGTATTTTACGAGGCCATTGTTCCGATTTTTGATATTGTCCGAAGGTTGATGATTCATCAGGGTGAAAGCTGTGAGTGTGCGTCGGTGGTGGACTCGGCAAGTCAATCAGGTAACCAAAAAGAAGGTTGCGATGACTTGGAATACGGTGCACCTGTTTCAGATAGCGATACGACGGCGTGGCAATTGACGGTTAACTTTGTGCTAGAGGAATTCAAGATTGCGTTGATTTCATACTCGGAGGTTTCACACCAGTTTGAGACGTGGATGAAAAGTATCATGGATATTTCTGACGAAATATCTTCACGAGAAAGTACTGGCGGAGCTTCATCCGCAGCCCAAAAAAAAAGCTTATCCTCATCATTTTTTGGAGCGACGTGGTAGCTTTCCAAATGAGATTCCTTGTTGTCTAATTGGTGAAATTGTCTTCACTGCGTTGGAGGTGGACATGACATTAAACTCGACGGGCATCCAATCGCAGGACATCCAGCTGCAATGTAATTTTTCCTTGCAAGAAGCTGTTATCTGTGACAAAATGGCAGACTCTACGGTGCGTGCGAATGCCGCTTTTGTTACTTGTTTCTTTTGGCGAGCTAATCTGAGGATGACGTTGCCTTTTTTGTAGGAGTTTGTGACACAATTGTTTGGGCTCGTTCCTGAAGCACTTTTAGAGCGTATGGAATTTTGTACCTCTGTTTCTGATAGATCTTCGTTTATATCTCTGGATGATGTGCCGCCTCCCGTGCTACGACACTTGGCGTTACAGTCATCACAGCTTAGCACACCATCCTCGCAATTGAGTGGACGGCTGATCAGCAGAACAGGGAATGGTGAATCTGCAATGACGATTAATTTGCTGGATCTGTCGGTATCCTCTGCCCGCCTCATTCTTTTGCCGCGGACTTTGCTACGGTTGGAAAACTTTGTCCTTGATGTATTCCTGGCAGCAAGCAAGAGGATAAGTAAATTAGAACTCCATCGAGACGCACCTATGGTGAACGCTTCTCCTGGGACCGAGGGTTCTGAATCTATCGATACGGGCGTTAATCCCTACGGCAGCCGAGAAGAGCGACATAATGCTCTGTTTAATGTTTCCGTTCTTCGATCAAGAAATGGTAGCATATCTGAGCCAGTGAAAGGCGATCTCAATGTGGCTCGATCAACATTTATGTCTCCGTCGCAGTGTATGCTAAGCGCGACTAAAGGAACAGAAGGACGATCCTCCGGAAGCTTTACGTCTCGTCCAATTGCAGACGATACTGAAAACGGGGCGCCGGTGACCGATGAAGTTGATGGTCGCAAATGCATCTCCAAAAGAAAAGCGTGTGGCCAGCATATGAGACCTCGGTGGAAAGCTGCCATTAGCTTTTCAAATTTGCAGATGTGGGTGGTATCGACAGATCGCAGGACCGAGGTCACAGGATGTGTGTTTTTTTGTCAATTAGCCGCTAAGTTTGATGGTGTACTCGGTGCATTTGAAACATCAGCTTTTTCTAATTCCAGTGACCTTGTGACCGCATCGGTTAAATTGAGTAAATTGGGGGTTTTGGTGGGATCGCCTATTGTGAGTGGCACTGAGCAACAAAAGATAACGCACCACATGGGGACACTTGTTGAGAACTTTGACGTAGATGTACAATTTGCGCTGCGCCAATGCTGTCGGTCTGCACGTGAAGGAGTTGTCAATATTGGAAGCGTTGACAAAATGAGCGAAGAAAACAATGACTCGAATGGCGGTCGTGCGGACATCACCAACGGTGTCGAGAATAGCGTTAACGAGGTTAGGCCAAGATTTTGGATGAGTTCTTGTTTCAATACGAAGGAAAAAAGTGCGTCATATATGCCCGAACTCTTCCTTCAAGATGTGCCATCAAAGTGGCAGAAATGGAGTCTAAGAGAGGCGAATGTGTGTATTAACCAGATTGTCTCGCATATTGCCTACCGTGACTTGCCGCTATTGTTAAAGATCTTCGCGGGCTTGACCAGCATGCTTGATGCAGAGGAAAGAATTCGCAATACGTTTATTCTTCAGTTCAAAGCAGCAGAAGATGATCTCGACTGGGAGGATTTACCCGATACTCCAAAAAATTATTCAGAGTATGCTTACTCTTTTGGAGCAGAAGGCGTAAGTGAACGCCAAATAGCTGAACAAATTACATTGTCATCTTTTCAACCGGACGTTCTCATACGCGCGTCGGTGGTAGCAAGAGGGGTCCAATTCCAACTGATCAATAACATAGTCGACCAGGCGTCACCGGTGGTGGAGATTGATTTAAAATCTGTTGAATTGCTGCTGCGATCCGAGTCAAACTCGATGATAGAAGTAACGGCAAAGTGCAGAGCAGAAGCAAAGTATCAAAACCTGCGTCTTGTGGCGATGGAGCCGCTTATTGAGCCATGGAGTGCTCAAGCAAAGCTCAGTCGGCAACACACACGCTATCGTGGCGTGGATGATGCAGTGCAGCTGGCAGTGTCACCTTGGAAGCTAGATATGACGTCAGATGTTTTTCTACAGCTAAATTTGACTGACGCACTAATTGCAAATCTGGTGGCTGCAGACCGAGCCTGGCGGTGGGTTGTCAACGCAGGTGGAGATTCACGCGAGATGACCGAGTATTCCATGTATTGGATCCGAAATAACACTGGAATGTCTTTACGATACTGGGGTACATGCTACAACGAACATTTGCTTGCTGTCGGCGAAGAAGAACCTCTTCGGTTCAGTAACGACCACTGCGAGGAAAATGGTAGCGATAAACAGCGAAAAGAAGGCCGGTGTAATACGTACGAACGCAACCGCCAGCTCTATATTGCTGTCAAAGAGGAATTTCCAAGCGATAGCTCATCAAACATTTGTAGACAATGGCAAAGTGAGACACCTATTCCAGTTGACCAAGTTGATTCCCGCATGTATGCATTAGTAGACTTTGAGGCAGACATCACGGCCACCTACATGAGGAAATGCGAGTGTGTGATTGACGTACTCGTAGAGCGTGGATGCAAGTATTTTGTGGTACGCTCGACTTTGATTATCGAGAATCAAACCTCGTCCGACTTAGAAGTTGAGTTTATTTCGCCGCAACGGCGTTCGCTGTCGCACCCATCTCGAGCAGGAGATACCTCGCAAGGGCGCACTATCCCCGTCTGGAAGAAGATAGTCAAGACCTCTTCCGTTGTTCCTGTTCCGATGCACATTGTTTCATCTGGTGAATGCGACGTGATGGTGCGTCCTCTAAAGATCACTGATAGAGGCGATAGTGTGTTACCGATGGCTTACGCCAAAGAACAGGTGCACCTTCCGCTCTTTGAAAGAGGAAGCCCTTCTGCTAACGAGACGCACGTGGAGAGTGATGAGTCTGGCCAGTCCCAGTGCACTATTAAGTTTCGACGATTGTACAGTGACCGGCCCGTACGTCCATTCATGATGAGTGTTTGCCTTTCCAATGCAACTTGTGCACTGTATCACCGCACGCTTTCGTTCCATTCAACACTGATCGTGCATAATTTGACTGCTGGGCCGCTTGATTTTTGTTTGGCAACTCCAAGCGATTGGTTGCCTGTAGTTGAAGCAATGACCATGACAAACGCAGGGGTGAATGCAGGTTGGGAAACTCGCGAGCAACGTTTGCGTGAGAGAGGAACGATAAATGTTGCTGACTCGCTTATTTGGCATTTATCGAGTGCGGAAACGCCTCTGGAACTAAGCGTCCGGATAAAAGGGTTTGACTGGAGCGAACATGTTGATCTCAAAGAGGACATTGACGACCTTGTGCGAATCAAAATGAAAGATCTTGTGAGTGACGCGCATCTCTATGTAACTGCCGAGATTCGGATGAGCAAGGGGCACTGCCGTGAGTTGTTTCTCTACGTGCCATACTGGATTGTGAATCTGACGGGCCTGAAGCTTGAGTATAAATACGAGGAAGAGCGAATGGGGCGCGAACATAAGACCATGTAGGTTTTCGCGTCTCCTTGTTTGCAGAAACAGTCGTGACTTATGATAACTGCATTGTGGTTACTTACTGACGTTTACCTGCTTTCAATTTTACACAAAATTTGTCAGGTTGTTGGCGGGACAAAAACGGTTAGACCGTGATGAGCTTTTACTGAAAGAAAGCCAAAGGATTAAGGCTGCTTGGCGAGACCGCAATCCCCACCTTCTTCATCCTATTTTTGGCGAGGACCAAGAATTTGCAGACAAAGCTGAAGGCTCTAGACGTGGATCTGCTGATCATGATGAGAATGAGCGGAAGCGACGTCATCCTCGACTTCTACCGAGCGTGCCACCGGTAAAGGGCTTGCTAGATCTGCTTCCAAAGTCGGTTGCGTGTGATCCACGTAACCTTGGACAGTTGGAAGTTTTGCAAGCTTGCCACTCCGATTATGAAATGGATCGTGGATGCATTCGTCTGCGAGTCAGCCATGAAAGAGACATGGCCGCTCTGGGTGTCAGAAAGGAGAATGGACAGCAGAAATGGTCCAATTCTTTCGTACTAGATTTAGCTGGAACGATTGGCGAGATTGAAGCAGACGACTACGGGGCAAACCGAAAGTATAGTATCGGATATTCAATCACTCCGGCAAAAGGCCTGTACTCACGAACGAAGGTGATCATGCTGACGCCGCGATTCATGCTCATGAACACGATGAACAGTGCCATCGAAGTGTGCCATTCTTCGTCTAAGGCGATCACCCCTACCGTATTTAATATGACTAGTGCAAGTGGATCAATGGCAGACTCCGGAGCAATGTCTCCTGTCAATCCCGTGGTTCATCTTGATGCCGGAGCATATGCCGATTTTCATTGGACTCTTCGATTTGCTAAGACACGCACGATACGTTGCCGTCTTGCAGAATGTGGGTGGTCGTGGAGTGGTGCAGTGCCTCTATTTGAGTCTGGTGAGTATGCTGTTCGTATGCGTCATGAATCTACGCGGGAAAGTAAGCTTGTGCGTGTGACCCTGAAGCTGGACTCGTCGTGTATATGCGTATGCTTTCGAGAAGAACGAACGACCGCACCACCATATCGTGTGGAGAACTACTCGCTGGAAACGCTTCGAACACATCAACATCGCGTGCGCCGCAGTGAGATTTTACTACCACATCACAGCCTGGATTATGCGTGGGATGAGCCTACAGAGGAGCGCTTGCTTGTTGTGGACATGCTCCCTTCAGCGGCTGGCGACAATAGTCGTCCGCTGCGAATTGGAAGTTTTGATTTGGACAAAATTCAGCGGTACCCCGATGCGCTTGGTGGTACGCTGGGCATCGAAATATCTACAGATGGTCCCACTCGCGTGTTACGTTTCACTGACACGCGATTACGTGAGGAAAAAACCGCGCCAGTCAATTTCCAAGCTACTAATAATTTGGTAGCAATGACTGACATAAGGGAAAACAGCGCTATGCAGCTTCTTCAACGCTTTGTATCTGCGCCAGCAGTGCATGCAGCATTGCATCTCCAAGGTGTAGGCATCTCTATTGTTGATGGTGCTCCCAAAGAATTGATATACGTGTCAATTTCTGGTATCACATTGGAGTTACTTGTAAGTGAAAATGGTCAGAATAACAATGGGGCTTCAATTGGCGGTAGAGTACCGTCATTATCTCGACTCAAACGTAAGACTCATCCTCGGATTTTGGCTTGGTGTCTTGAAGTGAGTGACGTACAAGTCGACAATCAGTTGCAAATGACACCGTATCCTGTACTGCTGCGCTTTTCGAATTTGAATGGCCGATCACAAACTCTAAAGGGACAAACGTTAAGAATTCCTGTATTGCAGGTGGGTCTTGTGAAGCACGAAGAATACGCTGGGATCGAGTTTATCAGGCATTTCAGTGTCAGTATTTTGCCGGTGCACATTCGGGTAGATGGTGCTCTGCTTTATCAGATATTCCCGCTGCTGGTCCACGCTAAAATCTATGGCAGCAGTGATAAATCTGGCATGGTGATCAAAAATCGAGCATTAGTATTGGCAAATGGTGAGAGAAGTTGCGATGAAGTTGCTCGAGCAGCACATAGCCATTTGCTATTAAGAGATTTCAATGCTAGTTTGGAAGTTCAGGTGAAAGTGCTTGAGGCTGCCCAGAAAGATGGGGCTACATCCGCAAAGTCTAGTTCTCGCTCAGCAATTCACACTAACAGAAGTCTTGATCGGTTGAATTGTGGTCAGCAACAACAGCTAATCAGTCCACATCATGAGGAGCATATCGTGCAGGCTGCGGAGATTCAGCATTACAAAACAACAACATACGGCAAACTGAGTGCTATTGTTGCGAAGGATGAAGAAAAGAAGCTATACTTTGAAGCGTTTCACATCGACCCCATCCGCGCTACTGTCAGCTTCTCATTTGGTGATAGTGCAGGTGCCATGGTGGGTGGTCACTCATCATCACTATCGCATGCAACAGCATTGACAGATCCGTCGTCATCGAGAGAGCCATCCGTCATCACAGTTGGCCCTCTGCGGCTTATTCTAAATGCTATTGGTACTAGTCTGAGCAAGGTCGCGAACGCTCCGTTCCAACTCCAGGCGCTGCACATCCATAATTCGTTTATACAACCCGATGCGTTGGCAACGAGGTTGGCGTCACATTATCAGAGTGAGGCGCTTCGTCAAGCCTACGTCATTCTCGGAAGTGTCGATGTGCTGGGCAACCCAATGATCGCATGGAAAAACCTTCGCAGTGGTTTTCAGGATTTTATTTCTGAGCCAGTGCATGGGCTTTTGCAGCGAAGTCCGCAAGCGTTTGCTTTTGGTATTGGACGTGGGTCACTATCGCTTTTGCGCGCTTCAGTGTATACCTTCTTGGACTTTAACACGCGCATTCTTACGGCCTTTTCACTTGGACTGTCTGAGGCCTGTTTAAAGCTGGATGATTACACGGGCTACCCCGCTACGCGCCACATCTTCCAGGGCCTTGTGCAAGGTGTCTCGGGTGTTGTGGTGGCTCCAATCCACTCGTTTGAAGTGAATGGCGTACGGGGCGTACTACCTGGGCTAGTGGCAGGTGCGTTTGGAGTCGTGCTAAAGCCATTGCTAGGCTTCTCTTTGGCCACAGCAACAACCGCTGCTACGCTTCGCGATGCTGTTGATTTTAACACCAAGACACTGCTTGTACGTGTGCGTCCGCCACGCCACATTGATCTTCGGACAAAGAGGCTGAAGGTCTATTCGTATGTGGAATCCTTGGGCGAAGAGATTGTAAGCAAGGTGCGCGGTGGTTGCTACCGTGCCGATGGATATCTCGGTCATGTCGATCTCAAAGTGACCCATCAATGCTTTTTGGTCACCCGCAAGCGCATTTTATTCCTCAACGTAAAAGGAATTGCCCCGTCACAAGCAGCTAAATACGACATTCAGTGGGAATTGCTGGCTGAGGAAGTTGTGATGGTGGATTGCTCCAGGACGCCAAACGAGCAAAGCGTCACTATCTACTATATAGAAGATGAGTTCCGTGCAGCAAGCGGCGCCGGGCACAGTATCGGTGGCACAAGCAGACCAAATACAGTACTCACGAGCCGCCGATGGACACCGGGTCTACCGCGTGGCATGTTTTTGCAGAAGCACGAGGTGGCGCTGCCTGAAACGAAAGTACTATTTGTACGTGCGATGCTACAGCAGCAAGAGCGATCGCTGCTAACCAAAATGAACAGCTTCATGGAGGACACATCAAGGTACCAAGGTTCACTGTCACGTCTAACAAGGACGCGCTCAATGGAGCTACGATCAGCATGGCATTCTCACGTACCACTAAAGTACCCAATCTTCCGATTGCCACAGACGCAGCTTTGCGAACTTCGCGCAGGCGTCCCTCGTGCGCAACCACGACTAAATCGTGCTGCGAACGAGAAGTTATTTGCGAATGACAAACGCGACACAAATGTTTAGTATGATCAACATCGCCTCTAATCTTCCTTGAAAGAGGCTTGACTTAGTCGCTTGCAACCAATTCTTCGCTATCGTGCTTACGCTGGGCATCCCACATCCCCGCGTAAATGCTGCCAGGTTGTGCCAGTAGCTCTTCATGAGTACCACGCTCGACAATGGTGCCATGCTGCATAACAATGATTTGATGTGCGTCGCGAATCTTCATAACAGCAAACAAGATGTAAGTGCATGATCCAAAACACCAAAGGTTTGGGTACGTATGTATATGACGTACCGTGGACAAGCGATGCGCAATGACAAGCATTGTGCGGTTAGTTTTGAGACGGTTGAGAGCGGCCTGGATTTCCTGCTCCGTGACCGTGTCGAGCGCTGAAGTAGCCTCGTCCAAGATGACGAAAGGCGGATTCTTTAGCAAAGTACGTGCAATCGCGACACGTTGTTTCTCGCCACCTGAGAGCTTTAGGCCACGCTCACCAACTTTCGTGTTCCATTGATCCGGAAGTTTTATAATAAATTCGTAAATGCAAGCGGCTTTGGCTGCTTCGACGACCTGGTCAAAAGTTGCGTTCAGGTTGCCGTACTTGATGTTACGAAGTATAGTGTCATTGAAAAGCACCGTGTCCTGAGGTACTATACCAATAGCCTGCCGCAGCGACTGCTGCGTCACTGTGGCAATGTTATGGTTGCTGACTAGAATTTCACCACCATTGCATTCGTAGAAACGGAAAAACAGTCGTGAAATGGTTGTCTTGCCGGCACCAGTCTCACCTATTAGTGCAGTAGTCGTACCACGCGGGATGGTGAAATTCAAGTCTTTGACACCAGAACGAGCTGGCTGGGACGGGTAATGGAAAGATACGTGGCGGAAAACCACGTCAATGCCGTTTTCCAAATCGTACTTGCATAAGCCCAATTGTACCGCATCGGGCGCATCACAAATTTCCGGCTCCACTGATAGCAACTCACTCAGCTTCTTCATATCGACAACCGCGTTAGTCACCATGTTGTAAATACCACCCAAGAAAAATAGCGGTGTAAATAAGTTCGATAGATACACTGAGATGGCAATGAAAGCACCAATGTCAATTCTGCGACCACTGTCCTCGCTCACCACGTGTGGAACTGCTAGCGCAAGTGCCGCAAACACGGTAGCCTGAATGATGATGGACTGAGTGCCATTCAGCACACTGAGTGAAGCCTGAACGGAAAGCGAATAGCGCTGGTACTTTTCAATCACCTTGGAATATTCCTCAATTTCGTGACGTTCATTTCCAAAGTACTTAATGGTCTCATAGTTTAGCAGCGCATCCGTAGCTTTGTCGTGATACTCGTTATCGTGGCGCATTGATGCCTCACGGTACTTCTTACGCCAGAGTGTGATTTTGATTGTGAGATAAGCATACACCACCAGACTGGAGAATGCTATATAGCTCAGTCCTGCCAGCTCGAAATGCAGCGCAAAAATCACGATTACCACTACAGACTCACCCAACGTCGGAATCAGGTACAAAAAAACGTACGACACAACACTGTTGGCTGACTCAACACCACGATCCATAGAGCGCAGCACGTCACCCAGCTTTTTCTGCACATGCCAGTCGTACGAAAGCAACTGCACATGTTCGTAAGTAAGTGTCGCCAACTCAATGTATGCCGTCTGTTTTACTTTCAGGTAAATAAGCGATTGCATTTCCTTGAACAGCTTCGACACGAGTGTCAAGGCACTGAAAATAGCAATATCCTGAATTGCACCACCAGCATCTTTTGACACTAATGCATTTGTCGCCGATGCCATGAACAACGGTGCCACCAAATTCGACAGTTTACTCAGAATCAGCACCAAATAAGTGCTAGCAGCACGCATTTTGTTGCTGAACCCATTCGGCCAGAAGTACGGTTTCAAGATGTACATGAGCTTGACAAATGGAATGCCATGCGACTGCTTCGCCTCATCAGGTTGGCCTACAACAACTTGAGGCAGATCCTTGCTCTCTTCCACTGCGGGCATTCTAATAGAGTCCAGCAAATAGCCCAAATTGACCACCTCCAGCACTGTAAAGATTAGCGGCAACGAATTGGCCACATTAGCGTCCACCAGTGCCTGTTTTTCTTCATCAAAACGTGATATCGCGTCCAACTTGAAAGCGTCCACTGCCAAGACACCCAAGAAGCCAAGACAAAAAAGATATACAATCCACGTAATGACACGCACATCAGGCCAGTGAGTTGCAAGTAGAAACAAACAGCTTTTGACAAATGTCGCCCATACAGGAAGCCCGCAGAAACGCCATTGAATCTCTTGCACGTCCAGCAGCCAGTCCAGTCGAGTAAAGGCCAATCTACCAAGACTTAAGCTACAGACAAAGAGAAGACTGACCAAATCTAAGACCAATAATACCAATAAACTGAGCTGGAAGCACAACATCTGACGTTGTGCCGACTTGCGTCTCCGTTTGGGACGTCGTGCACCATCTCTCAAGTCAGATTCGTTCACATCATCGTCTTGCCAGCGGGAAAATACATTCTCTTTCTTTTCTCTTTCATCCTGATAGTCAGTAGTAGCAGTCTGTAGTAGTGGTGTGGCTTCTTCTTTTACCAATATTTGCGTCATTTATTCACGTGACAAGTCGATCGATTGATCCCACTTGAGCTTGAGTTGACAAATTCAAATCTGCCATGGCTCAGGTTTGATTGGATGAAAACAATCAGCATGAGTGACATGCTTTAGGAAGAATGATGGTCCTGTTTTTTTCGGGGCTACAACTGTCAGGTCTCCGAGTACCACCTTCTTATGTAATCGTTGGAACCTCTTGTGTACAGTACGAAGAACGCCGCCATGGCTATGGATTGACATCACTAAAGCTGCATACAAAAGAGACCAAATCAAGATCTCCTCGATCCAAGTCTCAACAGGTATCACAATACAATTTGCCAGATAAAAATCATGAAGGACAAGTACATTTGAAAGCGCTAGATACTCATACTGAAATGAGTCAGCAGCCAAAGAAGTGTTTTATATTCCAAGGGGGGTAAGTCTTCGTTGCAGCTGCAAGTTGTTACCTTTGCAAGCTTACTCATGGTGCATTTTGCAACCCTTGTCTCCTACTGACTGCCCAGATGAGAATTGCAGTCAGTGTCTATAATGGTTTCTTGCTTTAAGATGAACTCATCACGGAATGTACGTAGCACCTTTACACTACCAGCATACCACATAGCATTAGTATTTTTCGGTAATAGCCGAACAACGACGCTACGTAGTATCACACCCGGACAAAGCTTAGTATAAGCAGCTGACATACATAGCACCAGAGCCGGCAATGATAGTGCGAGAGCATTTTTGATTCCAGGTATGCATGCAAAACCAACACACTACTTCTAGTTGCACCAATAAATGGTGACAGGACCTGTTGAGTGTCCTCAACTACACTGTGGATGCCAATGCCTTCCATACAATCTTCTTACGATAATGCGCTTGCTCGTCTTATCACTCTTCTTGACCGTCTCCAGCACCTCATATAGTCGATTCACTCCACTCACCAATGACCTGTAATTCTGCTGGACAGAACGCTATGCTGTCTCCAAGTGACAACATGCCACCGGCATTGACTTCTAATGCACATACACGCAAAAGAATCGACCAGCGCACGTAGCCTCTCTTTTTCAAAGAAGAGTCGGCACGAGGCAGCATTAACGCTAACGCGGCTCGGGGATGGAAAATCGACACAAAAAGCTCCAATGATAAAATTCCGAGCAGTTGGTCCACTTCACTAAGCATAGAACGACGCAGAAAAGCTAATAAAGACTCCTACAACGCAGTCGTGATCGTGATTTTAGCATCACGCGATGGATCAAGCCGAGCGAGAGCTTTGAAAACTAGCACTTGCACCTCCAAGGTTCAGCTGCGCAAGAACCCCCGCTACTTAAACATTGACTCAGAGATGGTTGCTGCAGTAAAGAAGGCAATAAACCAACGCTTGCCGTTCCGAGGCATCTAGGCTTTTAATGATCAGCCACCACTAGTTCCTTGAACAGCGCGTTACTTAACTCGTCATACATTTAGGGCGTCTACCTATTCAATATGCTCCACCGTCTCCAATGTAAGACCGCAGAATAGATGTTGCCTTTAAGAAATCGTCATCCCCACAGAAAAAAAACAGTCGGAGTCATCTTCTACAAACGAATTCCAACTTGATTTCGACTCTTCTCTTAACCAAAGCACTCGAATTTCAAATACTGATGCAGCCGTACGCATTGTTTCGACCCAAATTCATGTCAGCAGCGCACTTCTGAGACGCATTGAAGGTATCAGCAAAAACTTCAGCACTTATAGAAGGTAAAAGCCTTCCCATGCCACATCCAACCGATCCAAGTGCATCATATAGTAAAGCGCTGAATTTGCAGGAAGCGTCATCATTTGAGTTGCATTCAAGCTGCTGCAACAGCTGAAAGGTTGCGCGCAACATTCCTGTAGAAATTCAGTAGTAGCTAAGCGCATCCCCATGCCTTTCGAGTCACAGCTAGCTTGCAAACACGTACATCGTCGTAAGATACCTCCAGTTACTGTCGGTTGCTAATTTTGCATGTGGTGCCGCAGACAATGAGTGTGATGAAGCCGACGATATGCGAGTCAATGTCAATGCGGACTCAGGGAGATTACTTGATGTCCAAAAGTATCAGTTGCTTCATTACAAAGAGTAGTTCAAGTGGTCTAGAGTCTTCAACAAAAACACGATTCGGGTGGATTAACCGCAGAACAAAGTTGGTGCATCTGATAATTGCAAGCGGAAGAAAAATGCCTGCCCTCACCAATCCATCGCGTTGGTTTACTATAGCTACAGCGTCATCCTCTGGTTCAGCTAGGCGTGTACGATTATCAAGATCAACTATATCGTCTAATGTAGAAGCTGACGACACCGCTGCTAATATCACGGTATCCGCAAGAACGTTTACAGGTGTACGATTCACTGTCGTGCAAAGTCGATGGAAGCTCTTCGAGGGGATGTCCCGCCTGGGTTATGACTGCAGTGTTGAGTAGAATAGAACACATGCGCGGACAAACTCTGGTGAGCGACATACGCGGTCACGTGGCATCAAGAGGTACGGATTGCGTTGGAAACTGTCCATGGAACAACATCGTGTAACGCCGGTATAATCAGCCGCAGACGTCGAGCGCATCATACTGCTCAATTTTCGTCTTGCTCTAGTGCAAGCTGATCGGAGAGATGCCAAGCTAATACTACAGGCTCTGCGGTCTCATACACTGTTGTCAGTCAGCTACACGTGGCATCAAGCACCATACAAAATAGTCATTCACCACGAGCTCTTCGTGCACCGAAGGGTATTCCACGTAAGCATTTCGTAATCCCAGCGCGGCAATAGCTTCCTGGAACGTGTAGGATCATAGTCAGTCATACAACTTCGTTGACGCTTAGGAGCTTTTGATGTCACCTTCCAAAACCAGATGTAGCCCCACACGCGTAGAAGCACGCCAAACTAGCTCTGGGCTCTCATGTGCTGTCGCGAGCCTCAACTATTTCTCGCCAACATTCTCCTGTTTGCACGCATCACCTAGCCATTCTTCAAATACTCCTCCAACTAAAAAGCATCGCATCGATTGCAATTTGGCCTGCGTTCTGTAAGACGACAATGCTGCCTTGTACCGCGATAAAAGCTCAGCGCGGTTCTTCACTGGGACAAATAGCTCCACTGGAAAGATGCAATGCATTACCTTTCTTGAGCACGTGTTGTAGCGCAAAATACCTCAACAAGATCGATGCACATTTCGCATATGCCCAAATCAGCTTTACTTTGATCTTTCATCTCTTCTCCATCCGCAGCTTGTTTGCACGCCACCATATCCGTCATCGCTCGTCTTGGTACGAACGTCACTACGAACAGTTTCAGCACTCGTTTGAGCACCACTGCAGTGTTGTCTTTTTTACTTTGCAGCAGCTCCGTACTATGCTACCGGCGAGCGCAGCAGCTGAAAGCCTCCTGCATCTCCAAAATGTCTGCGATTTGCCGTCTCTCTTCGATCCGCTGCCTTGTCACCAGCTTCAAAGTCGACAAACGGCGGCCGTATCAACTCTTATGTCGCAAGTACTGACAAGATGAGGACTAGTGATGAAAATGAATCGAGACACGTTGAACAAAGGCTTCAGCAAGCACTTGACACAGCATCTATAGAGCTCTTGTTACCGTATGTATCACACGGCGGAATGCAATGAGAAGAAGCTGTATCATGTCCTATCCATTAGTAAGCTTCAATTGTTCCATCTCGTCTTGTAGTAAGTCGTCATACATGACGTCAAAGAGACGTCGTTTGTTTACAATAACACTTATGACACGATTACTGACTGGACTTGTATCGCTATTCACAGGTACTACTTGAAGCTACTATTCAGGAATGTCGTGACCAAGAAAGTATTTGATCTGAGAGTTTATGTACATTTTTTTCTGGTATCATCGAGTGATGGAGGAGCAGGCGCTATATTCAAGTGATGCAGCCTATCTCAATTCAAAAGCTTATATATCATTATATCCAAGGGTAAAGTGGACACCAATAGCTGGCACTTCTTGGCTGCTTATGGATAACCACGTTCGTCTCGTTCACTGTCGAAGTTTCCTGTTCAACTTCACCCAACATCCCTCTGTTCTTCGCGTCACAGTCACTTAACCCATAGTGTTCACGCGCGTCGTCAACGTGTGGCAATGGCGTCGAAGAGAAGTGTTCACCAAGCTGATTGAATCCTCCCAAGAAAACTGGGTCCTTTGCTGGCATCCGCTGCAAATATGGCGACTATCAACACCAGTGGACCATGTCGAGGATAGCAACCAGGAAAACATAACGTGTTCTTACAACACACGGCTTCCAATTTGCTGACAAAGATGATGGACACTTTCCCTATGGCCCAAGACGATTGGCACGGGAGGCACGACACGTTGCACCTGCGCCATGATGAATCGTAGCCGATCTTTGCCGACGAGTGAACATTGTTGTGTCTCGGTTGACCATGGCCATGTCCTCGTGTCAAGGGTCCCTGTGTTCCTTTGTGTACAAGATCAGTGAGTGCGCGCAAGTCAGCACTAAAGTGCCCAACCATCGCACAAAACAGGCTTACTTATCGAGGTTTACCCCTATTCAATTTAGGAATATTGTTGATATTCACTGCGTTCATGGTTGACGAAGCATTGATGGATAATATTCCCAGTGGTGCGTGCAAATGAGTGGTAGCAGAAAATGACCTCGTACATTCATTCTAACGTGTTTTGCCACAGGTGATATATTGAGAAAGGCATATACAAAGCTTTCTTTCGTCAAGCAAAACTACAGCAAACAAGCAAATTCAAAGAGGCCCTGCAAAATGCATTCGTGTTTGTATGATTTACTTTTTCAAATCTTATGAGAAGGCATAACAAAAGGCAGCACACATGTCAATCACAGCGCAAGAAGACCAGTTCCAAATTTAGGTCGTGAGCTTGTCGCCGCCGCTTGATGTGCTGTTCGTCTTCGTCGCGGTGCCGATGACCGAGCAGACTTGGTGCGCGTCGCCATCTATACCTCCTTGAACTGGTGTACGTCCAGGCTCTCCTGGCCATTCTCTAGCAGCGCCAACAAGGCACCCGCAAACGTCTTGTAGTCCGGGTGCTCGCGGTGTTGTGCCACACTCTGTTCCACACAAAACAGCATTCACCCCACGTGAAAGAGAGCAGACAACAAGATTAGTCATCAGGCAAAAGACATGTATGTGATGGAAGAGCCATTGAGCAGTGTCCACTAGTGGCACCGCGTTAAATAGCAATCGCAGAACGAATTAACAGAAGATAATTACGTACGCTTTCCTGGTCGTAACGCTCGACAAGAGTCCACTTGCGCGGGTCACTGGTATTCTGTAGGACGTGCCAGCCAAGGACGCTGGCGTCCTTGGAGTAGGTCTTCGAAGCCTCGGCTAACTTAGCGCGCAGCTTTTCCTCGACGTCCTTGCCGTCCTTGGCATATAGGTTGACGATAATGGTGTAGACCATAGTTTATAGTGGTAGTAGGGGATGTAGGTGGGAAGTGGTGGTGATGGAAGTCGAGAGTAAATTCGAAAATGAAGAAGTTGGTTGTGGCGCTTTTTGAACGATCGGCTAGCGGATGTCGGCTGTCGGCATTTACGGCGATTATGGCGTACACACGAGCTACGGGAGACGAGGCCTAGGACGTGTAAGATTGTAGGACATGCCACTTCAATGTAGTGGATCGGACGACCAGATCACGCAAACAAATTATTCAAGATTCTCGGCTATCCAGCTCTCCCACCAGCTGGGCAAATAGGTGCCAAATGGGAAGCAATAATTGACTGACCTTGTTGTGAAAGTATTGTATCAATTCCGTTCAGATTTGCGGATGGATTTTCCCGTAAAAACGTTCTCGTTCTTATCCAGACAGTAATGTCAAGTAAGTATGTATGTTTGTATGTATGTGAACGCTTTACGCCTGCCGTCTTGCCGCCCATCGAAGTGGCTCAACTTCCGTTCAAGTATGTATTGTAAAATGGGTCAGCATCATTTGATAAGGATTTGGTCGTACAATTCCGAAATACCAATATCCGACAGTTTGGGAACAAATGACCAGCGGTGATTGGGACGTTCCGAATAGTTTAGAAATTCAGCTATTCGATAGAGGAACTACATAGTAAGCGATGAATTACGAATAGTGGCATTGATTTGAATCATCTGCCGTGGCCTATTTGTTTTCTAAACACATATGAAAATGAACAACAAGTCTATTGCTGGTCTATTGCACAACCTTGTGGTTCACTTGCGAAAGTATACTGTTTACATGAATCGATATGGAATCAATTATAACGATTCTGGTGAGAGATTCTGTTGTGCTCTGGCGTTCCCCAAAAGACAAATCGTGACAGAAAGTCAGTCACATAGATTGAACGAGGTATGGCCATGCTTGGTCCAGAGGTTGTAACTCTGCACACGAGGTCTGTATCCGATAGTATTTGCAGGATTGCAATACCAAAAGGCAGTTATCGAGGATTTTGCTATCGTGGGCGTTGCGCAATAACGACAACGATGTCATACTTTGTGCGGTGATTAGAGCATCTGTTTGAAGGACTACACGCTATGGCCTCCTTGCATTAGTAAACACTGAGTGTAAGGGAAAGCTTTAATGTTAAGGCACCAGATCAAAGTATTGAGATCCGGGAGATATAGCCGAATTGTCTATACTGATATAATCGAATATGCTATAATAAAAAGACATATGTTTGTCATCATACGCCAGATTTGTAATTGGCTCACAGAATTGTGTGTACCACCTATGCCAAGTCTGACAAACATTGTCGTAAATTGGCATCACATCGTCCAAACAACAAACAATACGATTTTGCTCTGGCCCCCCAAATTATCGGATATTGGTATTTCAGTATTGTACGACCAAATCCTTATCAAATGATGCTGACCCATTTTACAATAAATACTTGACATGACATTACTGTCTGGATAAGAACGAGAACGATTTTACGGGAAAATCCATCCGCAAATCTGAACGGAATTGATACAATACTTTCACAACAAGGTCAGTCAATTATTGCTTCCCATTTGGCACCTATTTGCCCAGCTGGTGGAAGAGCTGGATAGCCGAGAATCTTGAATAATTTGTTTGCGTGATCTGGTCGTCCGATCCACTACATTGAAGTGGCATGTCCTACAATCTTACACGTCCTAGGCCTCGTCTCCCGTAGCTCGTGTGTACGCCATAATCGCCGTAAATGCCGACAGCCGACATCCGCTAGCCGATCGTTCAAAAAGCGCCACAACCAACTTCTTCATTTTCGAATTTACTCTCGACTTCCATCACCACCACTTCCCACCTACATCCCCTACTACCACTATAAACTATGGTCTACACCATTATCGTCAACCTATATGCCAAGGACGGCAAGGACGTCGAGGAAAAGCTGCGCGCTAAGCTAGCCGAGGCTTCGAAGACCTACTCCAAGGACGCCAGCGTCCTTGGCTGGCACGTCCTACAGAATACCAGTGACCCGCGCAAGTGGACTCTTGTCGAGCGTTACGACCAGGAAAGCGTACGTAATTATCTTCTGTTAATTCGTTCTGCGATTGCTATTTAACGCGGTGCCACTAGTGGACACTGCTCAATGGCTCTTCCATCACATACATGTCTTTTGCCTGATGACTAATCTTGTGTCTGCTCTCTTCACGTGGGGTGAATGCTGTTTTGTGTGGAACAGAGTGTGGCACAACACCGCGAGCACCCGGACTACAAGACGTTTGCGGGTGCCTTGTTGGCGCTGCTAGAGAATGGCCAGGAGAGCCTGGACGTACACCAGTTCAAGGAGGTATAGATGGCGACGCGCACCAAGTCTGCTCGGTCATCGGCACCGCGACGAAGACGAACAGCACATCAAGCGGCGGCGACAAGCTCACGACCTAAATTTGCAACTGGTCTTCTTGCGCTGTGATTGACATGTGTGCTGCCTTTTGTTATGCCTTCTCATAAGATTTGAAAAAGTATATCATACAAACACGAATGCATTTTGCAGGGCCTCTTTGAATTTGCTTATTTGCTGTAGCTTTGCTTGACGAAAGAAAGCTTTGTATATGCCTTTCTCAATATATCACCTGTGGCAAAACACGTTAGAATGAATGTATGAGGTCATTTTCTGCTACCACTCATTTGCACGCACCACTGGGAATATTATCCATCAATGCTTCGTCAACCATGAACGCAGTGAATATCAACAATATTCCTAAATTGAATAGGAGTGAACCTCGATAAGTAAGCCTGTTTTGTGCGATGGTTGGGCACTTTAGTGCTGACTTGCGCGCACTCACTGATCTTTATACTCGTCGGCAAAGATCGGCTATTCTAGTATTCGTCCAATATTATGGTAGCTATTGAGCTTGATCTCGCTTGTGCAATCTCGTATTACGCTGGAGTTTTATTGCATATCCAAGTAGTTGTACGGTAGAAGTAACTAAAGAGTCGATAGGTCACGCCGACACACGTGACAGTAATCACGATACCTTACTGCAACAAAGCATTTGCTGTAGCTATTCCAAGCGCAGCGTACAACTGGTGAGCAGGAACGTTCGTGCTCACTCGGTGAACCTTATTGACACTATTGCTCCTTGAAACGAGCCAACACGCCCTGCAGGTTGTGCACGCACACACTTCAACGTGCAGATCCACGGTCCATTTCCATTCAACGCAAGAGTCATGCAGCAGATCATGGTCGGTCGACGATATGAGTCTGATATTACATTTGCTTAACACTTTATGACTAACCTGAGGTTTCGATTCCGTCTCGTTTGTTTAATTCTCGAAATTCTGCTTACACATGTATAGTTAAACGCCAGCGAACAATAGTCCAAGCCGACGTCGGATCTGCTGCAACTATACCAGGCAAAGCGGTGGAAAAGGTTTATTGACAATATCAGGTTAAACTCCGTGCGCTGTATGTTGCATAAGGAGAATGATTGAATGCATTACACGTTAGCCAGTTACTTGTCTGTCATCAAGGAGAGTCGTAAATCATGCCAGTTACTTACAGATACCACTTGCTGATGGATGCTATGAACAACCACGGCAATACTGCATTGTGTGAAAACTCCAAGCATCCAGTTCGTAAAAGAGACGACGACCATGATTTGAACACTGCTATGCAATCCTGTTAACCTCAAGATGTGTGTGACGTTTTTATCTCGTCGACAAGATCTAACGCCAGTTTTCACTTGTTGAGACAATTTCTACAGCGTGATTTGCAGCACTATTTCGCTAGGAAGATCGTCGCTGGCATCAAGCTGTAGGTTAAACCCTAGAGCTTAATACCAGCGCGAGGAATTTGTGAAACAACCTGTGGACGCCACTGCAGCCAGCTGTGGTGACGAACTAGATCCATTGGTCGTGCTATGAAAGTACCACATATCAATGTTTACATCGTACAATGCAGGACTAGTAAAAGAACTTCAAAATAGAGTAAATTCACACACGTAAATGATGACGTTACGCTCTCGTTGATTCAACTGCGAAAAAGACTTACCTACACACACATTGTCCCTTTTCATGGACTCTGCCCACCCAAGTAAGACTTGACTGGACGCTACTACGAGAGATCCAGCGCTTCGTTTTACTATACTTCTGTCCGCAGAACAGCTGGTAGCTAGTAGCTAGTAGCAATGAGCACGACTTCGACCACACTTCCTCAGCTCTCTTCGTATCTGCCATCGTCTTCGTTAGGCACTTGTATTTCTAACATAGACAGCAGTGTGAGGGCCAAAAAACAACGCAAAAGTATCATAGGCGCACGCTTTGCATTTAGTCCCACGCGACATCCCGACCATCAGCTTCGCGACAAACAGCTTAAAAGCAAACAAGGCCCAGTAGATGCAGCAACAGACGTTGACCTTTTGTTTAAGGAACCTTCCTCCTCAGGGTCCAACAGTACTTATCAGGCGCACGGGCAAGTTAGTCCACTCTTAATCTCAAAAGGCTCTGTCTTGTCGTCTACATGTACTCCATTCGCTCGGGATGGCGACAAGCTAGACGTCGAGACACCCCGATTTTTTGCGTCACAGCAAACCACACCCCGTCGCGAGCGCACATCAAGGTATCTGAGCGAGGGGGACCGCCAAGAGATCATCACGCGAATCGATGGCGGCGAAAAACAGGTAACACTTGCCAGGGAATTCAGTGTGAGTCGTGCTGCAATCTGTAGTCTCTACAAAAACCGATGGGAGGTGCTTACTCGTGGGAGCCGGAACCTCGAGCTAAAACACCCAAAGAAGTCGTGCGGTCAAAGATCAAGACCTCGTTTTGCACGGCCTTACACAGCAAAAGACGAAGCGATCACCTTTGTATCCGACATGTCCACGATATCAATTTGTACAGATGACGGTTTGTGCGATGCGTTCGAAAACAGCATCAGCAATCTGTCGGGGGTTGCGGCTAAAGGTAAAAACAAGCAACCTGCGGTGAAGGGCGAGCACTTCAAGTATCATCAACTACATTATCATCATCCGGTATCTGACCAGCGGTCTCCAGTCCACGAAGCAGTCAATGGTCCGGCGAGATCGTCGTCGTTTCTAGTTCATGAGGCATCGGCGTATTCGTATCCATGTAGAAGCTTGATCGCTACGCTGCGCGACGAAAACATCAGTACGGTTGTATTTCAACAACGATTCACGCGGCTGGTACATCTACTGATCGAAGAAGCGCTAACTTGTTTGCCGCATGAGGATGTCAAAATCACAAACAGATTTGGAGACACATGTCATATAGCCAAGCCTCGAAATGAGCGAGATATTTGTGGTGTCTCAATGGAAAACAAAGGCATGGTGTTACTGAGCGTGTTTTCTACCATTAGTCCGTTATCGTCCACGGGCGTGGTTTCCGTTGCCGTGAAAGGAGCAGACAATAACAGCATTAATAATGTGTGTTCGCCCGACATACATGCACAGCTACCTCTCGTCAGTTCTCGCCAGGTTGTGCTACTTCTTGACTACCAATGCACTACGGGAAATGAAGCATGTGCAGTGCTGCATTATCTTGTGCATGAGAGGAATATATCCGCGAAACGTATTTATTTCGTGACGGTCATCAGTTCCTTTGAAGGACTGCGAAACGTGTTCTGGCACTTTCCAGGTGGGTCTTAGCTCGAATGTCACGGTACCGCAACGTAGTGATACGAACTTATTTATTTACCCTCTCACGTTGTACAGACGTCACGCTTATCTCGGCTCAAGTAGATACCGTGCTAGACATAAACCAACAAATCCGTCCAGGTATTGGAGACGTCATGCAACGATACTGGAACGTCCACATCGATCGCAGTGCTCTCCATGAACCCTCGCGACTATACTGAGTCATTCACCCCAGTCGTTTGCAACGACGCCCATGAGAAACACGTGGGTTGTCGATCACATTTGCACTTCTGTTTGTGTAGGATTGGATGACTATACCCCACGCTTGCGCTAGCTTTGCTTGTGCGTCTTGTGCTCACGGTCAATGTAGTCAAACAGGTGAATGGAATCCGTTGCAACACACCAATACCTGACAAGAAACCAACGTTCGTCCAGTATATGCGGTGGACATGTGAATGATTCAATTTTGGCGCAAGTGCACCTTGTCGTGCTTGGTGCCGACTACCAATGCATCATTTTATTAAAACTGTTTGAACAATTCTAGCTATGGTTACAATCTTTTTTCAATCCGCGTCACAGAGCTGGACTCTTTGCATGACTGTACGACAAGATCCAAGTTTTTTTAGCAGTGTGTGCGCTCCACTGACAAACGAAGCAGAAGCGGAAAACGCCATGCTGTCGACAAAACTGGCAGTGGTCACCTCGCAGCAATGAGGTGACACTTGCCAGTTTCGTCTACAGCGTGAGTTTTTTGTTTTCGTTTCAACTTTTCGTTGCAATATTGACCTTTGACGCTGTCATCAAATGGTGAAGCGAAAAACAACTCCCAAATTGATGCCATGGCAGGATTCTTGATCCATTGTGGTCACGTTAAAGGCATTAAGGCGCTATACAAACACGATGTCGAGGACAGCGAGATGTCTAGACATATAGCGGTAGGTAAAATGCTATTGACGTCTTGCCAAAACACGAAAAATTAAGCCACGCTAAAAAGTGAAACATTCGGTCATCTATTTTAGCATCTTCAATAGTCATCTGTTTGGTTGTCAACCAGAAGAGTTGCCCAATTATTTCAAAATACTAACGCATCAACTTTGCTCCATTCGTAAGAAACACCTGTTAGTTGGTGTAAGAAAAATTTTATCGCAAAACGTGGAATGTCGTGACCAAGAAAGTATTTGATCTGAGAGTTTATGTACATCTTTTTCTGGTATCATCGAGTGATGGAGGAGCAGGCGCTATATTCAAGTGATGCAGCCTATCTCGATTCAAAAGCTTATATATCATTATATCCAAGGGTAAAGTGGACACCAATAGCTGGCACTTCTTGGCTGCTTATGGATAACCACGTTCGTCTCGTTCACTGTCGAAGTTTCCTGTTCAACTTCACCCAACATCCCTCTGTTCTTCGCGTCACAGTCACTTAACCCATAGTGTTCACGCGCGTCGTCAACGTGTGGCAATGGCGTCGAAGAGAAGTGTTCACCAAGCTGATTGAATCCTCCCAAGAAAACTGGGTCCTTTGCTGGCATCCGCTGCAAATATGGCGACTATCAACACCAGTGGACCATGTCGAGGATAACAACCAGGAAAACATAACGTGTTCTTACAACACACGGCTTCCAATTTGCTGACAAAGATGATGGACACTTTCCCTGTGGCCCAAGACGATTGGCACGGGAGGCACGACACGTTGCACTTGCGCCATGATGAATCGTAGCCGATCTTTGCCGACGAGTGAACATTGTTGTGTCTCGGTTGACCATGGCCATGTCCTCGTGTCAAGGGTCCCTGTGTTCCTTTGTGTACAAGATCAGTGAGTGCGCGCAAGTCAGCACTAAAGTGCCCAACCATCGCACCAAACAGGCTTACTTGTCGAGGTTCACCCCTATTCAATTTAGGCGTTCATGGTTGACGAAGCATTGATGGATAATATTCCCAGTGGTGCGTGCAAATGAGTGGTAGCAGAAAATGATCTCGTACATTCATTCTAACGTGTTTTGCCACAGGTGATATATTGAGAAAGGCATATACAAAGCTTTCTTTCGTCAAGCAAAACTACAGCAAACAAGCAAATTCAAAGAGGCCCTGCAAAATGCATTCGTGTTTGTATGATATACTTTTTCAAATCTTATGAGAAGGCATAACAAAAGGCAGCACACATGTCAATCACAGCGCAAGAAGACCAGTTGCAAATTTAGGTCGTGAGCTTGTCGCCGCCGCTTGATGTGCTGTTCGTCTTCGTCGCGGTGCCGATGACCGAGCAGACTTGGTGCGCGTCGCCATCTATACCTCCTTGAACTGGTGTACGTCCAGGCTCTCCTGGCCATTCTCTAGCAGCGCCACCAAGGCACCCGCAAACGTCTTGTAGTCCGGGTGCTCGCGGTGTTGTGCCACACTCTGTTCCACACAAAACAGCATTCACCCCACGTGAAAGAGAGCAGACAACAAGATTAGTCATCAGGCAAAAGACATGTATGTGATGGAAGAGCCATTGAGCAGTGTCCACTAGTGGCACCGCGTTAAATAGCAATCGCAGAACGAATTAACAGAAGATAATTACGTACGCTTTCCTGGTCGTAACGCTCGACAAGAGTCCACTTGCGCGGATCACTGGTATTCTGTAGGACGTGCCAGCCAAGGACGCTGGCGTCCTTGGAGTAGGTCTTCGAAGCCTCGGCTAGCTTAGCGCGCAGCTTTTCCTCGACGTCCTTGCCGTCCTTGGCATATAGGTTGACGATAATGGTGTAGACCATAGTTTATAGTGGTAGTAGGGGATGTAGGTGGGAAGTGGTGGTGATGGAAGTCGAGAGTAAATTCGAAAATGAAGAAGTTGGTTGTGGCGCTTTTTGAACGATCGGCTAGCGGATGTCGGCTGTCGGCATTTACGGCGATTATGGCGTACACACGAGCTACGGGAGACGAGGCCTAGGACGTGTAAGATTGTAGGACATGCCACTTCAATGTAGTGGATCGGACGACCAGATCACGCAAACAAATTATTCAAGATTCTCGGCTATCCAGCTCTTCCACCAGCTGGGCAAATAGGTGCCAAATGGGAAGCAATAATTGACTGACCTTGTTGTGAAAGTATTGTATCAATTCCGTTCAGATTTGCGGATGGATTTTCCCGTAAAAACGTTCTCGTTCTTATCCAGACAGTAATGTCAAGTAAGTATGTATGTTTGTATGTATGTGAACGCTTTACGCCTGCCGTCTTGCCGCCCATCGAAGTGGCTCAACTTCCGTTCAAGTATGTATTGTAAAATGGGTCAGCATCATTTGATAAGGATTTGGTCGTACAATTCCGAAATACCAATATCCGACAGTTTGGGAACAAATGACCAGCGGTGATTGGGACGTTCCGAATAGTTTAGAAATTCAGCTATTCGATAGAGGAACTACATAGTAAGCGATGAATTACGAATAGTGGCATTGATTTGAATCATCTGCCGTGGCCTATTTGTTTTCTAAACACATATGAAAATGAACAACAAGTCTATTGCTGGTCTATTGCACAACCTTGTGGTTCACTTGCGAAAGTATACTGTTTACATGAATCGATATGGAATCAATTATAACGATTCTGGTGAGAGATTCTGTTGTGCTCTGGCGTTCCCCAAAAGACAAATCGTGACAGAAAGTCAGTCACATAGATTGAACGAGGTATGGCCATGCTTGGTCCAGAGGTTGTAACTCTGCACACGAGGTCTGTATCCGATAGTATTTGCAGGATTGCAATACCAAAAGGCAGTTATCGAGGATTTTGCTATCGTGGGCGTTGCGCAATAACGACAACGATGTCATACTTTGTGCGGTGATTAGAGCATCTGTTTGAAGGACTACACGCTATGGCCTCCTTGCATTAGTAAACACTGAGTGTAAGGGAAAGCTTTAATGTTAAGGCACCAGATCAAAGTATTGAGATCCGGGAGATATAGCCGAATTGTCTATACTGATATAATCGAATATGCTATAATAAAAAGACATATGTTTGTCATCATACGCCAGATTTGTAATTGGCTCACAGAATTGTGTGTACCACCTATGCCAAGTCTGACAAACATTGTCGTAAATTGGCATCACATCGTCCAAACAACAAACAATACGATTTTGCTCTGGCCCCCCAAATTATCGGATATTGGTATTTCAGTATTGTACGACCAAATCCTTATCAAATGATGCTGACCCATTTTACAATAAATACTTGCACATGACATTACTGTCTGGATAAGAACGAGAACGTTTTTACGGGAAAATCCATCCGCAAATCTGAACGGAATTGATACAATACTTTCACAACAAGGTCAGTCAATTATTGCTTCCCATTTGGCACCTATTTGCCCAGCTGGTGGAAGAGCTGGATAGCCGAGAATCTTGAATAATTTGTTTGCGTGATCTGGTCGTCCGATCCACTACATTGAAGTGGCATGTCCTACAATCTTACACGTCCTAGGCCTCGTCTCCCGTAGCTCGTGTGTACGCCATAATCGCCGTAAATGCCGACAGCCGACATCCGCTAGCCGATCGTTCAAAAAGCGCCACAACCAACTTCTTCATTTTCGAATTTACTCTCGACTTCCATCACCACCACTTCCCACCTACATCCCCTACTACCACTATAAACTATGGTCTACACCATTATCGTCAACCTATATGCCAAGGACGGCAAGGACGTCGAGGAAAAGCTGCGCGCTAAGCTAGCCGAGGCTTCGAAGACCTACTCCAAGGACGCCAGCGTCCTTGGCTGGCACGTCCTACAGAATACCAGTGACCCGCGCAAGTGGACTCTTGTCGAGCGCTACGACCAGGAAAGCGTACGTAATTATCTTCTGTTAATTCGTTCTGCGATTGCTATTTAACGCGGTGCCACTAGTGGACACTGCTCAATGGCTCTTCCATCACATACATGTCTTTTGCCTGATGACTAATCTTGTTGTCTGCTCTCTTTCACGTGGGGTGAATGCTGTTTTGTGTGGAACAGAGTGTGGCACAACACCGCGAGCACCCGG